TTGAATTTTTCATTAATTTTCTTATTTCTATGGAACCACATAATATAGTAAGTGCAATTTTTATAGAAACTACTTTACTCTCAAGGCTGTTTTGCCTCTGTTACATTATAGTTCCCAACTGGTTTTAGCTGCACAGTCGATGATCTGCTAATAGTTTCTGAGATAGTTAGTTAATAGTTTCTGAGAGGGTATTCAATTCACATGGGTACTTAGCAACTATGTCTGTTGCCTGGCGTCGTCGTCATCGTCGCAATTCGCATTTGCAATATGCGCTAGTTTAGTGGGTTGAGTGACACAGACACAGTTTGCGGCCAGAGCGAGACGGTAGGTGGTGGGAGAGAGAGAAAGAGAGATGGAAACGAACAAGTTTGCGGAGTTGGAGGTGTTGTTGCTATTTTGTAATCGCAAGAAAAGTGCCAGGGCTGCCAGATTATTGAATTTCTAGTTCGAAAACAGTACTTTTAAGTAATGCAATAATTAATCTTTCATTAAACAAAGGCGTTGTCAAAGAGTACTACTGAAGAATACTAAAAAAATGAGCTTTCTAAATCAACAAATAAATTTTAATCAAATGGGTTTATTGTAGAAATTATTAAATTAATGAAAATGTTATAATGTTTGCTTTTAAAACAATTTTCAGTCGAACATAAAATTAATAAAATATTGGAAAATGTTGTGATATAATGATACTATTAAAGATAACGTTTTTTCTCAAGATTTATTTTAATAATCTACATTAGGTTTTATATCATGCCGAAGAATTTTAATGATTAATTTTTACACTCTTTTGAAATGGTAAATTATTGCTTTTGATTTCTATGATTGCTCTTCCTTATCTGGCAGCTTTTTGCCCACAAGGCTGGCGAAAAGCGCGCACGTAGAAAACAAAAATGCCAAGCGAAAAAGAAAAACTCCCCAAACGAGCACTGCAGTTCTCCGGTTCTCCCCGTCTCTTTCTTCGTTTTCTTTAACCGTCTTTTTCCACCGCTGCTTCCATTTCCATCGAACTTTGCGGAACCGAGCTCCCAACTCCCCGTTGAAGTTCTGTTTCGGGATGTGGAGTACTAGGATGGATAGCTCACACAGATACAAGGCTTTTCCTCTCCGTGTATGTGTGTGCGTGTGTGTGTCAGTTTAGCTCTGTGTGAGTGGGCTTATGTGTGTGAATGCGTGTGAGACGAAGCGAATCGAGTCGAGAGTAGAGTAGGACAAAAGGGAGACACAATTTTGGTAGCAATGACCTTCACCGCGTTGTTCAAGTTGTCGTGGTTTTTGTTGCTGTTGCAGCTCCAACACACACACACACACACACTTGCAAACACAGGCACACCGACAGGAAAATCAGCAGCGGATAAAGAGAGCGATAGAGAGGTAGGCACTCTGAATGATGCATGAGTGCAGATGGTTGTGGACTGTTTTGTTGGGCGAAAAGGGGGAGGTGCCGCATTCGCTTTTCTCCCACTTCGAACCACGTAAAAAATTAAAAGTGTACCTAATCTTATCAAATTTGTTTATACAATTAATTAAAAATGTATGAACTTAATGGATTTTTGGGCACTATTTATATAAGTATTTTGCATTTGATTTTATTTCATAATTTTCTGTTTACTATTGTTATAAATTATTGGTATTAGAATATGTAATCTACTTTAAAATCTTCCATTTAAATATAAAGTACAATTATAAAATTTTGATTTTTGTATAAATTTTGTTCCTATATTAAAGCGAGTATTTAATATTCTTAAATTTGATTTTTGTTATGGTTCGGAATGTATGAAGATTAGGAAAACTTTAATGATAAGCAAGTATGATTTACCTTATTGTAGTAAAGAATTTCTAGAATGTTTTTCTGTGTAGACCCCGCCACAGCCGCTTTTCCCGCTCGCTTTTCACTGCACAAATTAAACGTACAAAAGATAAAAGTGCTTTTGTGCGCTGCCATTGAAAATGGAGTTGTGAGTGGAAAAGGCGACCGAGGGGGTGGGGAGGGGAGCGATTTGGGGACTGGGGCTGAAGGTGGTGAACCTAGCGTAAACTTGACACTGACGTTGTGTGCACTCCACTCCACTCCACCCCCTCTCCACCACCCCTCGATTTCCCCCCACTCGTTTGGGCCCAGGGTGCGGCTCGTCGATTTTTGTTTTCCTCTCTTCTTTCAGCCGAGTCTTGCCTCTATTATTTTTTCTGCACTTTTTTGTTTTTATTTTTCCTCTTTTTTTGTGAAAATTGCTCAAGTGCGACGCAGACTGGTGGGAGGCCAAAGGGGGGAAGCGGGGGTTGGAGTTTGCGGACTGCCTGGGTGTTTAACTTTTGGTATCATTGACCTGGAGTTCTGGAGTTTCAAAAGCAGACAAAAAGAACCTCCCCCACTTTTCTTTGTGGGCGGCTGGGGTGGAATGGTGGAGAAAGGGGGGAAGTCGAATGGTTAGTCATTGTCGACGCCATTTTGGAAAATTTGTCGCAACTGCATACAAGTGCACAAGCATACAGACACACGGCCAAAAGGGATGTACATATATCTTTATGTAAACATACATATTTGCCGTTGAGCTTTATATTTCCCCCACTTTACAATAGGTTAGTCTGTTATTGTTCTGTCTGCGAGGATTAAACTTTGTCCGTGTGTGCTCGTCGTATATATCTCTGCATATATATATGAGGGTATAGCGAGTATGTATGACAAAAAGTTTTCGCTTTTCGTTGATTTTCATTTTAATTGTGGTGTCCCTATTTGTTTTAATTTACTTTTTTTCCTCATCGGTTAGTTAAACTGTCACAAGGGGGAGTTGGGGGGGAAAAGTGTTGAACTGAAAGTCGAGGGAGATGGGGACACACGACGACAAATTAAGGACAATGACGATCAGGAAAGTGTGGTTAGGGCAGCGTTTTAAGGATATTTCAGTTAGATAAACAAATGATTTAATATGGTTAAATAAAAACCGTGAAACGATTACATAGATAAAATACTTAAAATTGGGATTTTTTTATAATATTTATCTTAAACTTTTAAGCCTTCCTGGATCTTGTGACTCCATATTCGTCTAAAATTAACCCATTCACGAAGTAAACAACCCTGTCCTTGCCGCGTAAAGTCCATTTAGTTCTTCAAATAGCAATCGGAAAATTCCCAGCTCATCTGCAATTCGCTCATTTGCAATTCAAACTTGTTTCCACAGTTACTGCTATCCGAGTGCAAATCTCAGCTGTCCATTATCGTTGGGCATCTGTATCATTCCTGCAGTTCAGCCCCCCCAAACTCGCACCTTGGTCAGCAGACATCAGATGGGCACACAGTTGGGGTGCCGGCAAATGGAGCACTCAATGGACTAGGCCAATTAAAAATCCAGTTCAAGCTCAGCCAGTGCAGCGTCATCATCACGGACAAGGCATTTCGGGAGGGGGTTGGGATGGAGGGGGTCTGCAAACAGAAAGGCCACTCATGGGTCTTATGGCCCGTACAATAGGAACCTGTCAATGCATAACGCAAATCAGAAATGGTTCTCTATGATCATCCACAGTGAAGCATTTATTATTAGGATATTTACAAAAAACAAATTAATGATTGTTCTTGTTTCGGCTTCTAAAATTTCAACCAGATTTAGATTTTGTATTTTGAAGGCTACAATTAATTACAAAATAGCAAGGAATGCGAAAAATAACAAAGGAACATAAATTGAGTAACCATTAAACGGATTGATTGATTTATGGACCTCCTTTTTTAACACCAATTTTAAATAATTAAGAACAATTAAAAAAAACAATGGTAATAAAAAAGTTTTTATTGCCTTTCCTGCTTATATTAATAAATAACTTGTCTGTAGACTTAATGTCAAAATAAATATGAAATTTAAACCCCTTTGAAGTTCAATAAACTTCAAGTTCTTCATTGTTTATTGATTATAATTATCAGTTATAGGAAAAATAATATTGGTATACTATTCTTTTGTGTGCGTTCAAAACCTAATTACAACTGAAAGACAACAAACCGACTAAGAAATATAAGCTTTTGTGTGCTCTAATCAAAAATATGTTTCAAAAGTATCATATTCCAGAATAGAAATTGTTGTGGCTCCAGTCAATGCCACTGCCCAATCTCCCCTGTACTTGGTGCACAAATGTGCCAGGTGCCTCCGTCCATTTCTCCCTGAGCCGAGGCTGATGAATGCCAGACCAGTTCGGCCCAGGGGGAGGCAAATAGGGAGTACCGGAGAAGGGGTTCTTATCAAGGGAGGGGAAGGTGGGGCGTTGCAGGAAGCCGCTGCAAGAAGCACCGAGAATGCCACGGCCAATGCCATCGTGGCGCAGTGTCAGTGTCAATGCCAGCGAATCCGACCTGAAACTGGGTGAGAGTGTGGGCGGGGAGAGCCGCGGAGGAGCCGGGCAACCGGAGAACTGGAGAAAAAGAGAATCGGAGAAGTGGAGGAGCGGCGGAGAGAAACCACCTCGCTGCTGTGGAATGCAACAAAGGCTGCTGCCACGATTCCAGCGATTATAACATCGGCTAGCGACTCGAGAGGCCATTAGCCCGAGTGCTGGTTGCATGCCGCTTTGGCGGCTAGAGAGGTGGCGACTCCCGGCCAGAGAGAACTCGACTCTACGGTAACTCTCTTCGGGGTCCCCGTATCCAAATCTCGACTTTTCTCTAGTGACGACGCCTGCGCTCAACGTTCTTTGGCTGCTCGACTGGCTTGGTTGTCTCTGTGCGATTTCAATGACCGCGAAGTTTCCCAGATGCACTATCTACGGTGAGGTTGTTATGTAGGATTGTCGAAATAGTTGGAAAAGTGAATCTATAAAATAGCTAAGCAAATGGTAGTTTTTGATAAGGAATAGATCATTGATCAGTTTACAATATTAATGAACTTAGTTATTTTACAAATAAAAATCTTTCTTTTTTTAGTGTTTAGGCATACGAGGGCTCATTTAATATGGCGAAGAGGGGTAGTTACAAATATTTTTAAAAAGCCAGTCCTTGAAACTTAATAAAAACTAAGAAGAAGAAAAATTAACATTTTTATTTATTATTATTTTACTCACATCTTGTCAATTTAACTGTCAAAAAAAAAAACTAAATCCAAACCGAAATATATAAATTTTACAAATTACACCATTACACTTCATACCAAAACAATTCTAGGTTAAACACCAAGAGACTATGTTCTTCACATGTCGAAACTCCCCTTGGACATATGACTCGGATGGATCTGAAAGATTACCCCACTCTGAAAATTGGGTGAGGTACTATTCAATGTCCAATGCCAGGGTTAAGCCAATTAGTTTGATGGGAGAGCTGGCATTGCACTTCCAAGTGATTGGACAGAGGTGGAACTGAAATAGAAGGAGAGGAAACCGAAGCGTTTGGCTCGAAGCTTGTTGATTGAAAACTTACCCACAAATTATGCGCTGGCGAAAAACGTGTTTGGCTCACAGAGCTGGGCATTAAGTCAACTGGACTGACTTGGGCCCGGAATCCGGGAACTGGGAACTGGGAACTGGGAACAGAATACTGAAAACCGCACTCAACGTTCGTCGACCTTGCAACTCGTTCTGCACATTATGCTTATTTGCTTTTGTTTTTGTTTTTGTTTGCCAGCAATAGGTAAAGGCAAGAGCCATTAGCTAATGTGGGAGGAGCGGTCGATGGCAATACACTTTGTTCAGATAGCATCGTCGCCGGTCGGCTGGTTAGATGGTTGTATGGTCGGATGGTCATTGAACCGCCAGCCGGACAAGGACTCTCTATTTAACCCCCAAAGAACCGGAGGCGGAAGACTCCAATGCCCGAAAATACATATCCTGGTGCCATAAGTCGCAGTAGATTTCCCTTTCTTCCGCTGTCTGGTTTCTGCGTTCTCGATGCTTCGGTACAGTTTGCCCCAACGCCAGACATTATTCTGCTGGCAGTCTGGTTTTGACTCCGAACTCTAACCCAAACTCCTACTTTGAACATGACTCCGGTTTCTACTGCTCCACTACCCCAAAGCTTCGGAAAGAATATGTTTCTCACAGTTTTCATGCTGGTGTTGGTTGCAAAGAGGAAGGACTCCATTAAATTGCGCTGTACAGTTTTTCTAGCCTAAAAGGAAAAACAGTTGGTTCTCTTGGCAGCATTAATAATGGCTAGAAAACAGGATTTAAAACTTAATAAATCAGTTAGTTCCTGCGTAAATGTCCTTATTTCTTATACTGCATTTGGTATTATTTAACAATAACAAACAATCATTCCAATAAAACCCCGCCATTCTTTTACTTGCAAAGCGCCCTCTATTGAATATAAATAATTTGTTGCCTACTTTTGATGAGAATGTGAAATAATAGATAAACCCAAAAATTAAATGAAATTTTAGCATTACACTTTATAGTTCTTTTTTTTATGTAATTTACATTGTTTTTAAAAGTATTTTTGTCAACAAAAAATATTAAACTACCGAATTTTATTTTGTGATTGGTTAAAACTCAACCAAAAATGTGTATTAATTATTGCATATATATTTCTTAACAAAGGAATAATTTGGCATTCGTTTTTTTTCTAGAGTTTATATATGCATTACAATTTTTAACTACATAATTTTTAATTTAATTCCTTTATATAAAACGATTTAAATATAATATTAAACGTAGATCATATCGTGCTTCAAAAGATTGAAAAATGATAGCCAGCCCCAAGATGTCCAAAATCTGCTGACCAAACAAAATCAGATTTATGGTGCTGTTTAGTGGAAACCCAGAACCCTGGTAAAACACTGATTACAGAACGTCAAAAAAGCCCAGACGATGAATTGCAGTCTGCAGCTGCTGTCCTGCCCAACTCCTTTTAAAAATGAGCGAAGAGAGGGAAAGAGAGAAGGAGTGCGAAAAAGGACACGGAGAGCGAAAAAAACGAAAAAGCATTTCGTCGTTTTTAGCTGGCACGAACAGATCAATGACCTGCATTTCACAGGCGGAGACACAATTCAATCGATAAAGTGAAGAGTTGGGGCACCAGCGCACACAGACTCTGCAGACACACACACACACACACACATACACTCGAGCCCTGCATGCACACACTGACACACACTTACACATACACGCACAGGACGAGGGAAAAACAACATGGCGAACGTGAAATATGCAAGCTTCCTGCAGGAAAAGCCAAAATGGCAGACAGCATGCGGCGAACGTGACGCAGTGCAGAATGTTTTTGGGGGGATCGGGGGTCAAAGGGAGTCTACAGAGGGTTGTGGACAGGCAAGGGGGTCAGGGGTCGGGGGTCGGGGATCGGGGGTGGTGGTGCTCCAGGGGTGGCTGCAACCGCTGTGGAACTTTCTAAAATTTCTAGAACACCAGCGAAACAGGAAGGACGGAAAATGTGGAGCGAGAGTGAAGTTGAAATACTTTATTCCATTCAATCAAATCGAGGAAGCCAAGGGCCAAAAAGGCTGATTAAAAATTCAGCAAATGGGGGAAGCAACTATTCTGGCTAAAAGCCAGCAGACAGACAGAGACGGCTGGCTTAAAAGGAAGCAGAGGGTCACAGCCGAATGCATTGAAGCGTTAAATAATTCAGCAAAAAACATATTCATATTAGCAACACCCCACAACAAACACTCAATCCATTGACGGTTGTCTGAGCCACCGGTCCGGGTCACCCCAAAAATCCCCATAATTTCCGTCGAACTGACCAAAATGTAGACAAAGGTAATGCACAAAAGTTGTTGTCAACTCTTCTCGGTGGTTTTTTGGGAAACTTACCGACTGTCTGAAAGCTTTTTGGGGTTGTTGCTGGCGAACCGGGTAATTCATGTTGTTTCTAAAAATGTACTTGACTTGCTCTACGATTTTCCAGGTGCTTTCGGTCTGAAATGTTAATGATAGCTTGTTATAATATTTATTTAGAAAATTTATGTCACCACATTAATATTTGTTAGCCAAAAAATATCGTCCTAGTTGTTCATCGGATTGTAGCCGTAGAAAATAGACAAACATATTACAACACAAAGGCACAGTAAATACATAATGAGAAATCCGAAAGTAATGTAAACACAGGCAGCCAAAAGAATCAACATTTCTCTTCAAGGAAGTGATTTTTTCAACCAGAAATATTTTGGGAACCTTGGTTAAATGTGGTGCTGCATTTGCACTATTTACAAACTTTAACAATTTTAATACGTATGAAAACACAACATTTTTGTAGTTAATTCTCAATATGACAGCTGACCGCTGGTCATCGATATCGATTCTTAATAGTGAAGCTATCGCTAAAGCATTTTTGCAACCTAATTGGGAAACACAACACTTACAAATAGTTATTGAAGAAATGTTGATAAGCGCAAGATGAAAATTAAAATAATAATATTTTTTCTCAGAAAATCTTTCGTTTTCCTTTTCGCCACCGATCTTTGGGCTCATTTATGAATATTATAAAATTATATATAAGGTATGTATGTATATGTATTACATATGATGATGTTGGAACACAATTATTTATGGACAATCCATACAAGTGAGACTCTGTTAATTTACAGATAATTACGTTAAGCTGTGAAGATTGTCTCTTAATTCGATATTGGAAATGGTTACACAAATATTTAATTGGTGTTTCGGAAAATTCATCATACCACCCGTGGACCCGGGAGGTATGGCAAGTCAATTAGCCTTACTAACACACTCCCACGCCACATTTTTTTCGGCTTCTGGCAGTTGTTGTTGTTGTTGTTGATTTTGATGTTGCTTCTCGAGTTGCGCTCTGAAATGAAAACTGCAGCGAAAGTCAGGGCATGGAAAAAAGCGAAATTTTTTGCAGTCGTCCCGAAAAGTGCAGCCCTGCAAATTGGAGTCATCCTGCCGCTCTCTCGGCAGGACTCTTCCCTTCCGTCTCACTTTGCCCCAGTCCACTCGTATCGCTTCATCTCTGTCACTTGCAGACACAGACAGCCGGAGTTTGGGGCTTTTGAAGGGGAGTGCAGCTCAGTTTGGGGAGTTGTCCCGGAGTTTGGGTCTCTACTGTCTGGGCAACACCTCGCTCCCAGCCCGACAACTCTGTTCCGAACTCCACCCGCAGGGTTGCCATGACAATCAACCGATATTCCGTAGTCCAGACTGGGTGTTGCCAAATCCCAGCACTGAAAATACGAGCAAAATATCAAACTTCTCCCCCGAAGCGCAATGGGTCAGTGTACAATAATTTTGTCAAATAAAAAAATTCTGTAGAGAGAAGGTTGTCGTTGGAGATATAGGTGATAAAATTTGGAGTGGTCGCATTCGGTTAAATTTATTAATATGGTTATTGTCCGATCCAACAATGATGAAGTAAATAATTTATGTATTTATATTAGATTTTGGTTTCACAAGAGCTCAGGCAACAAACAACTAAAATGTCTACTAATATATACTAACTTTGTAGGAATTCTCATTGCTTTTTAATAATTATTTTTAAGTTCATATATTCCTTTTTTTATATGTTAATATTATTGAAAAGTGTTATTTTGGGAATTTAATTTTGCAATTTTATAAGTTTAAAAAAAACTAAACTAATGATTCGGGTTTAAGTTCTCTTTTTAAATAAGACAATAAGTTTCACTGTTTTCTCATATAAAATACTTGTGGATTATCATTAGGCATTCAGTTACATATAAATATATATAGAATTCGTATTTATTGGTGGTGCGGTTGCTGTATTCTCGCTTCTGGTGGTATTATTCCAAAGTAGCCACTGCCCATGAAGATTCTTGGCTCTCCAGGACCGCTGCCATCGGGATTGGTCTTCCAAGTGATCGTAAGACAAGGCTCCCCCGCTTTGGGATCCTTGGGTATTGCAATCTGGTAGTTCTCGGCATCTTCAGCCCTTAAATTATGTTTTATAAAGATAACGGGTCTCTGAACCGGTGGTTCTTCCTGATAAGCTGCTTGTTGATGAGTTGAATTCACTGAAATGTGGGCGTGGTTATAAGGGGATAACAAAGTGAGTCATTGAAGCTGTGTTTGTTTTCAAGTTGTATCGTTGTCTAAATAAAATGTATACATGAAAATATTTAAAAGTTTTAAAAGTATGGGTTAATTTGCATTAACATTAACTTTATTTAGAAAATAATGAATTTTAAAAAATACACTCAGCTTTAAAACCCGCATAGAATTTCTACTTACATGGATGGCTCCACGCGCAGGCAATCAGCAGCGGAAAGAAAGCGAGGAACTTGTGCAACGCCACTGATTTCATAATTTATTTATATGCGGCCTATGTGGAAATATAAACAAATGCTGTTGTTGTCTGGCTTCGTATACTAGATGCAGCCACTCTGAGTTATCTTATGATGCCAACGACGTCCTCACTCCAAGCGTTCTCAGCTCAAACTGTTCGATCGTCTGAGAAGCTTGGGATTATTGGACTCTCTGCGCCGTATCGCTTCAGCACTATCTACCTGGTATTCACTGGGTCTACTTATCAACTTTCCTGAATGAACCAAATCTATTTGTAAACATTTCTGAGCGCAGCAGCATAGATCACCGATTGTGAATCGGAGCTGATACAGGAGGTCGTATGCCCCTGAGAACAAAGAAAAAGTGACAGCAGCAGCTTTTTTTGAGAGCGTCGATTGCTCAAAAAGAAATACACTATTTTCCATAATAAATGTTTTTTATAATACGGAAAATAATCCAGTCTTAAAAAAAGTTATATTTTATGACTTTTTAGACACAAACAAAACAGTTTAATTTAGAAGAGATCATTTTCATTTAAACATAAAACGATTAGGTAGGATTTTCAAAATAATGTCAAGAACAAAAAAATGCAGACATTTTTTCTTATGTTTGACATCCGTTTTAGAATACGAGTGTTAAACTAAAATAATTGGTATAACAACTTTTGTAATTAAATATTTAAATTTAATTTCAATTAAATTACTTTTATTTCAAACTAATGATATGTAGGTATTTTAACTTCATATTATTGTTATTCTAATTCAAATAAACCTCTGTTAAACTTAACAGTCCAGTTTACACTGCTTTCAAAGTTTGGGCATAAGCAGTAAACCGTAAAATGTACTGCTTGTTTAACAGATGCATCAGTAAAGCAGTAAAATGTTATGCTTACTGTAGTTTTAAAACCTTATATTGAATGGTATTTTTACAACAAAATAAATATTTACTGCCCAAGAAACCAACTTTAAACGGATTTTTGTTCTCTTTCGCATTTATTAAGTATTTTCTTAGCTTACAGAGAAAAACATGAAACACATTTTTCAATTAGGTTACAAAAAACTAAACAAACAAGCTTAGCAAAAAATCTAAGTGTCTTTAATAGTGAAAACTTAGCGCAACAATTATTACTTCCTGTTAGGTTGATAAACGCCTCCAGTTTAAAGTATTGCTAACAATAACATACAAATATCGAATCTATTTGAAACTCGCACATTTCGCATTGACTTAAACTTAACTATAAATAACAATTTGTGTCGTTTCGTTTTTTATGTATTTTACAAATGTTGCTTTATAATGCTTACGTTTACTATGTTTCTGTTAAATAAGAATATTGCAAATTAATTATATTTAGGTTGCTATTCCAGTGTACCACTTGTACACTTGTGGATCAATTTTCCAAAGTGCGGGGACTGGGGCGGGGTCTTAAGGGCACTTGGAGAGGTATATAGAAAATCAAATTACTCCGGGTGATTCCATTCGAATTAAATACTCTTGCCTTGCCCTTGGACGGAAACCGTTGCTTACAGAAATGTTGGTCTTGGCCAAATGAATAATTTGTATCCTTCTTGGAAGACAAATGAAAACTAATTTTCAATTTGCAGTTGGGAATTATCAATTAATTAATGAGAGAAACTTGCAAACGTTTCTCATCTTAGCGTTCTTTGTGTGTTTTTTTTTTTTTTTTTGCTACTGTACACAGTCTTTGTTTTTTTGTTTTGATTTCTTCGTTTGCTGCTTTTGAAGGACTTAAATCTAAATGGTTGAAACCATTTTACACCTCGGTGCTGTGCGTCTGAATGCGGACCTTCTTCACGCTCCCATTTCGTCGCATCGGTGGCGAGCTGCCGGATCCGGAGTAGCCGGGATTTTGGATACCCAACGTGGGATCCGGCCGGGGTCTCGGCTTCTTCAGGCTCGACCGCAGTGGCGATCGGGTCACCGAGTCGAGGGTGGAGCCATTGGACACGCTGGTCACCGTGGTGCTCATGGAGGCCACGCTCCCCGCCGTTCCCGCTCCGTTCCGGATTCCGCTGTACGGCTTCCCGGAGGCGTCCGTCACCGAGACGCCGTTGCGACTGCGCGGCTCCTTGAAGCCCGGGTTGTTGAAGGTGGTGGCACTGCCCGGCGAGGAGGCATCCAGCGCCATCGTGGGATCTCCGCCCGGACTGCGCGAGTAGATCACATCGTACAGGGCGGCCACGAACAGCGCAATGGTCAATACAATCGCCACGATCTGTAAAACAAAGTGGAAATAATTAATATTAGGGGAAATCAATACAAAATTTAGCAGAAGACCGAAAATGTGAACCCAAGTTAATGTATATTCAAATAATAGAGATCCGCAGAGAGAATTCGTTATATTTTGCAAAAACGTTATAAGCTTTAATTGTTAATGCTTAATCTTTATTTTATACTTATATTTTTCTTCGTTATTGGTCAACGCATATCTGTGGTTATAAGTCAAAATACTTTTGAATATATCCGTATATTATTCTTTTGAAAAATATTTATTTTTTGTACAACTAATTTTTTTTTAATCTTGTTAAAATTTTTTTAAGCTTCAAAACTTAACAAACCATTAAATATAAACCTTGGTCAACGAATGAGTTTTTATATAAAGGACAAATAGTAATACAGCTCTTCTTTAAAAATACATAATTCTGCCTCACTACTATTTGCCCAACTGCCTGGGTAATTAACCATTAATCACCTGAATGTAGAAGGAAATGCCCCGCGATATCTTGAAGCCGAAGCGCTCTTGCTCATCAATTTGCAGAGCAAACAAAACCGTCGCTATGATGGCCAGTACACCTGGAAATTATAAAATTTAATTACTTTACATTACGCACCGTAAACAGACCCATCAGCACTCACCTCCCAGCAACGCCAACATTAGCTTTAGTATCACTAGAGTTGTGTAGGGCATTACCACCTTCTCCCTGGATGAGATCATCGCGTGTTGAATGACCGACAGAATGCAGAAGATCCCCAGCACAGCTGAGCTGCCAATGGCCAAGAGACCACTGACAAAAACCGCATCTGCAATGGAATCATGAGACAATTAATATTCATTCAAAACGAATTTTATGTTAATGAGACGCTTAATAATTTAAAAATAAATCAAATAAGTATAATTAAAAATATAAAAAAATTTTAAATACAATTTAAATTTACTTACTGCTTAACCTAAACTTGGACACATCGTTGCCGCATTTCTCGCGATTGTACGTCAATTGCTTGCAGACCTTAAACGGTCCGAAATAACCTCGATCGAAGTCATAGCCGCCTGTTAAACGAAATACAAATTATATTGATCGAACCGAAAGTATCCGAAAGTACAGTGGTCACTCACCGGATGGACTATCGTAGTAACCCCAGATGGGTATGCCAATGGCCACGGATGCCAAGGCGAAGCAAACAAAGCCGAGACAGGTCACCCCAGCAGCATAAAGTGTCGACTTTGCCATGTTTTACTGTACAGCATAACGACAACGATGCATTTGAGATCCAACAAGCTGAAAAAACAAACAGACATATGCATTATATGGGGAGCACTTGTTTAAATAACAAAGTAATCATTATGCCGAATTATGTCAAATGCCTATTGACTTTGAGCCACTTTGCCAATCCAACAGAAAAATTGCCAAGCGCATTGTCAAGCGCATTTGAAATGCGAACACGACGATAAAGAAGCTTAGCTGTGCCCCAAAAAATCTCCTTAGGTGCATTAGCAGATGTACTTATGAACGAACCACCCACATGAGACACTCATTAGCTTGTAACCCACCCAACCGAGCACTTTGTCATCCTCACGTCATCACGAACAATTAGATCCCATTCATACATAAAGAGCTTCTTGCTGTTGACCTTGAGATTGCATAAAAAGACCCAGAAGAAATAATGCTTACGCAGAGAAATATCTATCTTCGTGTGGGTCGCTTACGTATCCGTATCCCAAAGATACACAAAAGCTCTCGATTCAGCTTTTCTCTGTTTGCGTTTTTCTCTAAGCGGATTTCCTCTTACATGTAATTAAATGGCATTTTATAAAATATTTCTCGAGTATCTATATATGTTGCTGCCCCCAAGACAAGTTAAAGCCGAGGAATGCCAGTTATTTTTGACAGCTCTCGGCTAATTGATGAGCTATTAAAGAGCGCGTGCAAAAAGAGCGTTTAGGAGGTAATTGTCATAACGATATCAACAGGGCGTATACGTATTGTTAACAAATAAACGCTAAATACATATGAATTGTGTATAATTTAAGTTATTGCAATACTAGATTGTGTGTAAACAAGGGGCTTATTATTGTTGTTAAAAAACATGAATGAGAAATTAAGTAAGGGCACTACAATACCCTAAATGAATATCTTAGAAGTTAAATATGAACGAAGTTATTACACATTATCCATTAAAAAACAACAAAATATTAAAATATTTACCATGCTTACTCACACCATAAACTTTAAACTTTATCTCAGTTTCTTCAATTTATTTGTTATTATATTTTGTCTGGTGGAATACTTTCCAACCATCAACTGGAGAACCCCGCGGTGAATGTGCTCCACCTTCATGCTAATAAACCCACCAACCTTCTCAATAAGCCACTCAATTCCCCGCTGCCCTCGCGATGGCATAAATAGTATCACATGCAAGTAAGTTGAGAGTCCTCGATGACAGCGAGTGATCGCAGCGAGCATTGAAATGCCAGAAACCAGAAACTGGAGACACACTCTGCCCAAGAAATCTAAATCTAAATGAATCCGAGACGAGGTTGCCTCATCTTGGCAACTGAATTGGAGTGGAGACTCCGATTTTGACGATGTTTATTTGCCAGACGCTGTTTGTTGCTCTTAGCGGTAAATAGACAGTCGACTGAATGCAAAGGCGAATCTGAGGGGGGAGGGGGAGGTGGGGGGAATGTGTGCCGCCCGTCTTAAATTACCCCAACGAATGCCGCCGATGGTTCTGCTTCTTGGCTCGAAAGTTGGCCAAGAGGAAGGCTCGTCTTTGCTCGCTGGAACGGAACTGAGATTTCGAAAAGCCCCTGAGAACAGTTTCTAGATCCCGAAGCAGCAAAAATTAAAATATATTTATAATTATCTTTGAATCTTTGTTTTCCTCGTTGGAATTCATTTACGCATGTTAATACTTTTTTAACATCCACTAATATTATCAGATTAGAAACATTTTTAAATACTTAACGAAAGAATAATATTTGTTGTCTAGCTTGATTAAATTGAACTTATTAATTTTCCATTTACGAGTTCTTTTCTACGCCTCCCAATTCATTCTGCAACTTTGTTGTGTGGCTAACAAATGGCATCTAACCTCCGATTCCAAGCTCAAGCCAAAGCCAAAGTAAGAGCCGAATCAAAAGCCAAAGCCAGGCCAAGTCAAAGTCAACGGAATGAACTTTTCTCAATTGTGTCACGATTTTCAACTTGCATAAATTTCCGTCGAGATACTCCTCTTCATTTCCCTTCTGATCCCCCCGTAAATTTAAGACCCGTCGCGTGGCTTCTTTTATTTTATTTCCTTCAGCCTCTTTTCTTTCCATCGCATCTGTGATCGTGTGTAGGTGGTCGAAAAGGTAGAAAGAAGGGCCAGAGCGAGGGATTTGGACACGGGGGATTTGGGACTGAGCTGTAGAGCTCTGGGCCATTTTGATTGCCCGGCTAAGAACGTGATTCAGGGGTGATGTGTATATGCTTAAATGATTTTCACGCCGCGCGTTGGTGTCAAAAAAGAATGTTCAGTGTATATTGCTTAAACAGAAAATTCAAAAAGCTTTAAATAAAAAGTATAAGCAAGGTGTAGTAATATAGGCTTTTATTTAGATTGAGTTCAAAAATAAATTCAACCAATCAACGAGGTTACCAAAAATCGTTATTTGTGTTTCATCACTTATTTTCAAAAGTTCAAAATGTGTTTCTGTAAAAAAAATATTAAAGTACAAATTCATAAAGTTTTTAACAAATTTTTAATTTTGTCTAAGCTTTAAAAGTCTTTATAAAGAAGCTCTACTGTTAAAGTCGGGAGTCTGGGGTGCCGCTTATTGAGTGGCCAACACGACTGGCCGACCAAAAACCACCAAGTGTAATTGTCAGCGGGCCGTCTGAGCCAAGTCAACCACACTTGGCAATGCGGCGTCGTGTGGCAGCCACTCGTGTGGGTTACCCGGCTCTTTCAACCGAAAGCCATAACCATGAATCAAACTACCAATAAGAAAAGATATCTATGGCTTTCCATTTGGTCAGTAGGTAAAGATCTTTTTGGCCCAGATCGGCAGTTGAATTAACATCCCCAAAATAATAGCTTGTAATAAAAACAAATTGAATTTGTTAAAATGAAGGCTTGAAACAAGTATTACCTGAAATATTTGTAAGTTATTTAAGGTCACAAATAAAAGACCACTAAACTTTTTGAATTCTACTATCACTTAAATTTTGTCTCTTTCTTTTAGTCACATATCACCTGTCTCCATAAAGTGAATTATTTCGTTGTTACAAGTACTTTCAATTTGCACTAAAAAATATCTCTTAGTCAGCTGTCGTGCTTGAATCCCATTAATACCAACTAAGTCACCTCGATTCGACTTATCTCTGACAAAACTCGCAATATAAAGTTCAACTCGTACTTATACTAAAAAACCGACAGCAAAAGAAAATCAAATCAATTAACTGGGGAAACGAAAACCAGCTAAATAAAGCAATTTAACGTAGATCACAGTGCAAAAGAAAGGCCAACAACCTCCTGTGGTCTGACCAGACCCAACCAACCAATTCACTCCAGACCCATTAGCCCCACTCACTTCATCAACAGAATGCGCAAATTTTTCCAGACGAAGGGCCAACCTAGCGCAACCCAAATAAAAGGGAACTTAGACTAATGAAAAGTCGCTTTTCCGCGGAAATTGGGTCACCAGTGGGAGCCAGGCAGCCTGTCCAGGAACCCAGACAGGAAATTTACTTTAATTTGTCGGCCCGACTCGACTAAAATCGACTCGCACGCCTGCAAATCAAATGGAAAAACGTGTCGCGGTCTCTCTAATGGTGCCTCTCACCTTTCCACTCCTCGGTTCACATTTCCTCACCTCCATTATCCACCTCTCTGTTATTGATTTTCACCCGAATCGTGGTTGGGATTATTGTTTGATTTTAATACCTTGCAGTTCGTTGGTATATTATTATTAAACAGTATTATATCTAGAAAAAATTATATTTCTTAAAATTCTTAAGATTTTTAAGTAATTGATATTATAAGCGTTTAAACTTCTAAGGCTTAGCTAAATCTTCAGCATTCTGAAGTTAGTTTGAAGGTTGTAGTTGTTTTTAGTAGTTTTTAGTTAAAAGTTTTTTGCCAACCCTTTTTTCGTTAGTGTAATGTAAAACTGTTTTAATCTAATATTTTAATAGAAGATATCTCGAAGTCGATCAATGCATTTTAAGTTCATAGCCACGGTTAGTTGGCAACGCGATTGAACAGTTTTCCGTGCCGTATTTTCCTCGCTTTGTTTATGTTTGGCCGCACTTGTTGCCATGGCAAAGTGCAAAACAGGCCACAATAGCTGAGGAAAGTTTGTGCTGTTTCTGCCTTGGCTGTTGCCTTGGAAAACCGTGTAAAATTGGGAACAGCGGATATGCAATTTGCTGGAGGTTCCTCTCTTTGGGGTAGCAAATACACACTTTGCAAGCCAGAGTCAACTGAGGTTAGAACTTGTCCTAATTGAGTGACAGACCAGGCAGCTTAAGAATTTTGGGGTTATTAAAGTTGGATTGGATTGGGGTTGTTTTGGTTTAGTTTTTGTACAGGTGAAGGGAATAAAAATCTGAATCTATATTTGTATAAACTTTATAACATATTTGTAAACTCATATAGGTTTAATACTTTGTAAACATGATGATCAAGATTTGCAAAATAAGATAATACTTCAAAAAGATTAAGAAATAGTTAGGAAGGCATTTTTAAACAAAAGGATACCGATTTTTACCATTCAATTTAACGATAACTTTCCTGGCACTTCTATTGTTGTCAATACACATTGATTATGTTCCATATAAAACATACATTTTCAGTGTAATCAAGACTCAAAGCACTATATAGACTTCCGCTCGGAAGCGAAAAATAAATCAAAGAAACAACTTCCGCTCGATCGGAAGGTTTTACAGCTATTTATTAAAGCTCCACTTTCTGGAGACAAGACAAATTCCCAGGCTCCCGAGCACAAAGAGCTGGCATGCTGGTCTCCAATCGAGCACAATTTACAATTTACACTCTTGGGGAACCGAATAAAAACTCAGGTAGGTCGGATGATCTTGGAAATGGGTCACACTTGGTCTCGAGAAATGGAAAAATGTTAACCAAGCTGTGTTCACTTTGTTGTCATCTTTCCTGCAGGGTTTGAAATTGCTTTTCTTGTTTGAGCTGTGGTTAACACATTTCTCGTAAGCTCCCGTCTTCTGTCGCTGTCTAGATCCCTATTTCCCACTGCTTCCGTGGAAGATTTTTCACGTTTCGTCGAGTTGTGAAAAACTTTTACTTTGTTGCCGCTTCTTTAAACACTTCATTTGGGTGAAAGTTTTTACCTAACAAAGGCCCTAGACACAATCTATATGGCTACGATCTCCTTCGCTCGCACTCAGCCGTAAGTAGTTCAGTAAACTGTCAGCGTTTTTCATCTTTTTCTATACTTTTTAGTTAGTATTTATCTATCGTTATGACAAGCGTGCAACGTGCTGCAAGTGCGACAAGTTGTGCAAACAACAATCAAACTGCCAACGCCCTTAAAAACTTGCCACCCATCCCTTTACACTGAAAAAACTTGAGCGGCTAAGATCAATATTTTTTAGAAATATTAAATTGGATATTATACATATATATTTGTATATTAAAGTTGATATTTTGATACCTATCAAGCAGATTACTTTCATGTAAACCGTTTTATAAAATCGAGGTTTTAAATGATTAGCAAACAACAATAATCCCAAAATGTATTTTATTTCTTTAAAAATTTTCCAGAACCCTTAAAATATTATTTTAAAGTGTATTCTTCCCACAATGTCCTCTACTTTCTCAATCCCTTTTTCATATGTGTGTCAGACATTGTCACTGGGCAAAGGGGGAAAAGTGGGAAAGCGTTTTACTTCCCACCACTGAAAACAGTTTGTTCTACGGCCAACTGTTGGTGCTCCAGTTTGGGTCACTGTTCCATCACTTTTACTATCTACCCCCTCATCATTTTTTACAACCCCACCCATGGCTGCGTAGTTATGTTGTTGCATAGGTGAAGCCGCTATTTACATAACATGTGCTGAATTTTACATGAAATGGTTGGCCATCTTCTTTGGCCGTGTCAAACAATTAAGCATAATTGCTTTGAGGCAGGCAGCAAACAAGAACGGTTGAAAGGCGAATTACTTGGGGCATGTTTAAAAATTGTTCAGGTATTAAGTCTTTGGTCTCAGTAAACTTCAATGTTTATAGTCTTAAATAACCATTTTTCAGTTTTGCACAAAAGTTCAAACGCAAGCATTTTAAAAAATTGGTATGCATGTGCATAATTACTTTATATTTATTAGCATTATAAACTTGTTTGAAATTATTTTACTTTTAAATAGGCTTTTCTTTTTTGTTAATTATTAATAACTTTTTATTTAATTTATAGGTTACAAAATTCTAGTTTTATACATTATTATTTTATATATTAATATAGGTTATACACACAGACCTCTAAACATAATAGTTTTTAACTTTCCAGAACCAATGAAAATTATTATTCATAAATGAATAATACAATTTTATCTAGATTATGATACTTTAATCACCCCAAACCCCTTCTTGTGTCTTTAGCTCACACAGTAACCCAATTTGATCTGCTTGAAAGGCCACCCAAGGCGATGCTAACACGTTCTGTATAACGATGATGGGCCATTGTCGTCTATTCATTTAATTTGCTTGTGCTAATTTTTCGCTCGATACGGCAGAAGTCACATGAAGAGTCAACAGAAGCAAACAGATTGAGGAACAGAGGTCCAGGGGCTTGGAGATCGGGCTGGGGATATGCCCCGGCCGATTCAATAAAGTCATTAGCTAAAGTAGCCAATGCATCGGGGACGTTTGCCGGTCTAAGATGGGAGCAGAATGGAGCGGGTTGCGGCTCACTGAGTTGGCAAATGGAAAGTGCAACGAGGCAGCGGCTGATGCTGTTGCTGCACTTGGAAAAATCTTGTTTATACAAGTATTTTATTATTTAATTACAATTTAAATGTCCTCTGTGATCTGAACTAAAAAGATGTACACAATCGTTTGGTCCACATTTGTCACTTAAACTAAAATAGTAATTTTACTTTATTGCTTAAAAAGTTGTAATACTTAGCTTAGAACTCCAAAACATTCCTAATAACTTACAATAAGAACAATCGATTAATTAAAAATGTGTCTTTCCTAAAGAAGCTCCGTGAATAAATTGGTTTACAAAAGTTGAGTTGTTTTAACCATTTAAAAAAAAAATTTAATTCTCATTATTGAAAGTTATTTTCAACTCAATAAAAAACGTTACATTTTCAAAAATAATTTTTTCTGTGAGCTGTTGCTGCTTTTGCTGATGTTGCTTCTGCTCATGTTGCCGCTGTTCATGTTGCTGATGTTGCAAGAACGACTCATGTGCATGTGTGAGCGCTTAATGGCTGCCGCTGTCAGTTAATAATTCTGCGTGCCGTTTTACACGCCCCAAGGCGTTGCCAACTAACTAACTATCTAACCAACTCCCATAGATGGTCCGTTATCTGGCTTAAAGGGGATTTATAGCCCAGGAAAGGCGGAAGCGCGGGGATTTATACGGGCTCTGCGAAAAATTCAGGGCGATTGGTAAGAAGTAAGGGGCACTGTTGAACTTGGTTTTAAGGTAGACGATTGACTACAATAACATATGTATAACAGCTTTAGTTTTTTTTTTTTAAGCAAGAAAACGCAATTTAAGACTTAATGGTTTCCTGTAAAGCAAATAAAAATTTTAAATTATATTTAAGGCATTATGAACTTAATAGTGTTTGTAAAATTATATTACCAGTTTTCTAGAATATAAGCCAAGGAAAAGCAACTTAATCTTTGATTAAAGTTGTTTGTTTTAAGTAAAGCGAATCTTCAGACAAAACCTTTTCTAGATGTATACGATACCTAAGAGTTTGCACCTTAAAATAAATAAACAGAACATAACAAAACCGCCTGGCACCATCATATCCCAGACGCTATACAAACAGCTCGAACGGATAGAATGGCCAACTGGCACTCATGTGTGTCTGGACTTAACTTTGGGTTTGGATTTTCTGGGGGAACTGCTCACCGATGCAGTCGATAAATCACGTGCGCTACTCATCTCAATCGGCGATTGTGATTGTGTCAGCCGTGGCAACCGCAAAATTAAAATGCTGTCGGCATGACTCGGACTTTTTGGTTGGCTAATTAAATAGGCGAATGTTTTAGCTAGAGAATTTCTTCTTCTAGCCATCTAATTAACAATTAAAATCACGTCAACGATTGAAAGTGCTTCCGGAAAAAATGCTGTTACTACGGATTACTTACTTTATGAGTAAAGGTGAAGCTTTCTTAGGACTTCATTGGAATTATTTGCTTTTTATTTTACACTTGTAATTAAAATTAATCTATAATACAACATTTTTTACGTGTCATGTTTTAGCTAATTAAGAAAGGTTGATAGACGCACAGCTGAGAAAACACGAGCTACAAAAATATCTCAACGTCAACTATTCATAAATTTCCCCAAGCAACCCACTTAACAATTGGTAACCAGACAAGTTTCTCTCATATGCAGATAAGTATATACTTCCATGAACTCCCACATCAAAATGGAATTATCATAATGTTAATCAGACGTAGATATTGCTGAAAAACAAGTTTTCATTGTCTGTAATAAAGGGGAAGCCAAAGGTTAGCGAAAAGTAAGACCTCTAATGAGGAGGCCGCAAATACTTCAAACGTAACTGAAGAATTTCTAGCTCGATTAAAAAGGCATTCAATACGCATGTTAAGAAATGATCTTTCAGTTGAGTCATGCGAATATTGTTGATCGTCTTTTGGCCGCTGCCCTTTTAATGTAATTCAATTTGTGCCTCATTCCAGTTGTCAGTTATTGAACCGGTTGGTATTGTCTTTCCCTGTGCTTCTCGCACATTCATTCATTGCTTTATGATTTATTTGCTTGTGGAATTCAAGGGTATGCTTCATCAATATTTAAAACCTTAAAATTATGTAATTTATAACGTATTGAAAAACTTATTTGAATCCAAATTGTTTAACTCTTTCAATCTTTACTTTAAACACCATTCCGTTCACAATTTTTCTACGCGTCTCAAATTTTTTTTTATGCATATAATAAAAGCTTTTTCTCTTGACTTTTGCTATTTGAGAGCCACACGGCGTATACATAATTTCAAAATTTAATTATGTTGAAAGACAAGTTACATTTCTTTCGCCTCTTACGCTTAAAAATGCGTAAAAGTTTAAATGAAGGAGAATTAAAAGAATGTTCCCAACAAAAACAATCCACAAGGTTAACAACCTTGACCGCGAATTTTTATGAGTTAAAAGATTCTTTTATTTGACTTTTGTTGGTGTAGAATTCAAGTTGATTTTGGCAAATACTTTGTTCTCTCTGTAGAAACCCCATAAAAAAGTTAAACATTTTAATGTGATTATGAAAAGACTCCCGAATCGGGAGTATATTTCTTTTTTAAATGCATATCATGCAGAATACATAAAAACTTACTTGAATTAATTTTATAAATCCATTTCGTTTAGGCAAAGTTTTATTTTTCTTCTGCTACACTCCATGAGAGAGGTATTGCTTTTGGGAAAAAACCCGATCTGAAAGGTAAGACAAACACAATATAAAGATTAAAATGTTTTACACAATATTTGCACTCAATAAGTCACAGCTATTTCTCACAACTAAGTTACCCCAGGGAATTTCATAAAATACTTTCATGTTAAATTAAATTAATTGCCCTTTAGATTGTTTTCGTCGGTCGTTACTAACTTCCCTTAATTAAAAGATAAACGCATAACGCAACTTGACTAACAACAACTGATGCTTAAACTGTTATCAAAAGAAGAGGAAGGGTTAGCAATCGTGCCTTGAATCGCCGAGTTGAAATTGCATGACAATTACCCCAGAGACCCGGAGAGTCGAGCAAGAAATTTCAACAAAATTTGTATGCCAGTTGCGCAGCAATGACAATCGTTAATGGAACCCCCTTGCAATCGCCCACCTCACCGTCCCTGCCACAAAATTGCGTGAATCACGTGAGTCAGCGCCGTGACAATGGGTGAAACGCAATCAAAAGTACTTAAAAGCCCAACCGAAAGTTGACAAGCATCCAAACGATTTGATGGCTTTCTAATTTCCTCGTGTTTCTTTTTCTCTGGGTTGGGCAAGAAAAAAAAACACTTTAATTAGAGATCTGCAGTTCACATGTATTATAATTGACCCCCAAACAAAAGCTGAAAGCTGGGCGGGCAAATTGTTGTCTCTTTTTGTGGTCTCTTTGTGTGGGTCTTGTGTTATGCAAGTTGGAGCATAAGGTCTTGACCTTTTCAAGCATTTTTGTTGATTGAGCAATTGAAAACCGCACAAGTTCTGAAATTTTCGTCAAGTTTTAGGTATAGAATTTCGTAATCGGAGTGCCATGAATTTAATGAAAATTGATTGGAAAAGATTTATCGATATTTTCAATAAATTTAATAAAAATCTGGAAAAAATCTAATAAACTTGGACAGACCTGCTAGAGCTCACTTCAAGCAAAACAGATACACGATACTTTTTTTAATTGACTCAAAGGAATATTTCTTATACAATTTAGAATCCAAATCAAAATTAACAAAGAAATATGAATTTCCTAACATAGCATGTTAAAAAGATATTCAGGATACACATATTACCGAATCAAAAAAAGCAATGGAGTAGGTGAATTCAAGCAGGGAAACGGAAATTATCATTTAAAAAACAGTAATTTAAATTAATTTAGACTCTCATTAGAATAATTAACAAATTGTATATAAGCAACCCCATTGCTCTTTAGAACTATGAACATTAAACAACATTAAATCACAATTTCAGGATTCTAAAGTACTACTTACGGCTTAAATTAAAAAAGATTACCAATTTTATAAATTCTTTCTGCATAAAAATATTTTTTTCCTATATGTACTTATTTTGTATAACCAACAACAGTCCATTAAGTTTGGTAACCATTGATTAAATCGAAAGGTAAGAGCAGCACTTTCGATAAAAGCCTCACCCCGCTAATTGGAATAAAAAACTTTCGCACAGCTCGCTTTTTCATCTAATTTCCTGTTTGACAATGCCAAAAGCGGTTTCAATTTCGAATCAATGCAGCGGGAACTCCCCCTTCCGTACACTCAAAAACATTTTATAGAACAGTAAATGGGATGCATGTAATCAACGTTAACGCAATACTTTTACAAAAGAATCGCTGAACCGCAACCTCCCCCCAAAAAGAGAGCAGTGCACTTAAATAGCTGCATAAATTTCAATTAAAGTGCAGCACAACAAGAAAAATAACAACGAGGTATAAAACAGCTTATGGCTAATTCCGAGGGAATGGACCCTTTGGAAGATGAAGCAAGTCATTCCAAACTCAATTAAAAGGCCACTTAATTACGCAGTCAAAGTGTGTAAATGTGAGAGCAAGAAAAATGGAAAGGGAGAGCCGTAGAACATTTGCAAGAGAGAATGCAATAAGTTAATTTGCATAAGACAAGCGAAAATTTGGATTGACCATGAAGCCGACTGAGCCGCAAATACAACTCTACTGTGGAACTTCGCTAAACAAAATGTAAGTACTTTGAAAAAAATCTATATTATTTAAATTATTCTTGAAATAGCTTAATTTAGTTTATGTTTCAAAATTAGTATGTTATTTTTTAAGTTTAGTTTAGTTTCAAAACCTATTGAATCTTAATAGTCCTAATATTTTGTTGTTTACCTTCAGAAAATATATATATATGTATTATATTTTTTTAATTCAGAAAATATCTGTATTTTTTTTATGCAGAACCAGTGTTTTTTCCCAAGGCCTGTTGCATGCGAGTCTTGCTCTAACCCTATATCCATCTCGCTCTTTGCATTGCACAAAAAGCTGACCACGCAAGTGTGACGTCGGCAGTTGTTGCTGCTGCTGTTGTGGCTGCTGCTGCGTCTGCGCTGTCGTTGGCTTTTTTCCAATGTTATTTGGCCACTCAACCAAAGCTCCCCATTTCCCACTGCCGATACCCCATCTCTTTTGACCGCATGCAACGCCATGCCGTCGACCTGCCCACATTATGTAAAATTGAAAAATGGATAGGCGTGGCCACCAAATAAAACACGAAAATTCTTTTACACGCATGCAACCTGAAAAATGTTTGTTTGGTAGCCGAATTAATTCAAAAAAGAAAGAACGCATCACGAGAACAAGTTTTTGTGTTTGGCATAAAAATGCAACAAAAAAGATTTATTTAACCTATTTTATTTGGTTTAAATATAACAGATATAATGCACCATATAAATTATACCGAAAAATCATGTTAACAAAGTTTTCAGGTTATATACCAATTATAAAGAATTTTTTCTTCTGTGCAGCTACACAAACAATAAGAAGAAGAACAATAACAACGACCAGTTTTAAGGTCTAACGGTGCTTAACGTCACCTACTTTTCATTTTGGATTTTGGTTTTTGGTATATAAAATACATTTTCTTCTGTGTGTGTGTATGACGCTTCTCTAACTGTTAAACCGGTTTTACTTTGTTTTCCATCAAGTTTTCGGGCATTGAAAACGAAATTTATTTTGAAATGGAGTTAAGAGTAAAAAATGAAAGAAGAGTACCCCGTAGAGTTTTGACCGAGTTTTCATTTCGTTAGCCCAAGAAAAATAGTGGTTCAACTTTTTCGCTTTAACCAGTTTTCTTTAAACTAAATTAGCATATTATATCCATAAGCCATATACTCGTACCACTCCCCAAAAACTTGATAAGTAACATAAGAGATAAGACATCCAAACGTGACCATCAGGAATGAAGAAAAGAAAATAATGGGAAAAGAAATTAAAATATTTTAAACCGAAATTACGAAAATTCTACGGTAAAAAACTCGTGGCAGGGTCAATACGATTCAAAATTTTGATAAGCCCAATAAAAATCTCAAGAATATGCATAAACCTTATCTTCGGTATCTTTTCCAAGTAAGATTCTATCACGATTTCATTTTTTATTCTTTTTAAATTCCTTTCTCAACATTTGCATTTATTTATCTCAACGAATATAAAATAAAGTACGAATGTTAATGTCAACTCAATTTAAATTTTATTTAATTATTGTTCAGATAAAAATAGTTTTATATTAGCACCCCAACTAATATTTTATTGCGTTTGCACTTCTCTTTCCATATTAATTGATCCCGTATTGGGGTTTGTAATTTTATGGACGGTGCTCCGAAAATAGAACGAAAAGGCAAGCAATGGCGTGCCTCAGGAGCTTTTTATTATCCCAGTTTTATGAGCCCGTAAAATGCTCCATCGGCTTTTTGGCAACTGTTTTCCTGACTGAGAATAAAACGTTCATTGAGCAGGCCAACACTTTCGCTTGCTTGGCCCAAAGCTAATTTTACGTAAGCATATCCCACCTCAAATGTCCTCATTTCCTTTTCCTAACTTGACTTTTCCTCCCTTTAATAGGTCAACTCGGTCAGGATTAGGTCACATGGGCGGCACCCATTTTTTGGCCAAAAAGGTTAAGTTGGTAATTAAATTTGAGGTCAGTTCTGAGACGGCTATCTAAATGCGGCAGGTTCCTGCCTTTGTTGTCGAGTTTGCTAAAAGCTTTTATCTGCGAGAACGAAATGTAATGAATTCCCTTGCGTGTCAGATTGTCATCATTTGCCTGAGATCATCAGAAGGGAGTCGTAAATATAGTTTGTCAATCTTTCGCTTGGCTGAGCGCTTTGATAGAAGGCCAAGGTGGTTAAGAAAACCATGACAGTAACCAGGAAAAAATACTCCAAATGAAGGGATTTTATAAAGTGCTTCTGAGCAATTTTCTAACTTGCCTTTTATACCTTAGTTTGTGATTTTGTTATGACGTTCCCCTATTACTTAATTACCGGTCTTTGGGGTTGATATTAAGGTTAGTGATGTCAGCTCATGGGGCTTAACTTTTGTTTTGCTAACCCCCTTTTAAAATGTGGCGAAAAGTCAGGCATGTTTATGGAAGGTATTAAGTTAATTGGAATATCGATTAAAAATTTTGTAACCGTAAAAAAATGTAAGTATTTAAATACATATGTAAATTTTGACGTCGATATAATGATTCGATATAATGGAAGTATGAAAAAGTTTCTAAATAAACAATATTTATTTAAGTTATTTCAGGAGTTTTTTTTAGTACAGGTCTCCAGTTTGGCTTTAGATCTAAAAATGCTACTTGAAGGATAGACTGCACTGCGACATTTTGTACTAATTTTGTTTTATTTTTCAACTTACAAATGGGCCAAGAAGAAAAAGTGTAGTTTTTTAATTGCCTCCAACATTTGCTAATTAGGTTTTACAGTTGGGGCAACTCTTATCAGAATTTGCGAATATTCTCAAAGCACAGTGAAAAAGTTTGCATATTTAAGTTGAAGTCAGCTCCCCCACCGGATTTCCCTCTATAACCAACACCTGCTGAGCTGCCGTGACTGAAAGTCATTTAAACTGTTTCACTTGCTGATGTTGTTGCTGGCATAATTATTTTTATACATTTTGTTTGGGTTTTCGAAGAGTTGAGTTGGAGCTAGGTAAATAAATTAGCACTTGCCGAGGCGTTCAAGGCGAGACTTTTAAGATTTGCACTGTGTAGTGCAGTGCCCTGAAGTTGTGAATTTAGAATTTTAAATGAGTTTTGTTGATAAGCCAAACGAGGTTATGTTGGTGGGAAAACTGAAAATTGTGAAAGAAGAAAGCTGCAGGTTTTAAATTATAAAGCATGGTTGCAGGTAACAAAAGCAATAAAATAAACTAGAAACTTGAATTCTGCTCGAGAACTTCTTGGTAAGGTCTATATCCAAATCACGTTCCTAGATATAAATTCTTATCCCATTACAAAGAGATTATTATCTGAGCAAATAGTTCTGGGGAATGTGTAAATCAACAGATTGTCTTAGTTGATAAGCATAGAAAAATCATCTGTCTCTCTCTGCTAAAGATATATTTTAACATGTATTTTAAACCGGAAACAAGATTTGTGAGAGCGTTATTAATTGGGTCTCATTTATTTAAGTACTCAAAAGCTAAAGATACAAGTCAATCAGCTATTCAGTTTATTTTAGCGGGTCGAAATTATACAAATTATCTAAATATTCAAATTTGATAGGCTCATACATTCGTTCAACTCCAAAACAATCTTACTCTGTTCTTTTGCATAGTAAGCGATTGCGACACTCCATATGAGACAATATTTACAGTCTAACCAGCGCAAATTCCCATTCCAGTCAGAGGTAAACAAAAATCAAAAGCGACAATATAAAAAAATTCCAACAAACCTGTAAGAGTTGCTCGCAGTTGCCGCGCAGCCTCTGCCGACGTCGAAGTCGACGCGGACGCTAAGAACTCCGACTTGAAAGCTCTTAGGTGAAGTTGTTGTTGTTGTTGCTGCTGCTGTCTTTTTGCATGTGCAAAACAAGAGAGAGCGAGTGAGAGGGAGCGATGGAGCGCACCAACACACGCGCGATTTGACAGGTAAGCGAAACACGTCGCAAAGAGTAAAAGAAGAAGAAGCAGTAATGAATGATCGTCGCTTTAACTTTTCGGTTGCGTTGGTATGCGTGTGTGCATTTCTGGGAGTTAACTTTTAACACTAATAGCCTTGGAAAATTTAAATAAACAATGCACTTTCCACTCTGGTTGTTGCTGACTTTTTCGCTTAATATATCATTTTATTCACATACACTAGCAAGAAGCGCCGGCTGCGCAGGCGACTTCTGTTTTAAGTTAACCCACGTACAAAAGACGAAAATTCGAATCGTATCCCGGATTTTAATGCGAACAGCGCGGCGATATATCGGCGACTGGCAGTTACTTTTTGTACCGGGTTCACCTGGCCGAAGAAAACTTTTAAGCCCAAGCTCGGCCACGCAACTGTGAGTAACGAACTAGCGCGTTGACTATCTAGATATTTTTACGACAAATCTAGCGATTTTCACATGTATTCCCAAGCTTTAAGGGGTTACATGGGTTTCCTCTGGTAAAAAACGGCCTTTTTTCAAACATTTTTTTTGCATATAAAAAATGAAATATTTCAATGAAACTTTTTATTATTTAAAAGATACATATTTAATAAAGATTTTGTGAAATTTTCAAAAAAAAAATATCAAAATGTCGGCCATTACGACGCCATTTCCGGCAGTCCCTCGGAGAAAAGGTGCCTCCGCGTTGTCAGCAGAACTTCTTTCAGGATCATCCAAAGTAAAAATAAAAAAAACGTGTTTCAGTATAGACAATAAACTAGGTATTGGACGAAGGAAAAAAAAAATGAAAATTGGATTTTTGGCAGACGTTTTTACAAAAAAATGCAAATTTCGATGAAAATTTCTCGACATTTTTTTTTTTTTAAATAGTTGTAATTGAAAAAAAAAAAAATCCTTCGTTCAATACCTTGTAAATGATATCTCGAATACTTGTGTAAAATTTCATTAAGATCGGTTGAGTAGTTCGCGAGAAATTTTGACAACCGACTTTGAAAACATAGTTTTGAGAAAAACGCGTTTAAAGTTTTAAGAGACAATAAAAGTGGTCTCAAGCGTCCACCTTCTCAAGGCTGTATCTCCGAAACTATTACTCGGATCAACTTGAAAATTTAGGACAATATTCTAGAAATGTTATAGAATTTAATAAGACAAAAAAAAAATCGATTTTTTGAAACCGTGAAACCCATGTAACCCCTTAAAACAGTATGTAAGTTTTCAAAGATACGATGTGTACATTTTTACAACAAGTGGCTTAAATTATAGTGAATAAAATTTCACTTTTGATTAGAATTATTAAAAGTCTTAAATGGTTGATACTGGCTGGGGAATTTAAATTTGTTTTTGACCAAAATTCCCTTAAAAATGGATCAGTTTTCCATTTACAGATTATAACGTTTAATATAAAAATAAAAGTATATATTGAAAACGAGTACGGTAAATATGTTATAATTAGAAATTATCCAATTTTTGTAATTGTCCCTTTAACTATGTTTTTTTTTATATTAAATGATCACAACTGGTGGAACTAATAATCGAACTTGGCGGAACCAGTTCCATATATAAACAGAGTTGCACAACAGTTCAGCAGCGGCGAAGTAAAAATTAAATTTTATTAATTAAACAGCCCGAAATATGCTGCGAGCCGGCTGCCAACTGCTGACGCAGTCCGCTCTTCCTGCCGGAAAGACGGGAGGGAATAGTTTTGCCCTGGAGTTCGTCCGCTGGCGCCGGAAGCCCCGATGGCTACCGGTGGCCAAAAGCAAGTTGTTCCGCGTGCCCGAGCGCAAGAAGCAGACAGAGGAGGAGCGCACAGAGCTCATGAGGCTCCACAACCACTACAAGTATATAAAAACATACTATTTATTAAAAGCCACCAATTCATAATTTTTTCTTGTTGCCAGAACCCAGCTGCGGTCAGTGCGCCAGTTTCTAAGGGAAGAAGTTGTCCGACATGAGGAGACCTCCACCGCAGACCATATCGTACTCACTCCCGAGCAGGAGGAGGCCGAGTTCCAAAAGTGTCTGGACGTCAATGCCGCCTGGAACGCTGCCATCGCCAAGGAGCGGGATCAGCGATTGGCAAAGGAGCGAGAGGAGAAGGTGGCGTATGTTCAAGAGCGGTTGGAGGCACGACAGGTGCGCGAGGAGGAGCGCAGGGAAAAGGCCAACCAGCGGGTTCTGCTCGAGATCGAGCGCTCTAAGACGTACATCACGAAAGAAAACTTGGACGCAGCCATCGAGGCCGCTTTGGCAAACCCCGTGGACCACAACTTCGCCATCGACCTGGCTGGAAATCTTTACAAGGGACGCAGTACCTCTCAGCTTCCAGATGCTAATCCCGAGCCCAACCAGCAGGTCCTAAGTAATTAATTGATTGTCTTAGATTGTTATTGCATAAATTGCTTATTTAGCTAAAAAAAGGAATCCTAACTCGTTCTAAAATTTGTGTGCCGGTCCAGTTAAACTTCCTTTGCTTGGTGTTTTCGGTTTCCCATTTCAAATCAAAACCAATTCTTATTACAAAAGTCTATATTTAAAATGTATGTACGGCATTTAAAGTAGAAATAACTTAGACTTAGGCGCAGCCTATTTACAATTTTACATATCTAGTGTGGAACTGAAATCAGGTTGTGCTACGTGTTCGGCACCGGATTGGATCGTTTGGCTGCAGCTTCCTGCTGTTCGAAGAGGTGCACCCAATCTGGAGTGGCCTTGAGCTTGGCCTGAATGGGTCCCAGGTTGATCATGTTTCCGCTGCGCTGCTCGCGGTTCGCGGTAACAGACATAAGCTCCTGCAGGAATCCCGGATCAAGACCCATGTCCAAGTCGAAGCGGGTATCTCCCAGCTGGAGTTTAACGCGACCTGATTTGTACCTCAGAATCTTGCCGATCTGGCCCTCTTCAAGCTGCCGAAGAACACTTCCCTTGGCTACGCTGGAGGATTTGATGGCAGGACTTGAGGGTTCGGATTCACTGGTCGCTAGGGGGTCCGCCTTAGATGGTTCCGCATCCTCGGGTTCATCGCTCACACATGGCAGCACATCAGGCAGCTGCATGAGGAAGATCTGCGACTGACTGGAGTCCAGAAAGTTGCCAATGGTGCGTGGATAGCGACCGTACTGCAGCGGTGGTTCCTCCAAGCTGGCAGCTTGGGCGGCGACATGCAGTTGCTGCAGGTGTTCAGCCACTGCCAAGGTTTCTAGATGCCAAAACAAATTAGAATATATACTATCTACTACTGTAACAATCGTACCCTTTTGTGTAGACGTTGAACTGGTATCCTCCTGCTTCAGAATCGGTGTCTTCTGGGTGACCCACAGTCCTGATTTTATAAAATGGTGAAGGTTAAAGCATTAGTTGAATGACAAGAAACCAATATATAAATAAATTATTTAGTATACGAATGCAGTCTATGTCAAGTGAATACGGTTATCTTGAAATGATAAATGGATATAATTTATCAAAAAAAAAAAAAAAAAAGCCACCATAAATATTTGCCATTCCTAGTAGCAATTTAACGATTTTATCACAACTTCTCCTGTTGACCCACGACCAGCACTTACCCTCCTTGAGCAGGATGGGCCGAAGAGCCATCTCAGTCTTGTTAGGTTCCTCTTCGCTGAGCTCTGCATCACTGGCATCCGATTCACCCAAGAGTTCCTTTATCCTTTCGGCCTGGCTCTTGTCGTCCTTCCGATCTACTCGTTTCCTGGCCACGGCAACCTCCTCGCCGCTCCTGGCGTATGCCGTTCCATTGCCCGTTGACCTCCGCACATGGACGTCGCCTGCTCCTTCAGAGAAGAGTCCTTGGGTTTGGATGAGCGTGGAATTGCCCCCGCCAGCGGAATTTCCACCCCGACCACGTGTTGCTGCAGTGCCATTGCCACGCCCACCCCTGCGGCCGCCCCTGGGTTGGGTGGTGTCCTTGGAGGTCTTGACATTGCTGGGATTCACACATGATGATGCAATTAATGATCTCTTTGGCATAATCCATATACTCACGCATTCTTGTTGCGCACCGCATTCAAATTGGGGGCAAACACCTTTTTGCTCCCCAGCGCAGCGCCACGCCCACCAAGGGTCAAATCGCGGGCGGGGGTCAACCTGGCCATCCCGTTGAGCGTCTCCAGGGGGCGTGACCCGCCCCCAGACGGACCATTGCTATTCGTGGCGGAGCCACTGGATCCACTAATGGACGAAGCTGCTGCTGTGGTGGCCGTCATCCGCTTCGCTGGCATGGCGTCCCATTCGCGCCGCCCGTCCGCTGGAAAAGTCGACGGAAGTCGCTGCGCTCTGCTTTCCCCAAAAATCCGCTTGTTTTCCGTTTAAATTCGCGTTGAGTGGACTTCGTTGAGGTTAAGGAATTCGGCCAGTCTTGCTTTCCTCAAAATCCTCGAGACCAAAGAAAATACTTAAATCTTGTTTTTCCTAATTTTGCCACATAAATCGGTTTGTTCAACCCAGCAAAACATTGGTTGGAGCCTAGGATTGACTTACTATTTGAACGTAAATCTTTTAAAGGTACAACGTATTTTGCTTGATTTAGGATAAGAAATGTTTTTCATTGTTTTTCTAAGATACATGTGGCCAGGTTTATGAATCCTTCATCTTTAAGCTTAGAGGATATTTGAAGAGATTCAAGAAAAAATTTATTTTAAAAAAGGTTCTATACAAAAAAAAATAAATATAGTTTGTAGAGCTCAAAGGTATTTTTTTTATTCATCGGCGGTCACACTGATTTTGTGATTTGTAAACAAACCGGCAAAATCGCAAAATCTCATGGCAGGATATTAATTTTTAAAAGAATAAAGAAAAATCATCTGAACTATGGCCTCCAAGCGATTTGGTACCATGAAGGACTTCGCCCGAGCCAAGATTCCCCGCTTGGATGTCAGTGTCACGCGAGGATCATCTCGACCCAGTCCGCCAAGAAACAATTTCGATGGAATTTTTTGGGACGATGATGACGACGACGTCATCCTGATGGCCACCCAACAGGCGGAGGCGGAATTGGAGGCAGAAGAGCGCAAGAAGAGAACGGGATTGGATGTTGATATCGGTCCCAGTCAGGTGACCTTCAGTGAATTCGCTCCCATGGGCCAGGGCTCCACTAGCACGCAGCAAATGTTCCCGCCACCACCGCCGCCCCAGAAAAAGTCCACGTCACTGGACATGGATGCTATTTTCGGGGACGACGACGATTTTGATTTCCTGGCTGTGACCCTCATTGATACCGAGCCACAAAAGCTGCCGGAACCGAAACCTAGCACAAGCAGAACCATAAGCTCCAACATCAGCATTCAGCAGAAAACCACAACAACGACGACTATTAATGCGACGCAATCCCGCCAGCAGGAGCACCAGATCAAGTTCCTTATGGAGCGGATAGAGGGTCTCAAGCGGGACAAGGCCAAGCTGGAGAAGAATCTGGGCGAATGCAACGAACGCAACGTGGTCAAATCCGGAGAGGTTGGCTAATTAAATTATTTAGATCATGCAATTACCTTAATATTTAATAAATACAACTACATATTTCGATTTCCGCAGGTTAGTCTGCTTCGCGATGAGCTAAAGCACGTGCGCCAGCAGCTGCAGGCCAGCAAAATGGAAAAACTGGCTTTGGCCGACGAAACGAACCGGGACTGCAACAAAAAAGTGGCTGAGGCTGCCAAGCAGATAGCGGCCAAGGATATCGAGCTAAAGATAAAAAATGCCGAGTACACCAAACTGAAGACCCAGCAAAGGGCCCACGAAAAGAGCATGAACTCCAGCATGAGCATTTGGCAGCCTGCTCCAGATCCGTTCGAGAAGCGGTCCGCACTCCGACTAAACCGGCTCAACATACACAGATCTGCGCCTAGATTAAAAACTGATAATGGCAGTATGTTCGAGTACAGCGAGAATGCGGATCAGGGTAGGAAACAGAGTAACCCTTTTGACTTAGAGCTCAAACAACTGCTGCTTTATTACGCTCAGTTGCAGGCGCAGCCCGTATCTTTGGATAATCTCATTCCAAGAGTACTCTCCTCCGTCGGCAAAGTGTTCACCGAGTTCGCCTCCTACGCCCAGAGCTTGGACTTTCCGCACAACTGCATGTTGTACCCTTACAATCCCCATAACCTCGAGGAGCAAGTTCATCGCATCTCCCTTTCGCAGCAGGGTAGTTTGTATGAGAACGAAAGGGCTTTGCCGCTGCGTCGCTACATGGCAACCTTGGCCTTGATTTGCCGGCAAGAGGAAAGAATTTCCCGCGCTCTTCTGGAGTGGAAACAAAATGATCTTGGACTACTAGAAGTGGCTATTGAAGCTGTTATAAAGTTGGGATTCTCCTACGAAGTCAGTAAACATTTCGGTTTGCTGGAGGCTTTGGCTTCCCTTCTGAATAGTCTCTTACAAGAAAAGGAAATGCTTCAAGAGAGTGAGGAGCACCTCTTTGATCTTCTCAAGCAGCTGGTTTTTACACGTCCCAGTCCTTGGGTTTTTGCCGAGCTGAGCTCCTGTCTTTTAAGCTGCCTTCGACATCCGCAACTCATGTCCAAGATGTGTGTAAATAGTCCCAAGCACTGTTTTGTGTCGGATCGCGTTCGCTCTGTTTATCGATTTGGTCCCGAATCCTGTTTTCTTCAGGTCTATGCAGGATTACTTGAGCTTTGTTTCTTTAGTGAAACGCCTCTGAGAGAGGATCACTTTCAACTGCTTCTGAGAATCGGAGGAAACCACGTCCGTTTTGCTTTCGAGTGTTTCAAGAACCCGCCGGATTTCATTCTGGAAATGCTGCCGTACTTTGCAGATGATGGCGAGGAGGATTCTGGTAATGACACTACGGCAAAAATGGCTGGCAGTTTGAGTTGCAGCACAACGGCAGGGGTGCAGGGAACAATCTCTAATGCATCATCATCTTCTTCTGTATCTAATTTGAATCAAAACTCCAATTCAAACTCAAGCTCAACGCAACGCGCAAAGGACTGCGAGTGCTATGTGAAGTTGTGCCTCAGTGCGGTCACGATTATCTTCCAGGTTATGCACCAATGGATGTTGCACGACAGGAGTTCAGGTTGGTTTTATTTGTTAATACATAGTTAAATAGTTATAACATCCTTCTTTTTTTAGGTTCTGATGAGGTGGGCGCGATTTCCCGCATTGCAGTCCACCTGCTTACTCTCGTGTTCCATGAGTATTACCTCACCTGCCTTTTCCTCGACTCCGAGGAGACGACCAAACTTTACCTCAGCCTTATTTGTAACTGGTGGAGCGAACATGCAGAGTTGCTTGGATTTCAGCCAATACATTGTAACTTAAACAAGTTTTTATTTTAAATTATTAACTTTTAAAATACCTTTTTCCAATTTAGTGCGCTTGCTTGGTCAGTTGGTAAAAGCCCATTTCATCTTGAAACCGCTGCATCAGGAAGCCAATATTAATAATCCTGGCAACGACCTCCTCGAATGGAAGCGGATTGTTAAGAATGCGGATGCCCAAAACACGATTAACTTGGTTCAGAACTTTGATCCTCGTAAACTGCTCGACATCAACTTCTTTGGTGCCCTTAAATGGGAGGAGAACTTGTTTGAATAGTTATCGGTTGTTTCGTTTAGGAATTTTAGCTTAATCTAAATATGTGCAGCAAATAGATAACCTTAAAACTCAAATAGTAATGTGTTTTCGGTTGGACATTGTTTAGAGATTGAAATGCATGGGCTTCAATTATTTTTGTTTGATTTAAAACATTTCAATACCTTCTTTTCCAACTAGAAGTAAAATTAACGACTTGATTGATATTTAAAGTTCGCGCTCACAACTTGCAAATTACATACCGTAATCGATATATATACGATAAAACCAAAACTGCGACTTAGTTTATTGCTCCGAAAGAACTAGTTCAAACAGCTGTTTTTAGCTCTGTGAACTAGTTTATAAGCGGGATTTTCTCATTTCTATTAGAGACATTGAATTGTATTAGCTTTAATTTTTTTTTAACGCTATAAAAACGAGTTTTAATAAAGAAGATTATGTTTATCATTTATGTGCTATTTGTTTACAATCACAATTGTAAGAGGATGGTGTAAACAAACAACTTTTATATATACAAGCACATGTAAGTTTATGTCAACAAACCAGCAAAGTACAAATCCAGGAACAATATCGGCAAGCCGAAGCGTATATATCCTTGCAGTCATCAAATATGTCCAACAAAATGCATAAGGGCCAAAAAACATGGAAGCTATGACGATTTTTCTATTAATTTTCCATATTTTCGACTATTGTTCATATGACAGTCATATGATATACATAGCTGTCAGATTTTGATAAAATTTAATTTATAATTCAAGGGTTTGTAGAAAACTATATTCCAAAAATCATGCTTATCTGATGAAAAAAAAACGATGTTTTAATGTTATTTCCGTTATTTCTATATAGATTTTTCGATCTTTCCTATGGCAGCTATGTATATAATATACATAGTTGTTGTATTTCAATGAAATTTTGTTCTCGATTTGAGGGTTATTAAAAAACTCCATATTTTGAAAATCATACTCATTATTTTTATATACATACATACTAGCTGACCCGGCAAACGTTGTTTTGCCACCAGATGACTTTATAATTTCTCTATAAAAGTTACTTAGTTCTAGACTTATGTATTATAAAGTCATCTGGAGTCCATGAGGGAATATAAAAATAACAAAATGCAAACATTATTTTTAATAAGTTATTATAATTTATAACACTATTAAATAATGCTATAGCGTGAACAATATTTTTTGTGAGTCCATCTTTTGCTAATACAAACAAACTGGATGGTTTACCCACTCGAGAGCATGCCACGTATAATTGTCCGTGTGAAAAACATGGTGTTCTTAAATCTAAGCCACAAATAGACATCGTTTGACCTTGGGATTTGTTGTTAGTCATTGCAAATGCCAATCTAGTCGGAAACTGAATTCGTTTGAATTGAATTGGCGCATCAAGTATAATAGGAATCCTTGGTATTAGTATATTTTCACCTCTGAACTTTCCATTTAAAATGCTGGCTTCCGATCACGTTGTTCATTAATTTTTTAATTACTAATCGCGTACCGTGAATCATGTTTGTTGTAACAATATCAAACAGCAGTCTGTCAGAGGATGGATCTGGAATTTTCATTTCTGCGGAATCGATTTCTTCAGGACGGATTTTGCCGATTAACCAAACCAAAATGTTTGCATGAGGTAATCCTCGCTTTTGCCACTCAACCGAATACAGCCAGCATCGTGTGGGACCGAACACATGTAATGATGATGGCAAATGACATGGTTACCAATTTCGGCGACGTTGGCGTTGTTGTTGATAGCGTCCCGCAAATGAATGTACTCTTCCGCGCGCAGCTTTAGTTGATTATATCGTAAGAATCGTAGTCGTTCGCTCTCAATCTTCGCGTACATGTCGACCATGAATTGTTGACAAAGCTCACGACATCGTAGAATACGTTGTCTAGGCCACGTCTAATCATTAATCGGTACGCATAATAATCCTTTGAGCTAACGTTCTTGTTGGTTTCAGCTCCTGTAATTAATTTAAATTTAATACTTTCAATTATTTAATTGTTTTGTTAAATGATTAATAATCAAATTCATAATCAATGAAGTACCTGATACGGGATCTCGTTGTTTTATGTTTATGCAGTATCCGTCTTGTCCCTTCCAGAATATTAGCGGATATTGGAGAGCGTCATATGAACGACAACATTATCATATAGCGGCCATAGGAAAGATCGAAAAATCTAAATAGAAATACGGGAAATAAAATTATAACATCGTTGTTTTTGATTAGACAAGCATAATTTTTGGAATATAGAGTTTTCTAACTGCTCTTGAATTGCATATTAAATTTCATCAAAATCGGACAACTATATCATATAGCTGCCATACGAACAATAGTCGAAAATATGGAAGGTTGTTTAGCCCTTATGCATTATGATCGAAATATTTGATGACTGCAAGGGTATATAAGCTTCGGCTTGCCGAAGCTAGCTTCCTTTCTTGTTTTTATTTACATTTAATAACCCAAGAAAATGGTAAAACTTGGCTCAAATAAAATTGTTTTAATGATATTGCCTAAAAAGGCTAATTACCTGGGTTTTTCAATCAAATAAATGCTCAGTGCCATACTACCTAAAACAACTAAAGAAAAGCTCCAGTCATTGGCAGTATATTAACGATATGGAATTCATGAAGCCCGTTTTGCAGGGATTAGGACCTCCACTTGCTGCGCAGGTGGTCACAAACATAACGGTTGTCATGACTATGCTTAATATCCCCGGTCATTGGATCATCGAAATCGCCATCGCTCACCTGAAAGGGGCAAAGGGAGATCATAATCTAAGGAGATCATAATCACTCTTTGCCCCTTTCAGGTGAGCGATGGCGATTTCAATGATCCAATGACCGGGGATATAAGCATAGTCATGACAACCGTTATGTTCTGTGACCACCTGCGCAGCAAGTGGAGGTCCTAACCCTGCAAAACGGGCTTGATGAAGTCCATGTCGTCAATATACTGCCAATGACTGGAGCTTTTCTTTAGTTGTTTTAGGTAGTACGTCCCTAGATTCTTCCATTTTAGCCTGCATGTTTCTATTGGGACTTTCATCAAGATCGCTATTTTTGTCCATGCCTGTTGGGACTGATAAGCCCTATCGGGAAAATGGGGGTTCCATATCGCTGGGTGGGCGGCGACCTGCCGCAGTAACTGCATTGTGGTAACTTCACTCCAACGGCAGGTCCACTCCATACTCATCTGGAAAAAAAAGGTTTGGGTAGAGTGCTGCACAGGGGCGGACGCAGAAAAGAATTTTACCTTGCCGGAAATTGGAAAATCAATAGAATTGTTGAAACTAAAAAATTTTGATAAATCGCGAGCGAAATGTTTGCTGGTATGAATAATATTTTATTTTATAAATTCTTCAAAATCGGATAGTTTTTGTAATCGGAAAGTTTTGTATTGTTCCGATTTAAATTGAATGTGAATAGCATTGACTGCTAATGCAAAGTGCCTTTACTGAGCTTAGTTTTTATACACTTGTAGAGCAAAAGGGTATTATATTATAATTTCAGTCAGAAGTTTGCAACGCAGTGAAGGAGACCCCTCAGATCCCATAAAGTATATATATTCTTGATCAGCATCACGAGCAGAATCGGAAAACGTCTGTCCGTCTGCCCATCTGTCCGTCTGTCCGTCTGCCCATCTGTCCGTCTGTCCGTTTCCGCGCAAACTAGTCTCTCAGTTTTAAAGCTATCTTGCTGAAACTTTCCCAAAAGTTGTGTAGTTGTTGCACGCAGTATATAAGTCGGAACGCGCCAGATCGGGCGACTATATAGGATAGCTCCCATACAAGAAATTGAAATACGATATTCTAACGCCGATGTTTTTGATCAGATCGATTTGATTTCTTCAAGATAGCGTTTTCTACTATTGAATTTCGGATTAAATTTTATCAAAATCGGATAACTCTATCATATAGCTGCCATAGGAGAGATCAAAAAATATATATAATTAATGGAAATAAATTGATAACATCGCTGTTTTTTATCCCACGAGCATGATTTTTTGAATATCAAGTTTTTTCCCATAGGGAAGATCAAAAAATCTATAGAGAAATAACGGAATTAAAATTATAACATCGTTGTTTTTCATCAGACAAGCATGATTTTTGGAATATAAAGTTTTCTAACGACTCTTGACTCTTGTTTAATACCAACTTTCAATTTTGAAAAGATAAATGTTATGCATTTATTAAAGGCATATGCATAATAACTTTTGGTTAATTTTGAACAAATGAATGAGACTTTAATAAAAACAGACCAAATTTGACCATAAAACAATTTTTTTGCTGCCAATTTTGAAGTTTGCGAACATAACCCCTTATTTTGTACTGAATCCATGGTTCGCTTAACTCTATTTCGCTTAACACGAGGATTTCTAGGAACGTAACCCCCGTGTTAAGCGAGGGCCAAGTGTACTATTGAATTTCGAATTAAATAAATCAAAATTGGATATATCAATCATAAAACTGCCATAGGAAAGATCGAAAAATATATATAAATAACTAGCTGACCCGGCAAACGTTGTTTTGCCACCAGAAGACTTTATAATTTCTGTACAAAATGCACTCAGTTCTAGACTTACCTACATATGTATTATAAAGTCATCTGGAGAGCTGCGAACTATGAGGGAATATAAAAATAACAAAAGCCAAACATTATTTTTAAGTTATTATAATCGCGTCTGGCAAAAAATGAATCAGGTGGTGTTTCAATTTCTGGTAGTTGCACTTTTCCTGACGTGCAACACATCCCAGCTGGCTCATTTTTAAATTTCAGAGCATGACAATGCGGACATTCCTTGTCCATAGCACCAATTACCACTTTTGAGTGAGCATAATACTCAATATCGGGCTCATACTGGAATGCTAGACGCAGTAATGAATCATATATAAATGCTAGACGTACCTGTTGTCGTTGATGGTCATTTGTTCTGCCTCTATTGACTGTGACACGGCGTGGTTGTCGTTGTTATAATCTTCTGACTTCATTGCGTACAGCTCGTGTAACTTCTGGCTCTTCTCTGACTTCATTGCGTTCAGCTCGTGTATCTTCTGGCTCTTCTTGATGCAATTGCGCTATTCTTTCGGATCTTCTATTTGTATCACGGCTCAAAGTACCCGCTTTGCGTTTTCTTGGCATAGCTCACTGGACAGCTATCACTCACTCATAAATAGAATTAATGATTTTACTTAATGATGAAGGATTTTTGCCCCAGTTTAAATTGATTTAAAATGCTATGGGTAAGGTAACAAAAACTGTGACACGAGAATTTTATATATTAGATGAAAAAAAAATTATAACGTTGTGTTTTATCCCACGATCATGATTTTTAGAACATCGAGTTTTTAAAATACCTTTAAGCTGGGAAAAAAGGTTTATTAAAATCGGACAACAATATTCTATAGCTGCCTTAGAAAATATCGAAAAATCATATGAATTAACGAAAATTAACTGAAAAAAAAATTATAACTTCGTTGTTTTTCATCAGAAAAGCATAATTTTTGAAATATAGTGTTTTCTAATGACATTAAATTTCATAATAATCGTCGAAAATATAAAAACTTCATAGAAAAGTCGACATATTGATGACTGCAAGGGCTTATACGTTTGTTTAACTTTTACATTAGTCATCATTAAAACTTACAAAAATAAAAAATAAAAAATAAAACTAACTATTGTCCTTTTATAACAAATAACAAATGGCCTTAGCTCGGACAAGAACAAGCACGCTGGTCAAAATCCTAAACCGGACAGGAATCACCCATAACAACATGTGTTTTGAAAAGCATAAAATCTAAACCTTCTCGCAATCTTATACTTAAACTTTATAATAGCATGCAAAATTTACGTGAACGACATACTTGAACCTTGGTACATTTCTTGCAATGGGTTTTTCCCCATCTAAATCTTAACTAAGCTCCCAAAGAACAGATTTTTCTTGGAAAGGGTATTTAACAAGATAAGTGTTTGGAATAGATAAGCAAGATTTAATATAAGAAAGTCAAAGGTCAATAGGTCAAGTTCTGATCTCGAGAAATCGGCATGTGGAAGGTGTTTTTAAATTTTGTAATAATATCAATGAATTTCTTTTCAAAACAAGACTCCTTCAATAAGTTGTTAAACGACCCATACTTAAGCGACTCGAAAGTAATATAATTTATAATTTTATCTCACGATTTAGTAGAACCACAAACAACACCGCTTTGTTTGGGATGAGCTCGCCAAGCACGTTTTATTATTTGATACCGCGAATTACATACATCCACACCGAGAGAATTTTTTAATTTACATATATTGTTCTTTATGTGATTGAATTAAATTTACTTTGTTTTTATGCAAAATGTATATCAAAATTGTTAATATGCAGTTGTAAAGTTAAAGTTAAAGATGATAAATTAAATTACATTTTTTGTTGCAAAACACGATTTTATTTGTGCATGTTCGATTATAAATTGTTTACGGTGAATAAGTGAACGTTCTCGCCACAAGTGTTTTAAAAGCTTAACGGTCAGATGATTTCATCAATGTTGTAATATTGAAAAATGTGTGCGAATCGCGTTGGGTGTAATTTTTTCTCTGTATCGTGCAGTGATAATGACAAAGCTCCCAGATATACTGGTGATGCTTTATAGGGAAAGCCGGAGGCAATTTCATAACTAGTGACCACGAAATGGTTCAGTCGGTTGGCGAGGTTTGTTCAGTACGGACGTGAAATGGGGATGGAGAACTATACGGCGGAATATTTCGAGAGAGCTTTGTCGAAAGCCTTTCGATGTGAAAAGCTGCGCGTGGAAAATTTCAACATTAAGGTTGTGAGCCAGAGTGGCGAGAACTTTTGCAGCGTCATCTACCGGGTGTCGCTGGACTTCCGCCGGTCTCCCGATAGTGCTCTCGAATCAGGAAATTATGTTCTCAAGGATCTGCTGCCCGTCGCTGCCGAGATCGGTTCAAATGAAAAGGACATGTTTGAGCAACTCCTGCCAGCTATGTCGGCTATCCTCAATAAATCTGCGACTGAGATTGGTGAACACAAACTAAGCGCCGAGTAAGTAGTTGAATTTAACAAACAAGGTTAAAAAATTTTATTTGAATTTGTGCTACATTAAATATTTTATAGGAAAGGGTTTTTTTCTATTTCTATACAATCAAAATAAAATCTTTTTCTTGCCAATAAAACTTAACTTTATATTAGAAAAGTTCAAGACTTTTGTATGGAGGTAGAAAAATTGACTGTTTTCTTACCAGATACAATATATTTATTAATAATTTCACCGATTTCAATATAAAAACAAGGCTGCTGAATTTTTATTTAAATTTCCATATTTTTTTTCTTTGACAACTAAATTAATCTTCTAATCTTCTTCGCTAAAAAATTGTTAAAAAACAAAAAATAATACAGGAAAAGGACTTTTCTCGGTGTAAATTAATTGTTAAAATAGGAACGCTTTAATAAATTTTTGTTGCGTTTTTTAGCTGCCTTCTTGTGGAGACATCAGCCAGGAAAGAGATTTACCTTCTGGAAGATCTGGGAGCCCTGGGTTACGGATCTTTTAATCGCTGTCAGGGCCTAAATCTAGAAGAAGCCAAAATTTGCCTAAGGAAACTGGCTCAGTTCCACGGCGCTTCCATGGTTTTGTTTCAGGATCAACCCGAGTTGATCACAATGCTTGCGCCTTCGAATTATAGCAAGGGACTGACTGATCATTTCGGCAAGGTTATTGTTCTAGACGGAACCGAATTTGCGGCAGAAGCATTTGCTGAGGAATTGCCAGAAATATCTAAGAAAATGAAAGCCCAACTACCCCATGTGTATACCCGGAAAATGCAAAGTGTGGTAGATCCTAATAAGTCGGCCTTCAATGCGGTGATTCACGGTGATCCCTGGTTAAATAACATAATGTTTGATGCAACTAACAAAAGAGCAGTACTTGTAAGTAAAAATACCCTTTTTAATCATTGAACTTATTTAGTAATTTATACTGTTTTTTCCATTTTAGGTGGATTTTCAAAACTGTTTTTGGGGCAGCCCGGCCATAGACCTTCATTTCCTCTTCTACACCAGCATTAAGCAAGATATCCTGCTGAATCAGCAGGATGATCTTCTGAATCACTATTTTAATAGTCTTCAAAGCACATTGAAGCATTGTGGTTATAAGAAAACATTGCCCACTTTTGATCAACTGAAGGATGAAATGCAACGCTGTTTGCTTTACGGCTATTATTCCGTTGCCTGTGAGCTCCCCATTTGTTGTGCTACACCTGAGGCAAGTGCCAATTTTGGTGTTCACACCTTTGGGGATCCAGAAGCAATGCTAAAAAAGCGTCAGCAATTGTTTACCAACGAAAGAGTGCGTCAGACAATTAAGGCTTGTCTACTCCAGTTTGATCAGCAGGGTATATTGGATTAGAAATGAAAAGATCCTGTTTCTTTTTATTTGTTTAAAGCAATATTGATTGTTTTTTATTATTAGTATTTTGTGTGCAGTAAACTGTGCAATGTATTTAGAAAAATTAATTTCCTTCTCAAACGAAAGCGCCTAAATAATTCAAAAATATATTTTTACTTGCAAAGAAAAATTGTTAAATATTTGTATACAAAAATATGTATTACAATAAAATAAATAATTGATTTAAACTATACTACTTGTTCGACTTTTAATACTTATAACATTTATTTAATCCAACATTCAAAATGTTGTAGTCTTTATATGCATTTTATATTTTGATTAAACCGTCTAGATGCATTTTTTCAATTTCTACATATTGCAACCCTTCCTTTTTGATAGAAACCCAACTCAAGTGTTACTTCTTGTGTTTATAAATAAATTTGTTGTCTGCCAAAGTTTTTGGCCAAGATTTACGAGAGTGAGTGTGTGATGCATGTGCTCCGGCTGGCTGCATTAAAAGTGATAAAGTTCTCACTTCCATTTCCACCCACCTCCATACAGCTAAATATGCAAATCGCTTTGCAGTTATTCTTAGAAAGTTGTCAGCTGCCAAGTGTAAGCCAACTCGGCTCCAACTGAAGCCAAGCGAATCGAGTCGGGGAGCATATAAGACCAGGATCCAGAATCGAGGAGGAATATCCTGCAGCAGAGAGGGAGCCAAAGTGCATTCGACGCCAATGTTACTTCGAACACGCTTGTCCTTCTTCTAAGTGTTTAAAAAGCAATTTATTGCTATTGTTCGGGAGCAGTCAACTTTACCTTTTCTAAGATTCACTCTGGAGTGGTAAAAGGTGGCAAGTCTATTGAGAAATTTATGCAAGGGTACTATGTTGGTATTCATAACTATTATTTTACAAGAAGAAATCTTTTTATGACAAAAACTTTATTGTGTAAATTAGTTTTTGGAAAAGGTTCCTTATCGTATCTAATTTTATTGTATTTCCTGGTGAAAACATGTTAAATTAAAATAAATATTGAATTACACTATCACGCAACATTTAATTGCTAAATCCGCTTCCGTAAAATTTCACAAATCGTTTCAACTGACGGTCAATTACCATTTCCCCCAACTTTTTACGACTTACTAGGCCCATGGGTAAACACAAACCTTAATTAACATTGAAAACAAACACGAAGGCCCAACGCAAACAGAAATCTGTCTAAGGCTGCCAGCCAGTCGAAAGAATCCCATAAATCAATTTTGAAATGCATTAGAGACAGGTAACCTGCCGCCGTATTTTCCCACTCCCCGATTTTGTTAAGGAAATTGCTTGAAGCAAAGTGAATGCAGAATTGCAAGGGGTCAACTTTCTGGAGCTGGTCAGTGGCCAAAAGTTGCAGCCGAGTCAACCCCCAAGACCAGTTTGCCCCTTCTGCCGTCGTCACCTTTCAATTAATGCGTATTTCTCCAGTGTCATGGTAGAAGTTGCTTCCTTTGCTTTCATCTGGGGTTGCATTTACTTAACGCCTCGCCTCAGCACTTAACTTCCGTTTCCTGTTACCGAAGGGAGGGGAGTTTCGGTCCCGAGTCGCCGACTTTCGGGCAAGGCATTTGCAACTAATTGAAAGTGCAATGCGATGCTGCAGAATGCAATTAATGCCTTCGGGCCCTGGAAGGCCAAAATTCCCATCCTCGTCCGTCTGCAAATGAGGAGTTGCATTCGAAACCGAATCGCACAGAAAAAACGATTTCTATTGGGGTGCTCAAGGACCCACAGGAAGTTCGAGGAAGTGGTTAGCTGAAGAATTGGTTTATTGAACTCCTCTTGTAAATTCTAAGTTTGCCTGCTTACTGAAATACTGCTAAGCTTTGCTTAGTAAAGTTAGTAATGTTCTTACATTTCTGTAACTTAAAAATAAAAATAAAAAAAACCTGTTTTTTAAATAGAAAACATATTACTTTAAGTACACAAAATTAAAAATATAATATTACCTATATAATTAATACTTAATATTATATAATAATATAAATATAAATATTATATATATATACGTTTACACTAGACCTATTTTTTATTTGTTGTTGAATACCCCATTTTCATGAGCGTTCCATCTTAGATAAAGACTACTTTCACACCCTCTAGAATCTAGACTTTTACTTTCAATCAGGCACAATTTCCTCCCAGAGTGCCAGAATTATTTAAGAAACTTTTATCAATTAGCTGCCAACTACTCAGCGTATGGCTGATGTTTGGGCAACGAAGCTTCGAGTCAGATTCCTGAGGGGCAAACTATTAAAAGCAATAAATTTGCACAGGCAACCATAAATCAAAGTCCGATCATAATCTTGGGCTGAACAAATAGAGAGAAAAAGCCAAAAACGAGACTCTCGCTTCCGCTTTGGGTTTCCCCCTCCTAAATCCTCCTAAATAAAAGTTCCAATCCAAGGAACTTTACCACAATCCGGGGAAATAGTCGCTTCGCTTCGTTTATTAATTGTACAACTGTCTCCAATCATAATTAATGAACTTTCGGCACATCCTCCGCCGCAAACTCCACATGTCCTCCTTATTTCGAGGAGGAGTGCAAAGCTAACAGTGAAATATAAACACAAATGTTTTTCTTGGCACACCATAAATCTTTTATTTGGCAAATCTCTGTTGGGCTTTTCCGTTCAAATTCCCTCCCTCGCCACTCTGGTTTTCCTTGTTTTATTTTGTTTAATGGTTGGCAGTATCAATTAGTCATATTAAAGGATTTAAAGGGATTAGTTTTATTGCCTTAGAAATGATTATGCTTTATCTTAAAGTTAGGAAAATATTAATAACAATGAAATAGTACGTGAGGTAATTAAATTTATTGCGCTAGAATTTAAACAAGAGGATTTCATATTGAGATCATAACTATAAAATTATGTTGTATAATATATATTTATGTATAATATATATTTTATATTCGTGCTACCCCAAATGGCACAAACAAGAGTTAAGATTTAATGACTAGGCAATTTTATTCCGGGAAAGTGGAAAATTACATATGCAAATCCGTTATAATTATCAGCGAACATCCTTAAAGAACCACATTCCCCATTCGAAAGGGAAAAAGCTTAAAAGCAAACACGTAAATTGCGATAATTTTTCATTTAGCTTTGGCCTTTCTTCGACGCCACTCATCAGTGGCTCATTTATCAAAGTGATTGCGTTTAGTCAGTTAGTCATTTGAGAGCAAAATTTAAATAATTTTAAAATGATGACAAAAGCTTTTCCAGCAATCCAAGTAATTATGCGCACATGGCATCCAGAGAAAGGTTTTGCGGAGACTGCAGGCATTAACACTTTCACGGCAAACAATCTAGAGATAAATGAAAGCATCATTAGTCATTGGCCAACCCCACAAACCAGGTTATCATATGTGTCCTCTGCAATTTTTCACATTCCGTGCCAAAACAGGGTGGGATTATATGTGATTAAATCCTTCAGATACTTTGTACGTATTCATATGCAAATTCTTTGCGGCAGGGTGTGACAGGTCTCTAGTCGTGCAACTAAGTACTTTGGAAGCATTTTCTCCTTTGTCCGTGGCAAATTATTTATTGGTTACCATTAATTACAGTACAGAAGGCTTTTGATGTTGTTCGAGCACAGCTTTTAAAAGACCAATACTTTATTGCACGTTATTATTATATTTATTAAAAATACATGCATTTTACTGTGTAAAATAGCAACTTCTATGTTACATAAATTGCTAAAGCTTATTAAGCTTAGCATTTTATTATCGGTTTATAAATTAATTGACAAATTTTGACAAACTATTCCTGCCATAACAATCTTAAAATTTTCTTTAAAATACTTCAAGTTTTGTTATGTACAAGTATGTGCCTTCTTTTTGGATTACAAATGGCTTGCATGCCAAAAAAATCGATTGCAATTACTTAAACTGTGCTGTAATAAGTCTAATATTTCTCACATGATTGTTAAAAACGCTACTCGTTTCTACAAAGCACTTTCCTTTATGACATTTCCGCGCTTAAGCGTAGCAATAAAAACTAAGCAAGTCCTGCGCAAATTTTGATAAAACTCGAATGGCGCACTGTAGTAACCAATCGATGGCAGCTTACTTTTATGAGCTCAACGACATGGGCCAAAAAACTAATTACCTCAGACAGAGTTTTATATGGAAGTTGAGGAAACTTTTATGGTCGGTGTGGTTTCGGCACTTTCAATATAATTTTTAATGTCATTTTGCATAGGATTTTAATACTGCAATCGATGAAACGGTCTCGTCCTATCCTCATATATATTTTACAGTAAAGGATTTTATGACATCTTTCGTCTGTGGGAATCAAGGCGGAAAATTTGTTGACTTATAAAAGCGCAGCGTCGTTCTTTATAATGGTTAACAAAATTTATTCATAGTGCAGCTTCCCCTCACCTCAAACAATTACTGCAGTGATAAAATAAGTTTTGAGACGTGTGTACAAGCCATGTTAACTTCTTCCAAATTTATTACCAGTAAGATACTGCGAGAAAGCGCATTATTTTGCATCACAAAAGTTATAATTTTTAGTACCAAAATCCATCTTAAAAGAAGAAGAGGGAGTAAATATAAATGTTTATAGGCGGGTCAATAATAAACATAAGAAGAACAGCCTAATACTTTGATTTGTTGAAAAATTACTTACACAATTGAAATTCCGTTTACCATGTTTCAAAATTTTGCTGAAAAAACCTATAAGAGAAAAATTAATTAAAAAGGTCAAAATGGTTAACAATTTTTTTTATGCAAATATAACTTTTTTACTTTAATTGTATAAAAAGTTTTTGATAAGGCATAAAGACGCTGTTCTTAATTTTTGCTTTCAATCTAGAATTCATCAAATGTTAATTTCTTTTACAAAATATTTTACATATTTTATTGAAGAAATCTAAATAAAACCCTGCGGTCTTTTACTTGCAGCACTCTCCTGAAACATCAGAATCACCATGCGCCCGAAGGACCACCCCGATCTGCGATTCGACGTGATTCCCAAGCTGTACGATGTGCACTTCAAGGTGTTCATAACCAGTTTGTGTCACGTACAGGAGCAGCTGCATCTGCTGCCCCGACGATTCTGCGGGATGTACACAACCCGTCCGCTGGCGAACCAACTGTTCGTGAACCTGAAAAACCGCAATGCGAATATCAAGGAGAAGGACTTCCATCTGGTGGAGGAGTGCGAACCCTTCTCTCTGATCCTCAGCGATGGCAAGCGCCTGGAGGCGATGTTCTGCTCCGGGAGCCATCTGGGCAACAGCCTCATTCTGTTCATCCGGCGGCAGCAGGGCGGCAAGTTGCTCTACTGCTACTCGGCCGCGAGGCTGGAAAACCTCGGTGCCCTACTGGGCAACCGCATCTTCAACTCATGGATCAGCGAGGGCACCGATCAGCTGTACCTCAATCTGTCCTCCGTGAATTTCCCCTTCGAACATGTGGACTTCGATGAGGTAGCAAAGACTATTGAGGAATATGGAAAGAAGAGAAACAATAGCGTGGTGCACTTGGATGTACCTTTCTTTGGCTATGAGGAGATGCTCTGGCTGTTGGCACACACACGGCTTCGTGGACACATTCGCCTAGATGACAAGTTAGCAGATAGCTACAAGTGCCTTAGTGACGATCTGGAGCGATTTCAGCAGAAGGATTATGTCACAAGGATGCATGTGGGTGGTTCGCTTGGGGATGCTAAACCAGCCTATCACCCGAGGAAGGTTGTCTCCCTGGATATAAAGCTCTTCAAGTGGTCGCCGAAACCGACGAGGATGCATCTTCGCCAGCTTTGCAGCTTATTGCGACCGGAACACATTCAGGCGATTGTGAACTTCCACTCGGATGGAGTTGTCCCACCCATTCCCTCGTTTTTGAAAGTCTTCAAACCAAACTACCTTCCGCCAATCGATTACGCAACAGCGTTTAATGATCTGGGATTTTCACAGGAAAGAGTGGAGAGACAAGGTCCCTTTCGTGAGGTCCGGACCAAGAATCGCTGTCAATTTTTGGACGATGGCGACGAAAGCAGTTGTTCAGATTAGAATGATAAAAAGCTTACCTAAAATTATATGAACACTCCAAACTGAATTTAAATAAAATACAAATGCATGTTAAATAAGCAAAAATACTTTGTTTTTAACATTTTCTTAGTAAGTTCAAACACTTATAAGGGAGCAAACTAATTCCCAATTTTTGTTCAAGCTATACCAGAAAAGGTGTTGTTGGAGCAACGAATAAATATGGATTTTTATTGACTGCATGTATTTTTAAAGTATTTACTTTGGACAAAGTCTGGCTTAATGACCTCCACTAATAAAGGTTTTTCTAGTTCCGCATATTATAACCAGTCATAAAATAGAGGTGTTATCCTTTTATTGGTTTTTTTTGGCCTCATCAGTTTCTTCATCTGACGAGGATTCGGCAAGTCGCTCAAATTCATCACTCGGATTCTCTTCTGTTTTAAAAATGGTATCATCATTGCATTCATCATTAAAATCAATATCCAAATCAATTATCTTGTTAACTTCTTTATCATTCTCATTTTCATTGTCCAACTGCTTAAAGATGTTTAATTTAATGCATTTTCCTTGACTAATAAAGTTAGCCAGTTTTGAAAACTTTATGAGTGGACATTGGCATTCGTACATTTTTGGAATTGTAAATATTAGAAATAAACCTGAATAAAATTATTAATTTATTTGTGAACTATTTACTTTTCAATAGTGAACTTACCCAACTGGAGCAATATGGCTATGCTGATCAACTTTCCAACTATGGCCACTCCACCTAGAAAAAACATCCACTTGACGGATTTCAAAGGACTTCTCCCTGAAACAATAGATTGCAGCTTGTTTGAGAAACCAATAACTTGAGATGAAAACAAAAGTGCAAACTGCTTCGACCGCTCGTCAGATATACGAAAGTCCATGTCGAGATATTTCTGAAAGGGATTTCCCTTGATATCGGTTTTATCGATCAACTGAAGGAACCGCACGTAGAAGCGGTACCAAATCATTATCCAGAGTCCAAACAGACTCCATACGCTCACCACACTTATAACCGACTGGTAGGTAACATCAAGGATGAAAACTTGGAGTACCATGAATACAAACAACGTCTTTTTCCAGTTGCGCCACATGATGAGCTCAGTTAGCTCCTTTGAAACATATTTGGATAGGTTTTGGTTGAGCTCTGCAGAAGGTACAACAACTGGAACTGGGTCCAACTCAGCCGCCATGTTTTAATATATAGGTGAAAGTAATTCTCGAGGCTAAAGAATGAATGTCGTCTTAAGTTCTGTCGTGATGGAAAGGTGATTGCTTACTAAGTTAGTTTGCCCTAAACTTCTGGACAAACAAACTACTTAGTTTCTAAAATATATTTTTATATATGAACATCTACATACGATAGGTGTTCAACTTTGTATATAAGCCAAATATTTTATTATATCCGCAGCCTATCCAACCACAAAAGTCCTCCAACTTTTGACTGCCAAGCACACGTGTTGCCAAGTGGCGACACCTGCTCCCAGTTGAAAAAGGGAAGCTCGAACGAGTTTTCCACAAAACAGTTTTCCCAGTGAATTATGCACAATAAATTGAGACGTACTGCATTATGATTCAGCTTGTCAAAGGGTGAACCACAAACTGTGTCTTTTTTTTGGGTAACTGAATTTTCCATAAAATTGATTTACATTGATTGGCAGCCTTTTGAATAAACCTCCCATTTTTTTTTGAAGATTTAGATATAAAAACTTTTGTTATGTATATATACAATTATAAATTTATCCATAATAGTATGCATAAAAACTATTTTATTTAGGTAAATATAGGTTTAGTTACATATGTATGTATTACGAACAAATTCATTTATTACTTATCTATTCCCCATGTTTTATAAATTTTTCTTTTTAGCTAAGTGGTTATTCATTTTAAATGAACTGCTGAATACGTAAGTTGACCTTTTGTAAAAAATGGGAAAATGTCAAGTCAATATGAATTTGTTTCAAGAACTCTTTATCACAGCTTCGGCCGCGTTTGATCCGAACCGCCAACAAGCTCTTTTATTCAAATTCCCCACGCAATTTGGCCAAATAATTTTTGCACGAGGTGTGACCAACGACCATTGAGGGTATGGTTAATGGCACTCAGCCTTCTGTCTCCCAAATCAATCGTTTGCCGATTGATTTGTCAAAGGCATTACGCTAATATTTTGGGCAAATACTGGTAAAAGTCGCTGGCGTCAAAATGACATCGAGTGGTTTAACTTTTCCACCCTCAAGTTTCAGAAAAATTAAAAAATAAGGTGGAGGGTGACAAAAACGACATTACAATGAGAACGACTTAAATTATTTGTTCAAGTGTCACAAGACTTTTGAGGTTAAGCCGCTATTAACGAGCCGTAAAATATCAAAATAGGTTTGAAGTTCTTTAAATATTTCAACATTTCAACATAAAAGTAATTAACTAGAATTTGAATCTAGGTCTTTTATTAATAAACTTCTGAGAAGATTGTTTCAGTTCTCTTCTTCTGTAAAATATTAAACTACTTAAGTTCTTGCCACTCGACATTTGTTCATTATTCGTTTTAGATTACTCAAAATATTCGAAGCTTCTATCACCTTCAATTAGAGTTACAGGAAATTAATATGCAAACAGTACAATCTTTGTATTTGCATTCATACATGGGCAGTTTAATTAAACTAAATTCCCTCATGTAGCTCACGTCATGACATCGTGCACACAAACTGCAACAGGATATTAGAATGTTTGACAAGTTGTCAATGCATCAGGACTGCAAGGAAGAGGCGGAAAATTGCCGAAGAAATCTTATCGTTCATTTGGAATGTAAATCAAAACAAATACACATAAAATTACTTAAAATTGCAATGAGTTTCTTTTGCTCCTGTCAAAAAACGAAAGTCCTTGCATGTGCATTAAATGTGTAAGACCATATGGCACTTGATACTGTATCAAATGTAATAATTTAATTTCTTTGGACCTTTTTTTAACTACAGCTTTTTTAAGCTATAATTTAATCTACAAGTTGAAAGTAATAAAGAACTTTTTCTTCTTGCTAAATAAATATACATTTTCCCTTTGGTGCAGTGTCATACAGCCATAAGATGTCAATGTCCAAAAAACAACCTGAAAATCTCAGCAAATATTCTTCTTTCGAACCGATAAAGTTGTCATATGAGTTCGGCTCCTTCAACGTATTTGCTTCGACTTCTTTATAGTCAGTCGACAATGCCAGGAATTTCTTGTATTAAAATCGAAATAGCCAGAGGGCAGGAATCCACCCCAGACATTGACAATACAGCAGTATCTTTCGTGATATCGGGGGAGTGTATATCTGACTGCCCCCTGAGTTCAGGCCGTGTCCTTACAGCTGTCAACATGTTTAATTGAAACTGACACTCAGTGTCCTTTTATGGACATTGCCATGCGTTACCGTTACCTTAACTGTAACTGTAATTCGACTTGCCTTCGTCCTTCTGGATTATTGCCGAACATTCCGAAAGGGGGAGTATCTTCTCCCCCATATATCGTAATTTTGGGGGTTGCCTAATGCATTTCGATGTGCGTTTCCTTTTAGCGAGGTGTATTAGTTTAATTTATGCTCTTGCTTGTCCATATTTTTAGACGAAATTCCTAGTTTCTGTGGATTTTTGCGTTGACTTGAAAATAAGTTGGTTGTTCGCTAATGATTTGAACCTTATTGCCAATTATTTATCAACGATAAAATAAAAAATGTTAATTGCATATGATGAAGTATTTTTCAAAAATTAAAAACAACTTGTTTAATGTTTCGAACCTAATAGCTTTTTACTCATTTATGATAGATTATTTTGGAGATGCTCTTTAAATTCTGACTTGTCTAATGCCTCGACATCCTTAATAAGACTCCGAAAGCACTCTTTCTTATTCGCAAAACAAGAACTTTAGCCCCTGCAACACTTCAGAGGTAACCCCCCAAACCCAACCGAACTGTAATTATTATTACTAAGCTCAGTCACCTCCTTTCCTTTCTTGAAACAGGAGAGCGGAGCCCTCATTTAATTGCAGACTAGCAAATACTCAAGATATTTTTATGCAGGCAATTCGTATTTTTTCCGTTCGGAGTTTTCCGTTTTGGGTTTTCGATAGGGGAAAAGACGGCGGCCTCTTTTGTTTTCGTCACGGACGAGTGGCGAAAAGCAATCACGGCAGCTCCTTGCCAGGAAAAGCAAAAATATCTTTGGCAACATTTCTTTATTTATTTTTTTGTGTTGTTTGCGCATTTTTCCAGGACGTCTTTTGTGTTATTGGTGAAATTAGAATTTCTCATTAAAATAAGTGTTGGCCGAGGGAGCCGCTTGACTTGAGACATTCAAGCGTCTCCCAGGGCAAGGTGCTCGTCCATGGCAATGGACTTAAGTCGGAATTTATATTTTCCCCCTCATTTTTTGTTTATGCATGGTCACTCATTAGTTGAGCTTGAAATCTGTCTGTCAGACTCTGGCATTTGTATCTGTATCTTTATTTGTTCTTCCTGGGAGTACGAGATTCCTTTCAGCCCTAATGGCATTTCTATCCAATTGTGTACAGTTCTTTGTGAGTAATTAAAATGGCAACTCTTTAACGTTTCATTTTAAACTTTTTTTGGGTTCAAGTGGCTTATCTTTTTCATCTTCATCAAACGGAGGTTTATTAGAGGGTTAATAGGCTTAAAAACTGAAACACTTTGCGGTTATTTAAGAGTTTTCAGATAGAATACATTTGAGCTCAATAAAATTAAGTTCAGTCTGGTTATATTGAAACCTTTTGATAAATTAAGATTTCTAGACATCTAGGTAATGGTCTTTTGAGTTTTATATGCAAAGATAATGAAACAGCGAAATGAAAGCAATTTAGATAACGTTATGCCAATGAGCAGTTAAAAACATAAGTAACATAATTTAAATGATTTTTTGTAAGTTACAACGAAAATTCTTGCTTTAAAAGACATTTTTCTTTAAAAACCATTAATCATCTATTCTATTCGCATTTTTTAATCTAATCAACACAAAAAATTTCAATTGTGTTGCATAATTGTTCTATACTAAAGCCACAAAAAAAGTTTGTATGCAAGTATACATTTGAACTGCCACTGTTCGGTTCAAGTTAAACTTTCCGTTTGTCCAACTTGATCCACCCTGACCACACTCAATGCGCCACATGCATCCGTAGATATTTGATATGGGGCACAACATTGTTGCTACTTCAGTGTTTGAAGTGTGGCCAAAAGTTTGGGCTTTGAACTTTGGCTTGTTACGTTCAAGTGGCTGCCATGTATAAATGTTTGGCTTTCAGATCCACAAAACTTTATGCAAAACACAGCAAACTTTGCTGAATATGGGAGAATAGTTTGCCGGTCTCGGTTTTCTGTTTTCTGTTATTGTTCTGTGGCTGTTTCCATTTCTGCATCGTGTGCTGCTGACAAGCTGCGTAATTTTCCTGTCTCAGGATCTGCAATAATATAGATAAAATACAATTTCCTTAAGCAATTTTTGTTTTAATTAATTCTGTATTACTATTTTTGTGACTTCAACGTGCCTGGAATTTCCCGCTTTGGCTTCTGTTTAATGTCTTCACCCAAACAAATTTCGCCCCCTAAGGACTGCATTTAATTTTTCCCTTCCATTGGTCTTTTTTTTTTTTGCTTAATTTCTCTGTTTGCTGTGCAGTGTAATTAGCCACCTTCTGACCAAGACAGCTGCTGATGCTCCTTATATTTTGTAGATTTTTTCCATTCCCTGTTGTGCATAAAATGTTTAAGTTGACATTTTGTACCAACAGTTTGTAATTTTCTTACCCCTTTCTATTGAAAACATTACCGTTTCTTTTTCCTGCTCTATTTTCTTACTAATTTCTTGCTTTTCCTGCATTTACTTGCAGACTGGTTAATTACATTAGCAAAACAGCAGCGTTTCTGCTTTGCATTTTGGTTTCTTATCCCTTCCGGAATTTGCTGTTGACATTCTGAAAATGTAAGATGCTCTTTAAAGTTTTTCTTAAATTTTTTCTTCATTGGAAATCTATAAAAAACTTAACCTTACCATAGACTTAGAAAAGCAACTTATTCTTGAAAAGTTATATGATTCAACGTATAATAGACTCCAAACATTGTGTAGTTACGCATTAATAAATAAATAAAAATCGATTTGAAGTTTGTTTTAATCAAATTAAATACTTTAACATTTTTATAAGATTGAATACTTTAAAGTAATTCCAAAAAAATCTCGGCACTTGAGACAAAGTAATGGATTCGAATTTATTGTTAACTTTATTACAACTCCACATGCGCAATTTAACTGGATGTGGAATATTGTAACACGTGATTCAATTTCGTTCATCAATTTTAATTGATTGCTTCAATTGGTTTCTGTGCAAAAGCCTCCCATCCTTTCACCAAGTGCAATCCCATCAAGATTTTTATGTTCATAGCCACTTTATTCGTTTTCTTTTTTCCTGTTTTGGCTACTGTACTGTTTTATTTTTCCGATTTTTATGCGTTTTTAATGTGTAGAGCAGCTACTCCTTTTATTCGCTTCCCTTTTTTCTGTGACTCGCATGTAATTCGATTCCTAAATGTATTCCAACGGATTTTTATGTGTTTCTACAGTAAGTTTATAGCGGTATTATTCGCATATGGGCGTGGCAAAGCGCCCTTCCTTCGATCGTTAAGTTTTCCGATTTAATGCATTTCGGCGAGCCTTAAAGTATGCCACACTAATTAGCATATGAGCTGCGGCAAGCCGAGCCGCAAACTTACAGCTTATCGCAAATATTCCCAAACCCCGATCCGAACCAGGAGCAAATGGGCACCATCCATTAGCCATTAGCCGTGGGGCCGTCGTAAACCTACGACAATATTGACGTAATCGACTTTCAGCTGCCTCTCCGGCGACACAATTTAACCACAAATGAGGCTTAGCCGTGGGGCAATGTCACCGTAGCCGATTACTTCAAAGTCGCCTTCGAATATCAAATCATTCCAGTCCAAAGTACCCATTCCGTGATATCTCTGCCCACAAAACCCATCACACATCACTTGCCCATAGCTCACCTCAAACAACCACAATTCGGAGGCGGTTTGCATTTGTTTTCACATTTTGGGGTTCGAGGAGGGTTTACTTAACTTGAAACAATGAGAAATGTGAATTGACCGGAATGCGGTGAGCGAAACCACATTTGGTCGTAACAAGCTCCTTTGGGTTTGAGTCTACAAGGTAAATTTGATAGCATGCCTTAAAAATTGAATTCGTTTCATTAAATTTCAATAAAAGTTTTGTGCTTGTTAATATCAAGTAGTTTTAGGAATATTTTAGAAATATGCAAGGCACGTTTACTTTGTGTATATACACTTTGTGTTAAAATGTATAACGAAAATAATAAAACTTTTAAGAATGATATTTCCACCTAATGAGGTTAACCTAACTTTAAGTTTCGTAATAAAAATATTAAAGTATTCAATTTTTAAAAATATCTCAACTAATGTTCTTCTTAGCATTAAAAACGCCAGTTTTTGAGTTTCTGTTAGATTTAAAAACAGAGCACTCGTTTCTAACTCATTCCCAATTAAAATGTATAATGCCAAAAACCCTTAACCCCTCTGTTTCCATTATAATTAAGAACCCTCGCCTTGGGCTTTTTGAGGCATTAAACATTGACGAAACCAACGCCGTGAATTATGCTTCGCCATAAACTTATGCACGTTGTACAGATGCTGGACATAAAAATTGTGTAAATGAAAACTGCGCCCAGTCAGCAGCAATAAAACATTGCGTCAAGTCTGGACCGGGATTAGGATATGGACCTGGATTTCATATCGCTATAATGAGCGAGGACACCCCGAGAAAGCCATCGTGAAGATCTGCAAACTTAGATAAATAAAAATATGACAGCTGACACTAAAAAGGAGAGACGCGCCAAGTACTCATCATAATTAAAGCCGCGGGGTTAGGACGCAATAAAAGCCTGCAAGGATTCATATGGATAATTAAGTTATGGCGGGTGCCAACGGAAGGGTTAAAGCCTGTCCCGCGAATGGAAACCCAATAAAACGATCGTAAAACTTCGGACGAACACTCACAATTTGAGGAGCATGTTCCTAAGGCGCATATTTTAATTCCGAGATGGATCTGGAGTGGAGTTCAGTGGGTGGAGTCGGTCATAAACCCCAAGTGGACATTAAAAAATTTCAGACTTAATTTGTTTATGCAGTCATATTTCGTAGTGCTACCATAATTTGTAATTCACTTCTAAAATTGTTTGCATAAATTTCAGGGAACACTTTATTTTATTTATAACTTGAAACAAGTTGAACAAAAACAGTTGGAAGTATAAAAACCTTGTTAAAAATAAACCCGTTTTACAAATTTAATTTGATTATATTTATTGTATTGTATCAATATGAACCCATAAATAAATATTAACATTTCATCAGGTTAGCAGGCTAACAAACTTTACTTGAACCTTTTGTTTGACGTATTTTTGTAAATAAATTAAAAATATAAATAATCAAGCTTGTTTTCCTAAAGCGTACATGTTAAAAATAGCTTGCTTTTAATATATTTTTCCAACTCTGCTTGAATTGATTTCGAATGCTTTGAAATTGGCTCGAATCGCTTCCTTTCCCAATCTACCAATTTAACATAATATAAAAATCAACCCACCCCCAATCAGAAACAGAGTTCAACAATCTTCGAACCCCTTTTTCCAGTTCCAATACCAAAAACCGTATCAGTTGGCAGATAGCACAAACTTTTATGCGCTTGTTAACAAAAGCGTGAAATTCAATGCCCGGGACGAGCCGGCGAGCATAAAAAATAAAAGAAGAATTTACGACACTGCGAATTAAACTTGATTTTTATTTAAATAAATTGCATTTTATTTTCCGCCTCCCCCGCCCCGCGGCTGCCACAATAATAAGCAGGCAACGCTCATAATTTGCACCGGAATCCGATGATGATGCCGGCGGATAATGGTGATACGGATATGGTCGGATATGTATGGTATGTATTTCACCGAGGATAAGGGCAGACCGAGTGACTGACTGACTGGCGACGGTTTGGTGGCTGCTTTATGCATTTTTATTTATTACAGCGCCAGGAAATGTTTGTTGATTTTCCGCTGCTCGGCTGCCACAATAAAAATCAACGCCAGCCAGAAATTATTTTCTAGACGAACGCGCCCCGTTCGAATCACATAAAAATGAGACCGAGAAAGTACTCCAAATTGTACAGAATTCTTTTTTTATATATCATTAAAAGCGGAAATGTTTTGCGTCGCAACGAACGGCAGCCGTTTTGAAAGGAACCAAGTGAAACGGATTGATAAGGTTAGGCACAAAAGGTTTTCGGCTGAAAATCCCTATAAATTAACGTTCACTTAAAAAGACAGATAAACAAGGTTTACGATTGTAGTGTCCTTTCGTCTTCTTAATTCGTAACTGATAAAATTAGTGAAGATATACATACAAGTATCTAGGAATTTTCTTAGAAAAGTTACACAAAAACACAATATTTTTGTGGCAAAAGTAAAGTAAATGTATCTCTCTCGGTTTGCAATATCTGTATTATAGAAATAGTACCAACTAAGCACATTTGATTTATTCTGAAACCTCTCATTTTTAACTAAACTCATTTTATTCACTACGATTAGGCTCAATCGATTTTCTTTACTCTACAAAGATAAGGCTTTACTGTATGAAGGGTGATTGTGACGTTGAGCCTCAGTTTCTCCTGTCGCAGGCCGAGTGGCTCGAACAGAAAGTTCCTCAGCAGATGGCCTAGAACCACCTTGAGCATCACCATGGAATATCGTTGCCCAATGCAACTCCGTGCCCCCGGCATAAAGGGTAAAAAGGTGTTGGCCTCAATCTTCGGCTCTGCTCCACTCGCCCATCGGTCCGGCTTGAAAACCAAGGGATCCGGAAAGAAATCCTTGCAACGCCCCATGTAAAATGGTGAAATGATCACATCGCTTCCCTTCGGTATAAAGAAGTCATCTGAAAAGGAATAAGTCAGTTTGAATTCCCTTCCCAAAGTACTTAAAAAAATATATCTAAATAGAAGTGATTCATGGAAGTTAAGAATAAACGATGCTTACTGATTTGACAGTTTTCAGTGGCTTTTCTGCCGAGAAATGGACCTGAAGGATACATTCGCAGGGTCTCCTTCACACAGGCCTCCAGGAACTCCAGACTGCGCGCCTGATCCATTGTGATGGGTTCGGACTTGTCCCTTCCGCACACCGACCAAACTTCCTCGCGACACCGCTCCTGGTGCTCCGGATGCAGGGTCATGTTGTACATGAAGAACTTCAGGGTGGTGGCCGTTAGATCAGAGCCACCAAATATGATGGTATCCACCTCCTCGCGAATCTCACTGACCGTCAAAGGCTGTCCATCGGGACCCTTCGCCTGGAGCAGGCTGTCCAGAAAACAGAGGGTCCTTTTGCCCTCGTCGCATTCCGTGTTGTTGGTGCTGTGCATGTTGCAGTTCTCCGCATCCTCACTGATTTTATCCACCCGCTTTTGTATGATTCCCTCCGAAAATCTTTTAAGTATACTTAACAATTCCTGCTCGCGTTTAAATTGTTTGGAGAGGTGAAAGAATAACGAGCTGCGATATAAGGGGTGCTTTATCCGAAGAGCGAAAATCACAAGGATTCTGAAAGAGAACGAAGGATCTGCTTGGTTAGTACCCTTCAAAGATGCCATGGTAGCAGAACAAAAACTTCTATATACAACTTTACAATTTTTTAAAAACTGAACAAATAATCCGCCAATAAACTAATAAAATAAATAAATTACTCATAAAATATCTAAAGGTTTTTGAGTAACGATATATTCATTTAGGTGCGGAAAGAGTTCAGTTTTTTAAGTCTATTTATTCTCTTCACTTCTTCACTAAGCCTAAAACATACCCGTTTGCTAGTCTTGATAATCAGATGCTGTATAAACTGTTTGCTTTACTTCCTTCTAATAGCTCATAACTGATCTCTTATTATTAACGCATACCCAATTCGCCTAAAAGGAGAGGTTCCTAGTAGAGATTGTTCAGTATAAACTTACTCTTTCACAGCATCGAGGTACTCCAGCTTCCCCTCAGATAAAGCACCCACAGAAACTCCGAGGGCAGTTTCGCAAATGGTGTCCAAGGTGAAGCAACTGATCAGCTGATGGAAGTCCAGCGGGTCCTTGGAGTCAGCAAACTCCTCGACCCTGGTCAAAAGAATCCTTGACTGTCTTTCGAAAACTTGCATGAACTGCTTGATCATGCTGTAATTAAAGGCTGGCATGATGATCTTCCGGCGATGGGTCCACTTCTCGGAGTTACTGGTGAAGAGACCCTCGCTAAGCCAGCTCTCAAACACCCTGTAGTCGTTGGTCTTCTGCAAAAGTTGCTGGGCACTGCACAGAGCCTGGATGTCCTTGGGATTGCAGTCGATGAGGTAGAGCTTGGAGCCCATCCACAGCTTTCCTCGATGATCCTTCAAGTAGTCCCCTATCATATTGGTGGCGGTGCGGAGGAAGTGCGGACCCAAAAACTTGGCCACGATGTGCAGATGGCCAATTATGGGCAGGCTCGGCGGACCCGGCCAATTGTGGGTGAGCCGATCGATCCTGTTCTGGCGCTCGAACACATAAAGCAAGTACAGGATAAACGTGGCTAACAGGAGACCGAATCCTAGCCATAACATTGCGACGGAGGTTCAGATAGCAACTGCCTCGATCCGGTGTCGCATCGAGCGTTTTAAGCGGAACACAGACGCGCAGATTGGACGGTAATCAAAGGGTCACCGGACCCAAGGGTCATAAACGTTGGCTGTCACGCTGATTTACACTCGAAAAAACTATTGATCAACCGCATTTTAAAGTTCCCTTAAGCTTAGTGGAGGAACAAACTGCTAATAAATTTTCTACTTTATAGAGTTTTTGCACAAATGCACAATTTAGTCTGTAAGTTACGATAAAGTAAAATAAAATACAGATAGTTTTTTGTTTGCCTTGTAAAAGTTTAGGTTACATTAGGATCAATTTATAGCAACTCAATTTATTTAAATTAAAACCACTTAAAATCTGTTACTAATGTTTGACACTAAAAATGTTTGTGTTTTGCTTGGAACTTTTTCCAAGTGCAATAGCGAACTTAAAGTTGGTATTATGCAAGAAACCGATTAAGAGCAACTGTCGGGTCGGCAGCGTTATTAACACTGCGCATATTTATTTATACAGAATTCGAACACCCCAATATGTATATTATAAGCGTATTCAAATCGATTCGGCTGCGAAATTGAAGTGACTCTTTTTGCTCGCCCCCAGTCGTTTAAGTACTTAACATCAGGCAGCGGAGATGTAAACAAAGCATTGTGAATCTAATTCCTCTAATTCTAAGACGGATTCGAAATGCTCTAATCTAGCTCATAATTACCTGACTATTTAACGAAAATAGTTGAAAAGACTATTTACTATTATTTGTTGCCAATATAAGTTTATATAACTTTTGTATTTAGTTTTTAAATATTTTTTTGTAAAAATCTGTATCTTTGTTTCAGTATATCTGCTTTGGAAAAGAGATAGTATTATTTTTTAATTAGGCAATTACAAAAAGTCAACCCATTTATTGGATCTTAAATTACTTATATATTTACATTGAAATATTTTTTATTTCAAGTCCGGGACATTCCTCGATAAAGATATAAAAACTTAAATCAGAAAAAAACTTTTTCTAAACCTGACTGCACTTCATCTTAGAACTCAAGTTTTGTCAAGCCAAAAATTTATAAACAAATACACTTTAATTTCGTCGATGCCTTTCGCTTCCCCATTACTTTTTGTTTTATTTCCTAAATTATAATTTCGTTTGTACTTTTGTCGATTGCATACAAATTTCTTCAGGCTCATAAAACTGAACGGGGGAATCTGTTGATGACCACCCAGTTGCGGGTATACGTGTTGAGAAATTGTGATTTCAATTATCTAAACTTTGCTTTGGTGTTTTGTGTTTTAATATAAAGCTACAAAATTTGTTTTTCGAGGAAAAGAGCTAAAAAAAAAAATAGAAAAACACCTAATCACATTAATGCAACAATTATTAAACACAACTTTAACAATAAATCAAAAATCACCACTCAATCAAATTAAAACCAATCTACAAACAAACGAGTCATCATTTCAAAGCAAACCAAACTACGCAAATACCTACCATTAAGTCTCAATATTAATGGACAACCAGTGAGTCATATTTGTCAACTATAGAATATTTCTTTTGTTTTCATTTTAAACGAATAGAATAAACATTAATTCAAATTGGCTTGCCAGTTATATTAACTTTATTATGATTGTCATTTTATGCACTCTTCAGAAGTTTGTGTTGTTGGTTTTCCTCTCGACCAACTATCATTCAATTCATATTTTTTGTTTAAATAGTGATAAGTACAAAAACAAAGGTAATTCCCCTATCCGCTATTTACACCAATTAACACGAAAAAATTATCAGTCGACAAAAACACAATAAAAGAACAAGGTAATTTTAATTAATGCGAGTGAAGTTAATATTTGCTAGTCAACACACAAACATTGATACAAACATAATTAGTCCTTTACCTGTCTACTGTGACTTCTATATGTGTAATTATCTGTTTCATTCTTGCAGGAGGGGTATTCATTATAATTATTAAACTCAGTTCAGGTTTCAGATTCGCTAAAATTCGCTTGTAGGCTACAGATTAATTAGTTTGTGATTGTTTGCAAGTATCAAATAATATTCAACTTCGATTGATTTTTTATTTTAATTAATGAGGATGACTACTTTATTTCCTGTGCCGTCATGTATTATAAATGTAAAAAAGTTAAAGGGGTTCTCGGCTATAGAGCAATTTTATATATATGTAACATATGGCTATATTTTATAAAACAAATATGTTATTTGGTGAATGGATCAGACTCATATTTAATCATAATTTAAGAAATCGAAGATAATAAAACTTTCATTTTGGCTAAAATTCCACTTTTTGCCATCAGCCAATGTGTACAGATTCAATTCATTAATTCAGCAAACGCAAATGCAAGTCAATGCCACTAATCAGAACTAACTGGACAAAGCATGACAATAACCCTTTGAAGTTGAGGCGAAGCCAAACAATTGCTTTCGCGTAAATTCCCTTATCTAATGGATGCCAATAAACAGCGATCTAAACTCCCACACGCACATCCTGCCTGCTATATGGGGATATAATGCAGTTATGCACCTGACAGAACCAAGAACATTGTCTCAGATGCAAAATTAAAAGTGATGCGTGGCCACAGGAGGCGGTAGTGGGGGCTTAATAGGAGGAGCGTAGAGAAAGGCTTCATCAGGTTGGTCTTGCCAGGGAGAAAGTGGGGGTGTGGCAGTTCAAACTAATTTAAATTTATGCAGCACACTGTTGACCACACCGCTGAGTACCCTTCATTTTTTATTGAGTGTAAAGGTTTTAGGTTTGATGCTTAAGATTCTAAGTTTTCACTTTATATATGTATTAATTATCCTTATAAGACATCTTTTAAAAATTAAGCTATGTTTGGGTCTATGCAAATTATAAAACTAATAACAATTAATTGAATACCTATAATTAAAAAGAAAATACAGAATTTTTAGATTTCATATTAAAATAAAGATGCGAAAGTTGATCTTATATTTTACGTGGTGTTTTACTGTTAAGACTTTTTGAATTTCAAACAAAAGTAATACTATAAGAATATAATAAATATTATATAATTGGCTTATCCTGAGTTTCGAAAGAGTATTTGTCCCTCGAATCCTAAGGAATTCGATCGTGCCTCATTATTGTTGTTTGTGGGCATCGGTGTACTGTAATTAAACTGCATATTATCAGCCACGACACTCACAACCACTCAACTGAGGCAGCCCCACCCACCCACATGTACCACATAATTATGCAGACATTTTCCAAGTCGAGGGAGAGGGGATCGGGGATTATTTGGTGGGTGAGAGGCCGTGGAAAGGACCGCCCAGCTGTCACTTTGTGTTCGGCTTTTGTGTAAAATTTAATTTGGCTACATTTAATTATTGTTTATGTAAGGCTTGTCCGTGTCGCTGTCGCTGCCATCGAATATTGTCATATTATAAACAATGATAATTTGCCAAATGCGAGGCGATTGGCTAATAGATATTCGCTAGTATCTCCATCTCTTAGCCAAAGCAAACCAAGCTGAGACCAAAGGGCAAACCGCAAGTGGGCAAAGGCATACACACTGGAAAATAACCAAACAAACAATAAAATGGCAAGTAACATTTAAATGCAAAATAAATAACCCGTGTTATATTATTTGAAATTTATTAAACTATTATATTTTAAAGGCTGTTAAAAAATTACAAAGCGTTGATCAAATTAATACAATATTTATTATAGAACATTTTGTAATGTTTAAATTGTTTTAGAAAACACATGTTCTTCTTTCATATTAACATATTTTAATTTTAGCGTGTAATTTTTCATACGAAAAGAAAAAGAATATAAGTTAGCATTTATAAATTTACTAAATCTTTTTAAATGCCTTAGATCAGTTAAATTTGTTCTATATTAAATTTAATTTTGGCAGTGCATGTGTTTTGCTTAAATTAATACAATATTTATTATAGAACATTTTGTAATGTTTAAATTGTTTTAGAAAACACACGTTCTTTCTTCATATTAACATATTTTAATTTTAGCGTGTAATTTTTCATACGAAAAGAAAAAGAATATAAGTTAGCATTTATAAATTTACTAAATCTTTTTAAATGCCTTAGATCAGTTAAATTTGTTCTATATTAAATTTAATTTTGGCAGTGCAAAACACATGCACTAATCGCATGTTGTGTCAACATTAATCGCATCAAATTTAATTTCACAATTAAATGCAAAGACGCGACGCGTTTAGCATAAATTAGGCAGGCTGTAAATGGAACCCGCGGGCGGTGTCTTTCACTTCTGCTCCTGCTCCTGTGGTCTATGTCCATTTTCCTAAGGTGTTGGAAAACGACCCCTAAAGAAGTAAAAATTAAAGCACCACCAAGGCTGTTGCTCCCATTTCCGTTTCTCAGACAGGGTTTGGGTTAAATCGGTTGGTATTATTGCTTCAACTTAATTTAATTGACATCCCAATATAAGGATTCATTAAGCTTGGGGAATTAAATGCCTTTAATTAGTAAATCGAATCTAATTAGATAAATACCTCTCGAACATCATTACATTATCCATGCCTTTTAGTATTGCTGTTTCTATTTTGCATCCCTTTACCTATAAATATAGTTAGTTTCATTATTTAACAGAATTTTTTAAATATATTAATTACGCACTGTAGTTATTTCAGGTTATACATATTCTTAACCCTCTTTAAAAATTAACAAACGCAATGCTATTGCTGGTTATTTAAAAGAATAATACTTTCCTAAAACGATTTTACTCTCTTCTTACAATTGCAAATTGTCAAATCATGTTGCCTTTTGTGCCTACTAAATAGGTGTCAAAACTAGAAAACAAAATGCCAATCGATTCAATTAACTCCAAAAATAAAACCTTTTGTTGTATGTTTATTGTGTTTTGTATAGTACTGAACCAGTTTATTTGTCCCAGTAATTCAGTTCAGAACTTGTCCCAATGAATGTCAACCTATAAATCTTTATTGGATTCTTCTCCATGTAAATAATCGCTATTTATAGAAGGCTGCGAGCTAAGGAAGTTATTAAGATTAAATTAGTTTACACAAAATGACACCTGTTGTTGTTAAGCTTATAGTTTTTATAAGAACATGCAAGTTGGAATGTTATCTCTATTAAGCAGACAAGAACTTAATTCGAAAACCAGTTTAGCTTCACTAAATACCCCGGGCAGTGACACACATAAAACTACAACCTTTTCTTGACTTTTGTAGTGACTTTTCTTTTTTACAAAAGACATAGTAATTCAATCATTACATTTATCCCGATCAAAATGATGTGCCAACATCTTGCATCTTGGACGAAGAAACTTTAAACCTAATCAGCTTCATCTGGCCCAAAGGTTTTAGCGGCTTAGTAAAGTAGAAATAATAATTTTAAATTACTCTTTAAAGCCCCATGCTTGGCTGCCCCGACAGTATCTTTTTTTCTCTTTTCCCACATCGAGTTTTTGTTGGGCTTTAACCTTCGAGGCGCAAAATGTTTTGTATGAACGGGTACTTATGTATTTCTTTTCGCATACACTTCTTGATAGTAAGCATTTTAAATTTTAGGTAAGGCCATGATATCTGAAAAAAAATAACAAAAAATTGTGGTAGATAGTTAATAGTAAATAGTTAAAAAACTCTCCAAGCCCCGCAATTTAGTTAGTAAGTTTATACTGCATTTTGGTGACATTATAATCTTGTATATGATAAAATTTGTGTTTAAAATTGCACTTAAATCTATTACTTTTTTAACTTGTGGTTGTAATTTTGTAGTATATTATAAAATTCGACTTTGTCTACTTAGTTAATGGTGTTGTTTTTTGGACAGGGCGTTGTTGCAACTGAAGGACAGCAACTGCAATTTGAAGGCAAGCAAAACAAATGAATTCTGGGAGACGAAGTCAGAGCGAGGTGAGCACTTTTAGCTGCTGTTCTGCGCTGAGTTTTCAGATAACTCTCAATTACCCCTTACTTTTAAGGTTTACTTGTTAGTTCCAGTTCTTGGCGCTGCACTTAAATAAAAGATAGTTTAAAATAAGAAAAGAAAGACATTTAGTTTAATCAAATTGCAGCGTAATTTAATATATACAAAATAAATTAAAGAACTTGCAATGCAAATAATAATGTTCCTGTGTTTAATAAATTTTTAAAACTGATTAATGCAACTAGTGAGATTCTTTAAAGCCATAGTTGACTCATAAAAAATTTGTTGCTAAATTGTTTTTTTCTTGTCTATTTTAAATTTATAACTTAATTAAAGCCGATTGTGAAATATATTTTTCTTGTTTATTGTATCAGTACCCTTCTCTATTGCAGTTGGCTCGCTGGTTTGCCTCAGATTGCAGTTAGCAGTGGCAATTGCCTCGACTTCTCGGTGGTTGCACTCCGCTTGACTGCAATTTGGTCAAGTTAAGTACGGGAAAAGTTGTCGCTGTTCTTGTTGTTACCTTTAATTTGAGTACGTTTTGGTGTTGTTTTTATCATGGCTTTTTGGGTGATTGTTGGCCACGGCTAAGTCACGTTCCGATTGCGCATTTATTGCACTCAACTTGCCGTCCGGTTGGTTAAGTTTCTTGGCCAAAAGTCTCTTTTTATTCGGTACCTCCTTTTTTTTTGGCCATTTCAACATTTGACTGGCATCAACTTGCAGTTGGCAGGGTCAGGCGGGTTTTTTTTTTAATTTTTAGCTGCGTTGCACTGTGGGTCTCGACTGCGCAATCATAAATCTGTCAGCGGCCAACCGATGACCTTTCTACCTGTTGATAATCGTTCATTTTGCAGCTGTCCTGGTGATCGTAAATAAATAAAAATTGAGGAAGTCGGTTAAACATTTACGGTACCACTAAGTGGCCTACGTGACGGGCACGCGACGGTCCTAAGGTAGTGTAAAAGAGAATCTTGCCGTTGTTTTGGGTTTCAGTGAACCTTTTTAGGAAAAAGTATATTTTAAACTGAGAGTTCATATTTTACTGTCTTTGGAGGTCTTGGCTCACTTCAGAAGAAAGCTGGAATTTTTGAGTCTTTACAAACGCTACAAAGGCTTTTGTTTCTGAAAGCATTTTATTACATGGAAATGTTAAGGAGGGTTCCTCTATGTAAAATTACTGAAAGATATAAATAAAATGCAAAAAAAAATAAAAACAAATATAAGAAATTTAATTTATAGTTCATTTATAGATAATCAAGGTTTAATATATTCTTTTAAATATTTTCAGGACATGATAATACTTAATCTAAATCACTTGACAAAACTAAGCTCTAAGAATGTATTTTTAAAATATTCCATTAAAAAAGCTGGCAGTAAATCAAAAACCAACCAAATACTCCAAGTATTGAGGAATAGATAATATAATAAATGTTACCTCTCAGATGAGCGACTTGTAGCTTTGATCTTATCTTCTTACTTGAGGTATTTCAGTCCACAGTCGCTGAGACTAAGTTGGCAACCATTCGCTAACTCGGGTCATTAGCCCGCTCGGGTAATCGAACCTGTAAGTCGCTCTGTTTAGCCATAATATATATATATATATTACTTAAGATCGTACGTGTGTCAGTAAGTGACTTGTGCTCTGCGTTTGGCTTAATCAAAACCTTTTTTAAACCGAGTGATGGACAGCTGTGGTTGCGACTGGCCGCAGACAATTAGCACCAGCGAGCACGGAACAGTGGGTGCTAAAAGGCAGCGAACAGGTACGAACCTCTCTCTTTGGAACCTCTCTCTGATAAAGAGAGAGCCTCTACGAAACAGCTGTGGCTGGGTAATACCTGATCAGACTCTCTCACCCTCTGCTCTCCCTGTCTCGATCAGCTGATCGTATAGACCTGGCTTACACTTTATACCTTTAGCCTGCTTCACTTCAGTTGCTGTGCAACTTTTAGACGAGTCGGTCGTTTCGTTTAGTTGCTCTTCCGAAAATTGATACCTGTGGCTATCGCGTGTGTTACCTGTACCTGTATTTTGGATTTACAGTTACTAACGAGTTATGTGCGCTTGAATGCCAAATTTAATTGCCGCTCTTTGCATGTTCGCCAGCAGCAGTAATTTGAAAACGTTTTCGAAAAGCGAGTAAAAACGACTTTCGTTTTCCTCCCCAAACTTTCATTTTTCCTGCTCGTGTCGGCTTGCCATTGAAAAAGTGTCAAAACCCAGGTGCTAAAAAGTCAAAAAAAGAATTCGTCTGATATTTACATAGAGATTGAGTTGTGAAACGCGTGTGAATTGTTCAGTTATTGGATTATGGCCATTATAGACACCGCCTGGCGCTGTCGCCTCATGATCTTCGGCATCGTCTCCCTGCTGCTGGTGGGCGATCTGTTCGGATATGGCGGTGGCATGAAGTCCAACCACCCCGATCCCCACTCGGTGAGGTCGGGAGGCGGCGCGGGGGCGGTGGGTGCCCCAACGGGTCCGGCGGCTGCAGCAGCCAGCAAGTTTCAGCCGAAGAATGCCGAAATCGATATAGCCGAAGGTTAGTTTTGCCATCCATCCCGTTTTGCTTTTCCATTTTTGCTTTTTGCCATATTGCCATATTTCATTGACAAAATATTTTACTCACTTAACGGCATGCATTGCTAAATTTTGGTTTTTCAACATATTTGCAGTCTACCGAACATAATAAAAACAAAACATTTTAAAAATATTTATTGTTTTGGATAGCTCTTTAACAAAAAGTTTGATGATTTAAATCAACATTCGGAAAGGTTAAAATGTTATACTTGATAATTTAGTTTTCCGTTTATGGTTGCTGAAATTTCAACACAACCACAAAGCGTTAAAATTAGTTCACTTTTTCGTTCGCTTACTAAAAATTTTTTGGGAATTTTTGTTTGAGGTTGTTATACCATATACTTTGCGCTTATTTTTGGTCATATCAAGGTTAATTTCGTTTTATAATTGGAGGCTTACATATAAAGCGCTGGAGGCACGTGTAATCTTCAATTCGGGCTTAAGTGCTTAATTAGGTTTTTGCTGGTGGCTTCGAAGGTGAAAACCGGAACTCTACTCAGGGAGACTAATGAACGATTGTTGATTACGCACGTGTACCCCAAGTTCGAAAAGCTAATGTTGTGCATTAAAAAATACATTAAAGGCTATAGTTTTTCGTAATTTGTTCATGTACTGCTTTTAAGTTTTTTAATTAGTTAAGTTTTTTTTATAATAAAGTAATAAGTACTTTGCTTTGAGTAGTAAACAACATAATAAAATTGAGATTCGTACGTCACTGGTTTTACGTATTTTCTCAAAGCTTATTTCGTGGATCTAGGAAATGTTTTAAAGATTTAAGTACCAAAATATTTCCTAAAGCTTAACGTTGCCTGGCATATTAAACAGATACTCCAGACGGCAAAAGTTTCCATCAACTACAACAAAGACATTAAGTATTTTTATTACCTAGCTTTTGAGGAAAGTGACTTTATTACTTCGATATATCGTGTGAACTCTAAGACCAATGAAAAGTAAATGCGATTTGAAAATAAATAAGAAAGGTTTAAAATATATATTGAGAGTATTAAAAAATATTTTTCGTTGAACAAAAAATATTAATAAAAAGAAAAGTATAGTTATCCTAAATATAAACTTTTTCTTAGAAATGCAATTTTAGTGCAAATTTTTAAATTTGCATAGGAGCCGGTGAATTTAAAAATTATTATTCAACACAATCGAAGTTCATGTCCAATCCGATCGTTGAAGAGCTATAAAAGGCGATTTGAATACACTTCTTCGTCGGCACTTTCTCATCGATTTGCATACACATATCGAACCCTATCGTATGACATAACACTTTTGTGTTGCACAACAAAAGTCGTGAGTATAGGCCAAACCGGAAAAGAGACCGAAACCAATGTGTGTAGAGACAATAAAACTTTAATGAAATCAAAGAAAAGTCGAGAGTTTGTTGGACAGCGGTTTGGGTTTTGGTTTTAATCGACCAGGAAATGAACTCTTGCAGAAAAAATTAAATACGGCATTTCCAGTGAACTTTAGTATTTGGTAGACAATGATCTAACTTATATTCTTTTTAGAAATCACGAAAATGGAAAATAAAAACAAAATTCACACTATTATTTAAACTAAAAATCGTAACCCACATCAGCAAATTTTAATTAAGTAAATACGTCGAAAATTTACTTCAGATTTGTGCTTCGTGTATGTATATAATAACATTGCAAAAATGATTTGCTGTTCTTACAAATCGGCACCATTAAAATAATAGTAGAGTAATTATAAACCGTTTTGGTTTTAGTAGCTTACCTGTTATTATCGTTTGTTAAAATAATGTAGTATAGCCCACATTTTCTATTAATAATATACTGTAAATATTAAAAAAAAGCGTTAGGCACATTTTTGTAAGTTTGACTGCTAGATATCACATAGGTTAATTCCACTCAAATCTTTGTAAAATAATGATATCCCGCTAACTATTTTTCAGTTCATTGGGGTGGCTGAAACATCTCCAAGTAAATGGATGTTGGTATTTCTTTTGTGTTTCTCGAGGTGAAAGTGGAAAAATGCCGAGCAAATAAACTTGACGTAATAAAACCCAAGGGAACAACAAGTTTTCGCTTTGCATGTTGAGGGGGTCTCAAATTGCATCGCAACTTTCCCAGAGAGTAGGAGTTCATTAGGGTCGTCTTAGTTTGCAAAGGGGGAGAATGGGGTTTCCTCTCAGTATTCCAGTTTCGTAAGCGGCGTCTAGACAGATCCGCTGTACCTATTCAAACTCAAAGTTTATTTTTCTAACTTGATTACTCAAACAGGAAGTGATGAAAACTTGACTTGATTTGTGACATTTAATTTTTCGATCTAAGCCAAAACATAAACCGGGGTTGGGAAATACTCGGCTATATGTCCGACTATAACCGGTTCCGCTTCCAGACGTAATCCGTTCCAACTGAAGAAGTTGTCTGTGCTAGAAACGAGTTCAACGGAAATCGAGAGTGAAGTTGGTTCACAAATGTTGATTATCTCGGGATTTGAATATTCACGTTTACCGCTTGTAAATGCCACTCGCTTCTGCAAACCAAAGCACGTGCCCTTCTCGATCTTCCCAAAGCCGGTGGAAATTATCTGAATTGACAATTTTGGAATCTTTCCACGCTTCCCTCTCTCTTGGCCGAAAAAAATAAACAAAAAATACAGAGACAGTTTGCCGCAACCTTTAGCTGATGAATGCAGTGCGTGATAAACATGCCGAGTTTGCAACTCACTTTGTATTTATTTCCATTCATTTACGTGCACTTGGAAAGCAAATTGATTCTATCTACGTAGCCACCTTAATGAATTCGAAATGCTCACAGAAACGCATTTTTAGCAGACTGAAACAATTCAGTTCGATGGATTAAGCAATTTACAAGAAATTGTAAAAAGTTCCCGGCTTTTAATCAATTTCCAAGCATACCGCATTGCTAAGGGAGATTTATACAGAATATTTAATAAGTTTATTTCCTTTAAAAACATACCGCGTTAGTTCAAAGCCTAACAAGCCCTCACAGTTATTTTACTATATTGTTTTTAAGTTTTGCTGAATAATTAATTGTGTTGTGAATATAGCAACCTATTTAATAAACAAGCTTTATACACAATATTTATTTATAAACAATGCAAATTAGTTTATTTCATTTTAATTCGTTATAAAACAATAACTTAAGCTGAGTCATGCCTGAGTGCAATTTTTGGGGGTCAAACTAAAGAAAAGACAGGGGTCATTAATCGAAAACTAGTTATCAGTAACGGAAAGATTGGAGTTCGGATTTTCACATAGAGATAGGGCTTCTGCATCGGTTCCGCATTCAAAGTTGAAAACCAGCCGTCTGAGTTGGTGGCAATTTAATGAATATTCGACTAGAGACCATAATTAATAAAACTAAGCGTTGAATGACTGAACAAATATTCAAAAGTAAAGTTCAACGCATCGACTTGGCCTTGTTCGGGGCATAGGAGTCGTTTAAACGTTTAAATGTTGGATGAATTGGCAACAGCTGATCGAACGAATGTAGCCAAGCAAATATTTAACTTACTCACCGCCTATGCACTCAAAAAAATAAACAGACATTGTATTTACTATCCCTTCAACACTCTCAATTTCTACCTGCATATTTGCTCAATTGTTCTTTTGTTACTTTTTGTTGACAATTTGTTCTAAGCTTCTCTATTAGTCATTGTTTTGTATAATTAAAGACTTGGTTTAAACAACCTTGGGATTGGGGTCTCCGATCTCAACCTTCCCCGAAATATTTTTTAACGATTTGCGCAGTTCCCGAAATCTTAATTCGAAAGCAGTTATTTATGCAAATGACAGCCAGCTAGTAAAACAAAATACCAAATGCCAAAATCTAATGGGGCCAGCCCCCAGATTAATGACCGCATACCTAATTTAATTGTGTTTTGTTTCAGAGCACGATTTCAATGAGTTCTCGGCAGCGGCTGAGGCACTGAAGCCGGGATTGGCTGTGGTCACGGGGGCAAGTCTGAAGACCAAGTCCCAGCTCACCGACACCATCAAGGAGTCGTGTCTTCCCAAGATGCTCTGCGAACTGGCCTCCAAACCGGAGTACCAACTCAGCGAAAAGGAACGGGAGCTGCTCCGATTAATCAGGTGAGTGATAGCTTTACCGATCTACAAATGCAATATCCAAAAATATAAATAAAGCAGATATATTTCTTTTAGAAGAATAAAGAGAAAAATGATATAATTAAATACTTCAATATGAATGCCTATTTTTTAAACAGTGTTTTTTTAACTTAAGAAATTTCTTTTTTCAAAGTACAATAAAATCATTTATTAAATGACAGGTGAAATATGATAACAGAAGTAGCTAATATTTGAGTAGATTAACAGTTTTAAAAATGAAAACAATGCGAAAAGATAAAAATTGAATATAAATGTCAGCAAACACTGCAAACACATAAATTTGTTGACGCTTAAAACAAATTCTTGGAACCGGTTAGGAGTGACTTGCGAAAATCTTCACATAACATCAGCACTAACTTATAGATTTCGTAGAGAAAAACAATCAACTTAGCTAGTTAGAAACATATAGCATTCAGGTTTCACATTTATCATTTTCTGACCTTTCCTAATCACAGTTAATGGTTTTTTGTGTTCTATTAAAATTCGTATTAGTCTTTTATAAATATTTTTATTTTTTTCAATTGCCTACCTACTAAATTTTAACAAAGGTTACAATAGCAATTTCTAAAGAAACTTATCATGTTTTGTAATTTTTAAACAGTTTTACTGAAATTAGAACTTAAAAATGTTTTTAGTAGATATTTTTTTTTTTCACCATAAAGGGTATTTTAAATATTACTAAATTTGCCTCACTGGCTCCGCTAAAATATATTGCACATATATCAATGTGTTTATATAAAACCAATTCGCGTGCATTTATTTCCTCTAGAGATCTTGACGAATATTTGCCTGTAAGTTGCAACAAGTAGAACCAGTTCTACCAAACATTTGCATACCCAGCAGTTACGAAAGTTTTCAAACAGGTTTCAAGTGATCTAGTGCAGCTTTCTATAATGGCAACCCATTAAATTTCCAGTAATATTATAAGGCGTCAGAGTTAGTTGCAAACAGAGTGCTAAAAAACCCAAATGAAGGGGACAAAGAGCAGCACTGAGGGAAACAAAAGCACTATTTAAGTTAGGTGATCCCATGGATCAGCAGTCGTAACCTACCTCAACTTCAGCTGTAACCTCGCACTTGAGTCGAAGGTGAGCCGTGGCTAATGTAAAAGCCCAGCCAGCGTTTAGAGCCGACTAAGTCAACAGCAAGGTGAATGGCTCAGGCATTTTAGAATCTAGACATACAACAAAAAAAAAAAAAAAAAAAAAAAAAAAAAAAACTGAAAGCGAAACTTGAACAAACTCCGATGAAAAGCGAGCGAAGCGTGAAATGCAAATGGCTTATTATAATATTTAACATTTGTTCAGTTGTTCGACTGTGGAGAAACTTCCGTCTAATGCGACCATTATTATTTGCAGATCGCCGACGATGCCCTGGATGATGAACGTGCCGCCGAGCAAATGGTATTTTGCAGCTCACATGGGCGAACTAATGCGCCACACGGGCGACAATCTGAGTGGACCGATGGGATGCGCCAATCTGTGGCCAAACTGCCCGATAAGCTCCAAGAAGCTGATGAAACTCAGCTACAAAGTGAGGGTCTAGTGAGGCCCGGATCACTAACCTAAGTATTAGGTATAGCCGCCTCAACTTTTGTACCATATGTCTTCACCGTTGGATTAGCCTGTAAATGACCCTAAATTTAGATTTAGATTAGACCTTAGTCCCGACATGACTGAAGTGACTGGTAGAACTGTAGCTGTATCCGCTTGAATCTTTTGGCTGCGAGTCCTAGGTAGATCGTAATTACCTACTATATACTATATCTAAGTGTGACTAGTCACGAACCGAGTTAGCATTACGCCTAGTCTAAGTTCGATGCTCCTGTAATTGTTAATAAACGACTCTCTGTTGTGCATACTCCCTAATGATCTTTTGCAATCATTATTGTTGCCATGTCACCTTCGGGTGATTTGGGAAATGGCTTTGATAAAAAACACACTTTTTTCAGGCTGTCAAGTTCATGTTTGTACGGGCGTGTAATTGCTAGGAAGCGATCGACCTGCTGGCAATGGAATTGTATTTTAAAATTGTTATGCAATGGAAGGTTACCTCCGCCATTAAATGCGGCAATCTATTGAACTGGCTGCTATGAATCACTGGAGATTCGATCGATTCACTGGGTGAAGCTTAATTGGCCAAGTGTAATGTGGTTTAAAGTGGAGTATCGCATGCTATGTTCGATCGGAAGTACATGGTCTGTTCGGTGAATTAAATATGGGTTTTTGTTAGCCAAATGAAATCCTGGTACGAGCCACTCTATGTAATTTAAACAAATTTATTCGAAAACACCTCTTGAAATTGCTAACAGGATTTTTGCATTATGTGAATTTAATAATTTAAATAAATAACAACAATGGAACCTATTTTATTCTTTCCTGTGCGACATAATATTTTAGTAATTTAAATTTATTGAAAAACTTAAACCAGAAAATAATAAAATTAATTAAATGCAAATGTCTTTAGTACTTAGTACCTAAAAATATCTATGAAGTTAAATTTTTTGCGCAATTTGCGATGGGAGGTCTTATATTTTTCTTGCTAAGAACATTTGCATATTAAAAGACACTGTATATTAACATACTGATATCGATGTTTAGAATGCACTTGGATAGTCGAAGGTTAGTTATTTTTACGGTTGTCATCGCCCGACCCAAATTAGTTTAAAAACCAATTTTCTTATTTACCCAAACACATATTAAAAATTAATTTAGCGCATACTTTCAGGCGCCTTAAAAAACTTTACCACACACCTTGAACACAAAATAAAGCAAAAACAGCTGCAAATTTTAGTGCACACTTTATATGCAAATTCGATTAGCCCATTGACATTGCGCAAAATACTTAGAATATATTTCGCTTTGTTTACAAATATTTCGCTTAATATTGATTATTCCGAGCACAATCGAAAGAAAAAAACGAAATGGGATTCAGGTGAAATTGTTGAAATATGAGAAACATATTAATGGCTGAATTAAAAACTCTAGAAAGTAAACAAAAACAAAATTTATTTTTAGATTTTCGACAATGCATAAATCAGTCATTGGCACGAGGTAACAAATAAAATACATAAATCATTGATGGGAGCCAATATTGGAATTGAAAATCGAACCCTAATTGAAATTCCTGTTACAAACACGTTCAATTTGGCAACAAATTTAGCCAGAAATTGAGCAAAGCATACAAAACTATAAAAGCCAACAAATTCGTAATATCAAACAGAAATTGGGTCAGATTTGTTTAACTGTTTCAGCATTTTTGTTGTTACGCTAGTTGCGTGTTTCTGTGCGCAACTTTCATTGTTTGGCATGGCCCAAATTTCATGTTTTGCTTGGACCCGGCTCAATTTCTGCTTTTGGCCCGACGTTTGACAAGTTGTTTGGCTTATGCAATTTCGGGGGCAGCGGGGGAAGCAGGTGCACCAGGTGCAATTGCATTGTCTCAGACTTCTTCTGTCAACGGCTGGTTTCTTTCTTGCTTTCCTTTAATTATTTCCGCATATTTGGCACACCGAAAATGAAAGCTAAGTTTTGGCAACAGGATTGTATGAACGAATCTGTAGTACCCTTTAAATGGGACATGCTATTGCAATATAGTCTCAAGATTTTACTAACAATTTTGAAACATCTAAAATAAAAAATAAAATGCTTAAAACAAAATCTAAGAAGCATAATTGGATGGCAACTTTAAAAAATGTTTCTTTAGTTTTAAGTTAACTTGTTGCATGTAAAAAGAATAAAAAGGAATCAAAAGCATCATTAATTACTTTAGTTTAAATAGGGAAGGTATTCTAGTTGGACTCATTTTTACTTTTTCAACTATTAAAAGTACCCGATGAAAGAGTGCAAATACTTAAAACCTTCACCATGCAAGGTAAACTGGAAAAACACGAAAATTTCCCAGTAAAAAAGCAGCATTTCCCAACCTACTTTTCTGCTGCACATCGAGAAAAATTCGTAGCCGAGGAGAAAATAAAGTGCACGGTTAATGTGCATAAAATGTAAGGCAAACTTTGGATCGGCGACGAGAGGAAAGCGAATTTCCCATAGCGGTAGTTGGAGCGTTTGCAATTTGCTATTTGAGTGCCGCTCGAGAGTCTCCACTGTGGATTGCATAACTCCAAAGGTGGCTACGTGATCTGGTCGAGGTGTTTTCAAACGGGTCCCGGCAACTTGGCCAACTGACTGATTGAACCACTCATTGATGGACGATTGCCTACAGTAAATTATTCTTATTACATATGTATGCCTCTCGTTGCATTTTCACAGCTATATTCAGTGGATTTCCTTGGTATTGATTCGATTTCCTCACTTCATTTTTCCATAATGGTTAACCTGACGAAAGGCACGTGCTTCATGGCGTCGTTGATAACTGATTTGGCAAACAGGAGCATAATCATTCAGTTAACTTCAACGGTGATAATTTACCGAGTCAACAAAGTAATCGTTGAATGGTGATATTGGCCAAGCCTCTCTAGATATGCCAGTTTTTGTGGAACTAGTTCAGTAAATATTATACCTTATTTTTTTATAAAAAATAAAATTTATTTTATATTAAGGAGTTGCTTACACTTTGTTGTACACCTGTACAAATTAAAATACGGAAATAGAAACATATTTGTTTGATCTAGAACTAAGAACTAGAATGAGTTATTTTTGCATCTGAAGTTTATTTAAGTTCTTTTAGAAAATGTAAAAGATGGTGTGTCAAATCAAATTTCGGCCAACACGTATTTATAATCTTGGTTTAATAAAAGGTTCTTCTTTGTGCGATGTAAATTACTATGATCGAGGTTGCTAAAAATATAGCGCATATCTAAGTCTTTCACCGGGAACTAAATTAAGCTATTTGACCTCAAACTAAAATCCAGGCGAAACAAATTGCTGAAATCAGCAGCTTGTCCGTGTAGGAAATCTTGCACTTCGACTACGAGATACACCCGGTAACACCAAGAGGAAATGAGGTAATTGATATGCAAGCCGAACGCCAAAACCAAAATAAAACCACAGAAAATAAAGAGCAAGAAAGGAAATCCCGGCGAGCCAAGTGCAAATGGCCAGACATTTGGCTGAACAAATTTCATAACTTTAAATAATTGCACAGACGATGCGAGAAAGAGATATTGAAGCGATATAGACACATTGTGGACTCGGGAGAGCGTGGAGCCCATGTCTGCGCCCTCCGCTCAGCCGGCCTCACTTTCACTTGCTGGCTGTCTTTGGCTTCCGCACGAAACTTGGTCAAAATGCAAAGTAAACTTGGCCCGCGAAAACCCGAAACACGCAGGGGCGTCAAGAAAGGGGGTGTGTCTTCAGCAAATATTTCTTAAATGTAAAGAAAATCAAAAACCTTACAAAATGCAAAGGAAATAAAATACTTTTAAACGTTAAAATAGCATAATTGCATCAAATATAATATAATTGGAATTTAAACAATATTGGAAGTTAAATAATACACCTTAAAAGTAGTCTTTTAGTGTACTCCATATGCATGTTCTATATAACTTCTGGCTTACAATCAAAGTCTTTTGACTGTATATTTTTTGATTTTACAATCTAATATTTTTTACAGACAACCTCCTTAATTTAATAAATGTTTAACAAGCATTACCAATCTAGATTTAAACATGCAAAAATAATTATAAAAAATACAAATGAAATAACAAAGTAATTATTCTATTTTTTATCACTATAAAAAATGAATAAATAAATACTTCGCAAGCTAATACCCACCTACGTATTTCTTACCGACGGCTCTGTCCCCAAAAATCCCCACATGGGAGTGTAAGCTTTACACAACAAGTGATTTCTGGGGGCCTACACTTGAGGTTTGGCCAGCGACTCTCGGTCCCCGCTTCTCTTTGTTTACGTTTAAGTTTACGTTCAAGTTAAAGTTTGGTTTATTTTTTATGCGGCGCTTTGGCGGCTTTAAGCGGCCGCAGGTCGCTTCAGTCAGTCCAAGACTTCAAGCGGACCAAGTCGCCAGCCGCTCCACTCCGAAGCTCCAAAACTCGAACCGTTCGGGGATCGCACATTTGGTGGTATTACGACGGTATTTCGGTATTGCCCAACATTCGGCGGCCATGAATCTCCGGTACATCTGCACAGTCACCCTTCTCCCGACGCTCTGCGTTCTGCTGCTGCTCCTCCTGGAGTTCGTGGAGGAGGGTCTGGCCCAGAACTCCGATCCCCTCTTCGAACTGCCCGTCCAGCTGGTCGGATTCCCAGTAATCGTGCTCTCCGTCCGCCTGTCCCAGTTCGCCAAGAAGCTGGCCTACTCCCTCAGTCCCAGTAAGTTGGCCGTCGAAATGGATTTTTAATTTAATTTCTCCGTTGAGTGAAAGTTGGAAATATGATGTGCATAAATTAATGGGTTTTGCATTGTTAAAATCAGTGCAGGAATTTGGTGATCAAAGTATGGGCTGTTATTTCTCTGGGCGAAACTCTTTCTGTCGAGTGATTAAGTAACTTTGCTGAATTTTAATTGAGTATTTTAAGTAACCGATAATGGAATTCACCAAATTACAACATTAAACTTGGTTAGGTACTTAATTGACCGAAACATTTCAATATATGCAGTAGATACAAAGTTTCTATGGGGAAATGTTTTTACTACAAAGAAAAATTTTTAAGCCAATCCAGCATGGAAAATAGTTTGCATGTTGAATAATATACAATTGAACAACATTTTCATTTAAATTATATGTACATATTTTATTAAAAGTAATGCACATTGACATTGGAATAGTGATATTGAAGGCAAAGAAAACATACATTATTCAATCATATCAGATTCCTAAAGTTTTATATCGATTTTTAGTGGAGTACACTGTACCTAAAAGAACCTACAAATTTTGTTGTAATAAACTACCTGAAGTATTTGTGAATGCAATATGCAAATAATAGCTCCGCTCTTTTTCATAGTTACATTGAGGTTTACCAACCCATTTTGAAGTATGCTTATCTATTGCTGATTTTTGTGACTTGTTACTCATTGCGTTGGACCGTAAAAACCTGATCTGCAAGTGCGATGACAAAAGCGGCTGCCGACTGTCGTGCTCGTCCACTTAGCCGACAAAATGCGAAATGGGGTCAAGGCTGTTGGCCAGCCAGTGACTTCAACCATAACAACTGCCACCACTCCGCGAAGCCGGAAACCAAATTTCACAGAGAGCCAAGCTTGATGATGTTGACAGCTGAGCCGATAAGCTTTGGACATGAGTAATCTGGGAAATGCCTCAAAGCCAAAATAATTGTATGAGATTTTTAGTCAACTTTAAGGCTTGGTAATAGAAAATGTAGTTAAAGATTTCTTAAGAATTCGAACTAATCAAATCCAACAAATCTTTAGTTCACTAAATGTACAAAGGAATTATTTGTTTTTTTGAACCTTAATCTTTAGTGTAGTTTTTTGTGACAATACTTTTAAATTCTCATTTTTTTACAGGTACATATAGATCTCGCAGCAGAAGGGACACAACTCACCCAGTAGCCCTTGATGCTGAGCTGGCCCAAAAGCAGATCCTGCTCGAGTTTGGACCCCAAGCCTGCATCCTGGAGGAGCCATGCCGCCTCCACGCCTCCCGCCATTTGGGAAGTAGCGAACGCCGGTTGCCCGGCGATGGAAAAGCGAAACCACATGCCGTCTGGTCGGAGGTCTTGAGGTATGTTATGAATTTTTAATAAAGTGGGTGTTGATAGTAAAGAAATAGAAGTATGTACATTTAACACTGACATGAAATATATGGTTATGGTAAAATATAATATACTAATTGTTAAAGTTAGTAAATGAATATTTAAGCCAAAAAAAAAAACAACTACACATGTGATGTAAAGTAAAAAGGGTAAACAAAGTATTCTGAAAAATGTACTCCTTTTTGTGATAAAAACAATTTAACACACTATTCAAAAGAACAATTAATTCAATCAGAATTCACACAACAATTTGTATTCAGCATCTTGCATTAGATTTGAAATCAGCAATCTTAACTCATTACCGGAACTGATTACCTCAATTCTATTCAGTTCTACGTTGCCTCGATTTCCCATCTCCTGTATCCCAACCTCTTGTATTAACGGAAGCGCAAAAGGTCCTGGATGTAATCAGCATTTTCGAGTGTCATTCCCTATTTTCAGCTGAAATGCAGCAGGACCGACTTTATGGCAACTCACTCGAGTCAAACTAGCAGTAACAACTTGAACTTGGATGTTCTGGTTCTCTACTCCTGTTCTGCGATTGCATTTGTTATGGCTGCCTTTGCAGTTTGGCGCTGCTGCTGTTGTCATTTGGCAAATGAATGGCTTGTTTTTAGCTAAAGCAAAATGTTTTCCAATCAATTTTTATCTCTCCTTGTTGTCGCTGTCTCATCCTGGAGTTCGCCCATCGCCCATTGTCATTGGCATTGCTAACTCATCTGTGCATAATTTAATGTATCTTTGGATCCCCAAGTTTAAAAGTGCATGTCACGACTGCGATTGCGATTGCGACTTTGGCTTTGGCTTTGCCTTTGGATTTCAATTTGTAAGTTTACATAAATTTAGTTTGGCTCGCGAGTTCCTGATGAGTTGGTTGCCCTCGCGGCTCCCCATTGTCATGGAAATGTTATAAGGCAGCAGTTATTCTTCTCACCCATCAAAGCCAAAGGAAGCCCCTGCTAACTGCTGTGATTCATAATTAATGCGCTTGTCTCTGCAGCTTCTTCCTTGATTTTTTTATTGGCGTTTTTCTGTAATAAAAGAAAGGAAGCTTGGCTGGCTGGTCAGCGGTAGTAAAACATTTTATTGTTGCCACCAGTTTCCATTTTGAAATACTCCTGTTTAAAAGCGACAGGACAAACAAAGGGCAGCTTAAAGAAAAGCTTCTTAGGAATGTCCAGCGGGCAGACGTGTCGTATGCGTAACATTTTCTTGTTTGGCAATTCCCCATTTATTCTATTTAATATTTTGTGATATCGCAAAAAGGTTTCCACATGCATCTGACACTTTCACACTTAATGTGCAAAACTGTTCACCCTCACCCCGTTTTTCACCCCGCCCCAAAAAATGGAATGCAAAAGTTGTTTGGCCAACGTGTCAAGAGCAAATATTCAAAATTATTTTTGAAATGTTCGTCTGTCTGAGGAGCGCTCACCTTCATCCCTGACCTAACATCACTTTGAGTCTGGCCGTGATGTTTTCGTTTGGTTTTTGTTTAGTTTTCGTTGCGCTGCAAATGTAATTGGCATTAGGAGAAGTTTCCTGCAACTCGACGTGTTTTGTAATAATAAAATATGATTAAAGTTTTTGATTAAATTTATGCAAGTGCACAGTGGGGAATGGCATTCCAAAGTTGCCTTTTCTCCAGGTTTCGGTCAGTTTTTCCCGTCTCCTTGCTGTTTCCCCATTTTTCCGGAGGGCAGCTGCAGATGTGTTTGTTACCAAGTTGATTAAATTATGCCATTGCAGACGTGTGAAATTTGAACTGTCCGTAGCTCCAAAGGTGTGGAGCAAAGGGTTTGATGGGAGAGGGAAAGGGAAAGGGTTATCACAAAGTAATCAGCAGGGTCCAGTCCAAAAAGGACACATGCAGCTTGCTGCAGAACGGGTAAAGGAATAGAATGGTTTTTGTTTAATATAAATAACTAAGTGAGTTTGAAGGTATATGGGTACTTTGTTTAATTAACAAATAAACTAAATTATTTGTTTAATATTAGTTTGCACAAATATAAGTTTATAACCAGCAAGGCTTTAATTTATAAATATTTAGTCATATTAAATGGCTCTTTTAATTGCTAACAAGCACGTTAATCAAAAAAGTAGGTAAACAGTTTACGATAATTGTTAGATTCTTGTCATAGAAAAATTACATTTAAAATAATATTTTTCGAATAAAACTTTTGTTGGATTACACCGAAAAAGTTATGATAATTAAACATTTTTAAACTACTTACTTAGGAGGTACTTAGCCTAGGAATTCTTAGTACAATTTAACATGTCGCCTACAAATGTATAGTATTTTTCAATGTAAAGTATTTCTTTATCCCTTATTGCTTCAGTTTACCACCACATTTATAAGTATCATCTCGGCACAACCATTACACAAATAACTCCACAGCAAACACATTCTTTCTTTGGAGCGGTAAAGATTGCTTTTGTTTTAATTCAGAGGATGAAGGGTCTGTTGTTGTGTGCATATTACCCACTTATAAGTAATTATTTCTGTAATCCGCTTTCCGGTTCCCCGCCTGCAACTCCCCGTGCAACTCGAATCCGACGGCCCACAGGAACTACAAAGTGCAGTCGGACGTCAGCGGGATGAAGCAGTGGTACCTGCTGTCCCTGTTCATCGGCGATGCTGTGCGGGATGTTCCGCTCTGCAAGCATTTGGCCAAAAGGATGCCCTGTCCAGGAGTCGGACCTCTGCCACCGCCCCAGCCACGGTGAAGATCCCGTTCAGGACATCCTCCTCCGGGGGAATTCAAGTCGAGGGAGGAGGAACATGCGGTCGGAGTCCCCTTAGTCAGTCGCATCGGACATCTTTGTTAATCATCCATCTTCCGGCACTCGCATCCAGCATCCATGTTCACCCCATCACTTAGTTGCTTTTAAGGGTTTTAATTTAAACGAACGCCCGCCAACAGACGTAGGCGCTTAGATTTATGAGTAAGCAAATAAATAAACAAGCCAGCTGCAAAAAATCAACCCAAATTTGTGTGTTCCTATGCCGGGACATGTCTGCACTGGACTCCCTCAAATTCTCGCTCGGACAATGCATTTCCCCATCCCGGGTTTTCAACGCGGGGAAAGGAGCAAAAAATTGATACGCCAAAGAGCATGGCTGAAAAATGTTGGCCGGTTGCAACTACACTCACAATTTGTTGACACAAAACATTAAGATGCAAGGGAAGGGTATCCAGGTACCCTGTAAACTCAGTAGTTGCATGTGCATTCAAGGAAATAGGAATTCTTGATGGAGATTTTACTTCAGATTATCTGAAACAGATAATAATCTAATATAATTTAAAAGGAATGCATTACAAATATTATTCGGAAGGAAATTAATCAATTTTTAGCATACATATGGTACTTGGGAAAGGTGACAAAGTAAAGTATGTTGCAATATGTGGAATTGAGATTATGAAACGTTAAAATATAAATATTCAAACTTTTGATAAGAACAATCGTTGATTTTCTAGTTTTTAAATCAAATAACATACTTTTTATAATTCATTTTGTATACAAAAAGATTGGCATTAAAACAGGCTTAGAACCATATTTTAATAGTCTTCAAAAAATTATTTCAATACAATAATATAATAATATAAGTTTATCTCGACTAAATATCAACTACCAGTCGTTTCCCCTCTCTACATTTGGTCTTAACTTTTCTTTTTCCTACTCCCCCAACGCCGTCCCATTAAGAACACGAGCTCCAACAAAAAGCAACGCTCGTGTCTCTAACCCCAAACCCACATGAAACCCCTGCCCCAGTCCTGGTTTTCCCATTTATCAACTCGTTGCATATGGTTTGCATACAAACGGCGGCTGCCGTCGTCGTCCAGAGTGCTGTAAATAAAATAAGACGACAGCATCGCAGCAACAAATGTCGCCGGGAGCTTTTCCCCTTCCATGGAAACTTTGGGAGCCTGTGCCGCAGAAAAGTATGCTGCACTTTTTGTGGACTCTTGCATTTCAGTGTGATTTTCCTGCTGACAAACGCTCGACCATTTGGGAAAACGATGTCAGGGAAAATAAGAAAGGAAGCTAGCTTCGGCAAGCCGAATCTAATATACCCTTACAATCATTGAATATGTTGAACAAAATACATAAATGCTAAACAACGTCGAAGCTATGTCGATTTTTCAATTAAGTTTCTATATTTTTGACAATTGTTCAAATGACAACGATTTTTATGATGATTCGTTATAAAAGTCTTTACTGAAAAAATCATGCTATTCTGATGAAAAAACAACGATTTACCCTTAATTCTATATTAAATTTTTTTGATCTTTCCAATGACATCTATATGAAATAGATATCAGATTTTGATAAAATGCAAGCAAGTTTGCTTAGGTAAGATTGAATTCAATTTTGAGCCGAACTTAAAACACTTTATACACTTCAAACGTAAATGTGTATTCATATCCTCTTTGTGAGAAACAACAGGGGTTAACAATACACTTTGATTAGCTAATTTTAAAGGGAAGATTAAATCAAAAATACAAATATAATTTAAATATCAAACAAGGCAGTTATTCGAAACGTTGTAAAATGACAACGAATTTAGTGAATCTTTCATGCGGAAACTATTTTGATCAGCAGACAGGTGAGTTCATACCACTTTTCAATAAACCAGCATTTTAGTATAGCAGCAATGTGGTATAAATACGTTCTTCTCTTTGGGGCAGTTCTTGTTTTTAACTTTGCAGTGGTTGTAAGTGAACAGAAGATAAAGTGATTGGCTTGTGACTATAAATGCATTATTCGTTACAGGATGCAGTTGTTTTCAGGTTTACGAATTTCCAGTGCAAGAGTTACAACGAATCGTGGTACGTTCTCAACTATTACCGTCTGAAGGCCGTCAGTCGGGACAGGGTTCTGCTTAATATTAATGGAACTATTCTGCATCCGGCTTACAACATTCAAGTTCACGTAAAAGTCTATAAAAAGGCCAATGGTTTCAAGCCATGGCTGTTCGAATCCACTGTTGACGCGTGCAAGTTTATGAAAAGGCGTTATGATCCATTCTTAAAAATTGTCCACAACATCTTTAAAGAATTCTCGAACGTTAATCATACCTGTCCCTACGTAGTAAGTATAAGGAACTTATTGACATTAATTTGGCAATAATAATTACATTATAGGGTCATGGTGTCGTCAAAGATTTTTATCTGAAACCGGAATTATTAATTCTGCCCTTTCCATCTGGAGAGTATATGCTGGCTATTCGGTGGTATTTCGATAAGGAGCTCACATTCGATACAAATGTCAGTTTTGTTTATATGGAAGATCTTATAAAAAGAACATAGAAGCACCCAATCAAGCAATACCATTTCCGTTCTTGCAGCATGTTAGTCCTTGGGTATGGGTAATAGCCCGTTAGAAAACTCTATATTCCAAAAATCATGCTTGTCTGATGAAAAACAACGATGGTATAATTTTATTTCTGTTATTTCCATATATAGATTTTTTTATCTTTTCTATGGCTATATGATAGAGTTATTTAATTTTGATAAAATTAAAAAAAAAAAACGTTTTAAAAAACAACGGCATTAGAATTTATTGTTTCATTCTCTCGTATGGCAGCTATCCGACATAGTCGGCCGATCCGGCCCGATCCGGCTTACATATATACTGCGTGCAATAACTACACAACTTTTGGGAAAGTTGCCGAAAGATAGCTTCAAAACTGAGGGACTAGTTTGCGTAGAATCAGACAGGAGGACAGACGTACAGACCTTTTTCGATTCTGATCGTGATGTTAATCAAGAATATATATACTTTACGGGGTCTGGGGTGTCTCCTTCACTGCGTTGCAAACTTCTGAAATATCTCGAATAAAGTTGTGAAACACTTTCAAGGAAAGGGTATTCCCTTTTTCACTTAAATGTTAGGGGTGCATACTAGTTGGTTTTTTTGCTTTTCCATTATTGTCCGGGGTTATCACATTTAATTTTTCAACCGAATTCCCTGGATGAGGCCGTTTGCTGCAAGATTTATGTGGCGGTTCCACTGGCAACGCGTTTCACTTGTTGAAACAATAGCCGCAGATGAAGAAAGTTTATTTGTGTGCACACTCGGTTGATTGAATCGTGTTTTATTAATAAATATTTGTTTAAAGCGTTAAATATTTACAGACTTATGTGACTAAAGTTGTGGCGTGCCTCTGTGCAATTTGTTCAAGCGCCAAAAAAAGGAACTTAAATCAATGTTAAACATAGGTGGTTTATAAATTATAAAATTTGTAGTAATTTAAAGAGAGGCTTTGTCTAATTTAACTACAAATATAGGGCTTTCTAAATTCACAAGGATGACATTTAAAGTTATTTACAATTTTAAAATGCTGTAGATTTTAGGGTTAGCGTGCTAAAACAAAGTAACTTTCTTAAGTATCCATTTAAATTCAACTATTTTTTAAGCCTAACCTGTCTTTAGATAAACCTTACTGCCATCGGGACGAATGTAGTACTCGTTGACTCCCTGCGAGTTGGTCACATATATATTTTTGTCATCTTCGTAGTGGGGTTTTTGGCTTTGACTGCTTCCGTATCGATTATCGCTGATGTAGTTTGAGTTTGGGTAATTGTAGTGGGGTCTCTCGCTTGTTGGATCTACAAAACGAACCGTGTTTCCCGGCATATATTCGCCGTAATTGAGGGAGTTGAATCCCCCTCCAATCGGTAGTTGTTTTGCGGTCTGTGCTCATTGCTAACCACAAATCTATCCTCCTTGGGCTCCCCAACTTCATTATACTCGTAGGTGGGAGCATAGGTGGGTCGATTCAGGATCTTTCCCTTCCGAATGTGCTGTTCGTAGTGATCGGGGAAAATGACTCGAGCTCCACGTTGCGGAGGAGCTGCATCTTCGTAAACCGCATTTGGAGGAGGGGTTTCCTCTTTGAAGGATTGCTGGTTGTTTTGTGCCTCTCGAATGCGGAGAATCTGGAGCTGCTCTCTCCGGATTCGATCTTCTCGGAGTTGCTCCTCCCGAATTTGTTCCTCACGAATTTCCTCTTCTCTGAGCTGTTCTTCCCGTTGCTGTTCTTCTCTGATTTGTTCTTCGCGGAAAAGCTCATCCCTTATTTGTTGCTCCCTGATTTGTTCCTCAAGAAATCTTTCTTCTCTCAGTTCAGCCTCCCTAAATAGTTCCTCATCCCGAATCCTTTCCTCCTGCAACCTCTGCTCATCCAGCTGCTCGTTGGTGTCCCTAAACACAATCCTTTTTCCTCTACGCTTGTCCACTCCTAAATCAGATTGGGATAGGCCATTGGGCAGGACAACTTTCCACCCGTCCATAAAGGATACACTCTTGGCTTTTCTCACATTTTTGGCGGTTTCCTCTTGATCCTGAGGAAACCTTAGCTTTCTTTGGGCGGCATCTCGATTGAACTCCCTTATGACATCCGCTGGTGTGGCATCCGGAAATCGAACAGATCCTTCGTCGTGTTGTTCCTCGCTCTGAATATCCTTGAAGTTGACCACCCGACCTTCACCCTCGTCCTCTGGGAATTGCAGTACCCCAATCAATTCGGTGTGTGCCTTGGCTGCCTCCTCCTCCTCATCATCCTGAAACTTCACCAGCTGACTCGTCTGGGTGTCCAGGTTGTCCTCCTCGTCATGGAAGTCGTCATCCAGATCGAGGCTCCTTCTCCTCCTCCTTCTTTGGTATTCCACACCATTCAGGTATTCGGATAGCACCTGCGTGAAGAAGCTTCCGATTCCACTGGCAATATCCGTGGAGGGTCGCTGGGTGGGTCGGGGAACGGGTCTCGGAGTGGTGTAACTCTGACCACCTCCTCCTCCTCCTCCTCCGGTGAGAGCTGAGAGGATGCTGAACAGGGATCCCGAACCGCCATCAGATTGCTGGGAGGCCACCGGCTTCTCCTCAGGTTCGCTGAAGAACTTGAAGAAGCCGCCGCGGTGGTTGTTCAAATAGTGAATGATTTCCATCTGTATGAAGATTTTTTTAATTAATGAATAATTTAACATTAATGTGGAGTAAACAAGTTGTTTATGAGGAAACTTTTTTTTAGAATATTTATGTGCAGAATTACTATTGTTCTGGAGTATAAGCACAATCTTGACTTGAGCTATCTCAACTATTTTTGATTATAGCTTCTTAATGGTTTGAAATAAAATTTTACTTATAAAATGAAATTTTAAGCTAGATGAATTTTTAAAATTGGAGTTATCAGATTTTTCGGAAATAACGAAGCATGCAAAGCAAATACGAAAAGTTCAATTTCTGAAAATTGTGTTGTTTCGAATTTTGGTCAACCTAAGCTTATCTTCTAGATAACGCTAATTAAATAATTGCTAGTGCCAATACTAAAAGTTAAGCTAACGCATTTTTTTTATCTTAATAGTAGGTACCTATATTTTGTATTCATATATTTTTTGCTTAAGCAGGCTATGTCTATAGCTAATGCTAAACCTTGTGTAATAACTCACATCATTTTTAGGGCACTTCTCATAGGTCTGAATACAACTCCTTTCTCCTCCACTCAAGCCAAGAAGGGCAGCCCTTCCATAAATTAGGGCAGGTGAAGCCACAGGGAATCCGGCCAGGAAACTGTAATAGAAAGTAAAAGGGGTTAGAAAGTATGTTTACCAAATAGCAGATAGATATCTGCTTTAAAAGCGAAGACTAAATGAAGGCTAACGAAAAAATACAATCTGGTAGTTGGGCGTTTTAAAAATTTAAAATAAAATACAAAATATAAAACACTAAAATAATTTGGATGAAACACAAGTCTTATGCAGATTACATCATGTTCCATTATTGTGTAATTTTTCAGACCTAAGCTGGATTTCCAGATACTGCGACCAGTTAATGATAATCGCTGGCTTAGAAACCATCGACCTGCAGGAAGATTTCACCCTTAAGCTTCCCATCTAGTTACATAAGTGATGCAGCTCCATTTGCCTTTTAGCCTCTCTCTAGGCCGCTTATAAAACTTAATTGACTTGGAGCCAAGAATTTGCCCAGGCCAAAACAATTTCAATTTACAATGGGTGCTATCGCAACCCCTTTCCCCACTTTCCCTCCCCCGTGGAAAATCCCCCAGCAGACGTAGCTCATTTAATGGAACAATCAATATGGTCTGCAGGCAGTAATGAAGTCTAATCCCATTTAACGCTGCACCACAGAAACAAGATGCCCTGCCCCCATCTGCCTCAAAATGCAAATTTAATAATATTTACTCACAACTAAAGCCCCTGCAAAATGGGGAACAACCCAACAACACTGAGAAAGAAAAATGATATAAAATATGATTTAATTTGATATTGATGAATAAAATATTTTTAAAACAAAAATCCAATATTAGAAGAAACACCCAAATTAGCTTTCCAAATAATTAAAAATTAAATAACATTCAAAATATACCATCCAGAAAATATTAAATATTAATCATATAAAAAGGATGAGGAGTTGATATTTAGAAATACATTTAATAGTAGAGTCAATAATTGTTTGTTAAAGTAAAATGGAATTGTATTTTTGCGATCATAACAAGACTAATGGATTTTAAACTTTTTTTAGACAATAAATTATTATTTTAGAATAATTAATCCTAATCTCCAAAATATTCAAGGCTTTCTAAATAACGTTCAGAAACTTAAGCAGTAATCTAACTTAGGTACATAACAACCAATACTTTATCCTGTTTTACAATTCAATGCAATATCTTTTTGATTAAGTATTTTTCCGCAGTGCAACCCAGTCCCACCGCCCTTTCCCTCCCCCCTTGTGGAGTACTCACTTGGTTATGGCCGGGGAGGTAACGAATCCGGGCAATTGGCCACGTAACGTTTGACCGGCAATCATCTGGCAGAGCACCTTGGGCACGCACTGCAAATCGTCGTTGCGAGCGATGTTCTCCAGTGCCCTAATGAGTTGTGTGTTGGGCGGTCGTCCTGCCACTCCCCCACTTGGGGCTCCTGCTCCTTGTGTCCCGGCAAAAGCGCCGAGGAGACTGCCTAATGGGCTGGCCGACTGCGAGGACGCGGCTGGGGAGCCACCGCCGCCCAGGAGGAGATTCGTAAATTGTGGTGCGTACAGCGAGGCCAGGGTGGCCAATCCACCACCCACTCCGCCCACTCCGCCTCCTGCTCCGCCACCCGGTGACTGAGTGGCAGGACGATAGTTGAACTGCTGCTGTGGATGCGGCTGCTGGAAGTGCTGCGACTGCGGTGGCGGCGGCGGTATCTCGCCAATCTGGTACTCGTAGTAATTGTGTCCCGGTCTGGGCCGCTGGGGTTGTCCGAATCCTGGTCTCCCTGGTCCTTCCACTGGACCTCCTGCTCCTCCTCCGCTCTGGGGGCTGTATTGATAGTTGCCGAATTGTGTCTGTACCTGCACAGAAAGGAAATTTATTAAGGTATTGGTTGTATTTTAGGAATTGTGAAATAAACAGAACAACAGACATGTTCACTGTTAGGTACATTTTTGGGAGTTCATATTAAATTGTTACGCATTCAAAATAATTATATGTAGTCTTCTAAACCGATTTGAACTGCTAGTGTAAATTTGAAAATTTGTGATGCAATCTTTTATAGGTTTTTAGAGAGTTTGATTGATTGGAAGTGATCTTGTTTACTTACTTATATGTTTCTATTAAAATTGTAGTATAATTATGGATTATCAATTCTATCAAAAACACGTTTTAAAATCGTATATAGTTAGGAGTAGTGACCTAGAATTTTAATTGGTGTTATGTCTTGTTGGACCTTTATTTTATATTGACTAAAGATTTTGAAATTATTGGAACTCTGATAAATTTTTTTATTTTAAAGATTTATTTAACTGGGGTGTTAAAAAATCTCCAAAAACCTTGGATTGAAATACAGTTCAACTGCAAGAGATTTTTATAACACCCCTGTCTTATTTTTTTTCTTTGTGTACCTGGTTGGGGTTTGCTATCTGAGTCTGCTGTGGGTTCGGCCGCTGCGAATAATTATCAAAGTTGTTTGCATAATTAGACGATCCCGCTCCCCCAGCTCCACCCACTCCACCTGCTCCACCCAATCCAGTGGCTCCCCCTCGATTCGCATTGGTGTCTTGGCGTTGGTAGAGTGGTCGCTGCTTTGGCTGCTGGGGCACGAAATTGGAGGTCTGCTCGGCGGCGTAACTGGGAGGCGGGTAGTCGTGGCTGTCGTAGGAGATTTTGTGCGAGGCGGTGGTGGGCGGGGCAGGGAGTGAGGGCGGCGGCCTGGTGGGTCGACGGTACGAGGGGGCGGGGCTCTCATCGAAGACGTAGCCAGGTCGCTTGAGATACACATCCTCCACGTGACCAGGATGCGATTGTGGGTGGTTCTGCTGGTGGTTCAGCTGGTGGTTCTGCTGGTGACTGCCCACCATCAAGGACGATTGCACGGTGTAAACCTGATCGTCTTGAGCAGGCTGCTCCCTCTGATACTGAATTATGGTGGGCGGAGTGGGCGTGTAGCGGTAGTTCTGCTGGGTGTACGGGTCCAAGTAACTAACCACCGGCGTTGTGGGCAGCGGTGTGCTCTGGAAAACCGAGTGCGGTTCCTCGGGAAAGGAGAACTGTTTGTCCAACGTCGATTGTTGTCCCAGTGAGTTGGGCACTTGGTGCTTGTAGTTCGGCTCCAAATAACTTGGGGGATAGCGATTGAATCCTGCTTGGGGCATCACATCCGAGGGGGTAAATTCCAACATTTGAGAGGGTCTGAATCCTCCGCCTGAAGTCACCCTGGCTGAAGTATCTGGTGGGTTTTGAGCTTCTGCCACTTGCTCCGAGGGAAAAAAGTTTTTCAGCTTCACGGATAACTGCTTTTCATCACTGAAATAAGGAGAGGTTAGAGTACGAAAATAAAATATGCAGGAAATCATGTATGTAATCAAGTTGTAAACAAATAACTTTATAATATAAATTTATAAAACTGAACTGAAAGAACTACACATTTTGAAACGTTTATGTTGCCTGCTGTAGTTCTCTAGTTTTTAGATATGTACTCGAATACAATTTAAAAGAGACTTAAAGACTTAAGACACTAAAAAACATTGCGTCGCAGGCTCGATGAAATTTGCATAACTTAAGGAAGCTCAATCAACTCACCCGCTGCCATTTCTTATGCACGACACGTCGAAGACTAATGCGATAATTAGAATTGCAATTTTCCATTGCACACTTCGCGGCTCCCATAGCAATTGCATTTCGGTGGTGCGGTGGTTACGGTGGCTCCGGTGGTGGGGAAAGTGTGGAAAATCCCGCTGCTCACGTCAGCGATTCATAAGCTCGGGCAAAACTGTCTTCGCACGTCGCCTAAAGTGGGGAAAATGGAATGGTGGAAAACATCATAAAAACTTGCTGTCAACTCAAACTACAAAAGAATTTCGCGCAATTCCCGACGACTTGTGCTCGACATTTTCTTGCTACATTTGCACATAAATTTATAGATTTACCGCCCACCGCCCTCGGGGGATGCACATTTGCATTCATATTAATGCAATTCTCACGTGCTATCCGCCAAAGGAGTTCTCCCTGCCGACGACATTTGTTTAATTCGGTTTTTTATGATTGCGCCGTGTTTATGCAACCGCACGACCGCCAGAAATAATCGGATCCCATCATCTTCACTCCGAGCTCCGGCGAACCATGCAGAATTATTCGGATTATTGTCAAGTTTTATTTGGCGGGACGCTGACAGGCCTTAAAAGTTTAATGTCCACAGCGTTTTGGTTTCATTTTATGCTCGGGTTCTATTAGGACAAGTGTCTACAGTGCATACATCCGAGTTCTCCCTAGACTGGTTGTATAAAAACTCTTAGCTAAGATTGTTCTTTGTTTTTTAAAACCCTTGGTTTGGGTATGATTTTTCTTTCTGACTCATTGGCAAAGGTTTTAATGTATATTGGACAATTTCCGCTCACAGTCTCTGCTTTTATTAAAAGAAGTAGTTTCTAATAGTCGTTTTATTCTCCAGAAAAATTATTTAATTTATTTTCATTAAATGTATATGTTATACTTAAAACAAAAAATTTGACTTGTCAAGAAGCTCTAAAATTTATTTTTATTTACAGAAGCTTAACAAAATCAAACTTTTGTAAAACTTATTATTTTATTTTGTGTATTTTTAGATAACGATTTTTAATTCATTCCATAGTTTTATCCATTTATAGTTAAGGTTGAATGTTTGTTGTTTTAATCAGGGAACCAGGATCTTAATAAAAATGAATGTATTATTTTAAGGAAGGGGATTCAAATGGAAAAAAATGGTGACACTCTATTAACATTTATTTCAGCCAGTTATTTCTGAAGCGTTTTTAACAGATCATATTTTATGAATCAGTGAAAGTATGTTTTACGTTCTGAGGCAAAACTTTTCTATCATTGGTTTATTGATTTCTATGGTTTTTAGCACACGAGCAGTTCATTCATTGGGGTCTTTACATATTTAACTCTTCAACTCTTTTTCCATCTGCAAACCATAAATTTCACCATAAAATATGCACAGAGTGTCGCTTTGTTTAGTGCGTCATTTAGCGCTCTTCGATTTGCATTTGCATTTAAATGGAGTCAAGGTTGTTGTGCGAGACAGCGAGTGTGTGTGTGGAAAAAATGTTAAACACTTTTTAAAGATGACGCACAGGAGTTTTCGAAATTATCGAGTTAAAGGTCCGCACTGTCTGCAGCATCTGTGCCGAGTTAAAAATATATTATTTATGATTGTGCTTGTAGTTGGGCAATATAAAAACAACTCCCATGCCAAATGTCTTGTTGAATATAAAATTTAAATTCCATGCAATTGCGAATGGAGACGGAGACGGGCAACAGACTTCCCCAGCTGTAATTGCAGCCAAAAATTTTACGATCCCATCCGAGGGGCAAAAGATATAGGGGGAAATCCGGGGAAGTACCAGAAAACTGCATTTGCCGATGGCAACAGAGGGCGCTGCACTAAACCGAAAGACAGCAGACGGCAATTGAAGTTTACAACAAGAAATGGAAGCCAATTTAGGGGGAGGGGGTGTGGTTGCAGCAGGTGCAAGGATCACAAAATGCACATTGAAAAGGGGAAGGACATCGAGTGCGGAGGCGGCGACACGAAAGGACACTTTACGCTCGAGATGCGTTCCAAATTGTGCGGGCAAAGACGAACACGGATACGGATACGAATACGGATGCGGATGCGGATGCGAGTGCGGATGTGGCGTACGTGTTGTGAATTCTTTGGGGAAGTATCCTCTGCTTGTCAAATTACATAATCCACTCAACACGCCCCCTCCTCCTTCGTCCGCCCACCAATTAGCTTTAATGTCCAAGGCGTGCTGAGGTTCGATCTGAATCTTATTGCTGAACTCGCACAAGCAAAAAAAATACTTTGAGTAGCTGTAAGATATATTTAAGAAATTTTTGAAGCTACAAAAGTTCAAGTTTATTGCAGTGGCGGATCCAGAGACGATTCTTGGGGGGGGAAATTGAACTTATTCTTCGATTTGGGGTTCAAACTTATTGTTGCGAGAGAAATACAGTACAAATTATAAAACAAAAATTATCCATCCCAATTTTTTAGTATACAAAGTGGTTATATTTGAAAAGTCAACCATAGCAAACAAGTAAAATTTTCAGGTTCTCTGGTTCCAAGGGGGGGGAAATTTCCCTAATTTCCCCCCCCGTGGATCCGCCACTGTTTATTGAGCAAATGTCTTTTTTTTTAACTTTTCAGCTATTTTACAAATTTAATTTCGTATTTAGTTATCTCTATCTTTTTCCATATTTAACAAAGTATTTGTTTATAAGTTACTCTTTATAGTTTTTAATATTAAAAGCACATAATTTGTGGTGGAAATTTTAAAACCATAAAAAAAATCTTTTTTGTAAAGAATACCGTCTTGAATATTTTCTCATTGCTTAAAAAACTTTAACTAGTTAAAAAAAACTTTTTAAAATTTGCTACACAGCAAATTATTAGTTAATGTATTTTCTCAGTTTAGTAATGTACTCGTAAGTTTACACAATTTTTTCTGTGCATTAAATGAGTCACTTGAGACCACTGATTTTTGTAATGTTATTTTGCGCAATTCTCCGCCGTTTCGACTTCTTTCCACAACTTTCTTTTCGCTCTTCCTGGCTGGCTGAACTCGAAAATTGCCCGGGCGCGTTTCTAGACACAATTGCCATGCTTTGTTTATTTTTTGAATTGCTACTTTGCAAGAGTTATTTAAGGGGCCCGGCTTTTGATTTTGATTTGCACACTTTCGGTTTCGATTTTCGCCGTGGGTTTTTTCCCGACTTACTCACTGCACTTTTTGGTGGCCGCCAGTGCTTCTTTTTCCCCGCGTGTCGCAAACAAAACTGAAAGCGAAATTCGACTCGAGACTCGAAACTGGTTAACTGGTGAGCTTAGGCGACGCAACCGCAGACGTAAGCGGTGTAAAACTAAAAGCTGCTCAGACGATTCCACGCAGACGTCTTTCCGGCTTAAAGTTCGGCGATCGTTTGACACGCGACGCCGGCGCAGAAAAGCAGCCAAGCCATCGGGCCATTTCTCTGCAGATACATATAGCCAAAGTCTGCAGGTCCAGCGGAGAGAGTCAAGTCCGACTTGGCCAGGTGGATTAAATAGCGTTAACGGAGAGCCGCCCGACTTGGTAAATGAGAGCTGAAGAAGCTGGGAGAAAAGGCGTCTCTAAAGACCAATGGTTTTAACAATAGAGTAAAAACTATAAACAAGGGTATTAACGATATGTAGATTTTGAATATCTATATCTGAGCCGTTTGTAATAAAACAATTTGTTGTGTGTCCAATTTTTGGTCACTTCTTTTTGGTTAAATAATACAAATTATAAAGTCAACATTTTAAATAATAGTAAGATCATATTGGTTCCATTTTAGCTTATTCACTTACTTAAGCATTATAAGTGATTTATATACTGAATTTAATTATGGCTAACCAAAAAAAATGTACCAAAAAACATAACCAAAAAGTGTACTTATGAAAACAAAATTAAAAAATCTCGAATTATTTTGTCATTGTTGATTAAATCACAAATTAGTAGAAACAAAAGTTTTTAACCCTAATTAGTACTAAATATTACCTATCTATTGCAAGCGTTAATAGTAAAATGTATTATTTCAGCAAAATCAATGATTGGCTTTTAAAGCTTGATATATATAATTATATTTATAATAACAGTTATATATTGCACTAACTAATTCGATTTTTCAGTACTTAGCTCCCGACGGAGCGTTCAACTCGCTTACACACAGCGTTATCAAATAAAATTACATCTGCATGCATTGCGCCGATTAATTGGCGCATTTGTTACACTTTTCGAGTGAGAAATGATTGTCCAACGAGGCAGTTGGCCAGCCAAATGGCTTAATTATAATGGGCCAAATTGGACGTCTGAGTGAAAGTTGAGGCCCCAGAGAGCAGGCCAAGCTGTTAGCCAAGCCAGTTAACCAGCCAAACTGAACCCAACTGAAACCGAAACCGAAACCTAAACCAAAACCTTAACTGACTCGAGTTGAGTAATTTTCTGCTCTAGTCGCTCACCTCCACCCACCAAAGCGGCTTTCTTTTCCCATCCCGGCTGTTGGTAATAGTAATTCACACTTTTTATCATCTTTTAGCATCGCCTCTGAGGTAACCAGCATTCATGGTCTGTTATTGGAACAGATTTGGCGGTCAACCGAAAGCAAAACCACATTGGCATCTTCCAAAGATCGTGGGCTATTCCCCGAACGCAGTTCATAAATAGCAGGTCTTAAACCAAAATCTGTGCCAATGTCTGTCATTCAACCCGCCTCACTTTTTGCTCATCGCCAGTCTCGCAATTTGTTTACATTCGGCAGAGTTATGCAAAAATTCAACTGCCGTCTTCGGGTCATGATTGATGAATGGCAAATGGCTGGATTTTTATATCCGGCTGTGGGAGTATCTGGGTGTGTTGTCCGACCATGAAAGGTCGTCGATGAGTCGGCGGTTTTCTTCTAGCTTGTGGAAGTTTGGTAAAGCCCAAATAAGTTCGATTATTGTGTTAGAGATTTGAGGTGTAAAATTGATTACTTTTGAAATACAATAATATTTTATAACGGACGTTTAGAGCATCATAACGATCCATTAAAAACGACACAACGTTTGTTGTTCATATTAAATGAGTAATACCATTATGTAAATGTGTTCGAGCGTCATGGGTTTAAAAGGGCAAATATATTGTCTCATGGGCCTAAAATACAAGGTTATTACGAGCGAAAAACGCTGATCCAAAAAAAAAACGAGGCACCGAATTCCAAGAAACTCAATAACTATAGAACAGAATTTAATTGTTAGGTTTTCAAAAAATCCCTAAATGAAATTTAAGTAGGATTCAATAAAAAATAAAATAGAAAGAAAATTCAATTTTGTTTCATGATTTTTAACTCTGAATAATCAAGACTCTATCGAGTCATCCAACTTCGAGTATATCAGTTTGGGGACGTAAGTAACATTTGAAATATCAAATAAGTTGTATCCAAGTCAATTTAAAATTTGAAGCTTTGCACAAATCTAATTACATATACACCAACTTAAAAATCAAGCAGGCGTAAAATCGTGCAAAAATTAATAACCATATAAATAACTTATCATTTCGTGGGATTGGGATAAAGAGACTCAAAAGTGAAGTCAGACGACCAGATATCCGTGTTTTTGTTGTGTATTTAATCAAAGGGATCCCGGCTGCAGGTTTGCGTAAAAAGGTTGTTAAAATTATTATGAAATGCCTGTTGGCATGCAGGAAACCAACTTCACTGGGACTTTCAGCCATTTTCCGACCGTGTTCGGTCCAGGACATATGACCACTTATCAACGTGTAATGAAATATGGTGCATCTGCTGCCATAAAAGACATCCCAACCCGGCCCCAGTTGGCGCCTTTGTCCTTGGACGTCCAGCCTTTTGTCCTGCGATGGCATGTCCTATGAATTATGTTGATGGCCCCCGAACATCCCACCACCCCTCTTCCAGCGAACGGGTCTCATTTATTACATTTTGGCTTTTTGACAGATTGCTAAGCGTAGTAAGCGTTTCCGCACTAATTTCCGTGTCCTGCAACTATTTGTTGTCTGTTCTGGCTTTTGCAGTTAGAGAAACAGTTTTCGTTTAAGAAATATAATAAAATATAATAAATGTATATATTTATATAACATAAAATATTTAAAATACTTTTAGATAGTCTTTTCTGACTTTAGGCTTCGTACAAGAAGAAAACCAAATTTGATAATTGTTTCAAGCTCAACAAGTTCCTTACAAAAATTGTTCCTTATTTTCTTCAAGTGCAAATGGGCAGCATTAAAAGCCAAAAGCAAATTACTCATCACATCAACGGTCAGCAAGGGTCTCCTGTTCAGCTTGCTTTTTATTATGTATGCCATGTTCAGGGATTTTAATAAATCGTTTGCTGCCATCCACGAGTATCTATTCGTCGTTCGTCGGACATCCTTTCAGCTTGTACTTTCTGACTCTTTTGGCTTTTATTAGTTTGTCAATAAAGTGCCAAAAGACGTTGATTATAATCGCCATATATTGCCTCTCTTATGAGTTATCCAGCTGATGGCCTGCAGGCCAGGAAAATTTACGAGTCGTGCTTCAACCATTTTCCAGATATGAGATTGCTTATTTCCTTCCGTTTGCCGTACTCCTTAAGCGTTTCCTCTGACTACTGGACAAGCTTTCCTTGTGTTTTCCGCATTTCGATTTCAGCAGTGACATAGGTTTATCAGTTTTCAGAGTCGAGCAAAGATGGAGTTGAGTAAATATGAAAGCGCCTTTGGCAACTGAAGTAAACAGACCTTTTTGAAAGACAAATCCAACTGTGGCATATTAAAATGAATCAAATGTAATCTTTAGAACATAAAACTAGTAAGTACTTGTTGTTAATTAAGTGAAACTTTTTCAAAAATTGTTGTAATCGAAACAAAGAGAATACTATATGTATCTTGAGTATCTTGAACATGAATTAATGATAAGTATTGTATAAATATTAAATACACTAGCTATTTCCCCATTTCGAAAGCTAATATGAAAACATCTGAAAATATTTGTGGTAAAATCCGCATGTATCTAGCGGATTGAGCTGGTGTGAGAATTACACGTCAGACAAACGAGACAAGTTTCTTACATTTGTGTGCATGTTGCAGGAGCCACTTGTCTGCATTTAAACCTGTAGCTCCTTTCGAAAAAGGGAGCGATTTGTCCTTTGTGTGCACTTCGTAATAAATTTTTAATGCATTCTTGCTGCCCGTGTGTTTTACACAAGCTGCAGGGTTAAGCTACTCGAAGTCTGGGAGGGTTTATCCTTTAATGAAATTAACTTTTCTTCCTTCCACTTTTGCTTAAAACCGAGATAAGCAGATGCGTTACACTCCCAATGAGTTTTATTTATAATTGAATTACTTTTAAGTGGCTCTTAAGAAGTGAATACTTAAGCAGAATACAATCTAATTAAGACATGTGAAAACATTATGCTTGGGGAAGAATCGAGAATGGTACGGAAAATTCTGTAATGTGTGATTTAAATTCCTTTCTTTTAAATTGCAACCATAAAGGATACAGCAATAATATTATAGGTATATAATATTAAATCCGCAATGCAAATCTTTTCAAAAGTTCATCAACCCTTCCCCTCTAAAAACCGCAGGCAGTTAATTACGTTTAATTTACGTTAAATAAGTTTAATTATCATCCATTTGTGGTGAATTCCTTTCAATACATTGCTTTTGGCAGGTGCGACCCAAAAATTAATTACAATAAATCACCAAAATGGGAGTGGGATTGCGGCTTTGTGTTAGAATTGTCTAAAATTTAATTGAAAACTTGTACGATTTCCCGGCTCTGATTAGCGGTCGCTATTTGATATCCATTCAAGTGAATCGGACACGCGTTTGAATTCAATGAAAACAGCAGTCTTAGATTAAATGTGCCCTTTTGATTGACACTTGCATGTGTCCGTGATTGAAGGCGGAAACGGATGTCATGACCGCTGGGCTTGGAGCTTTTCGGGTGGCCAGGTTAACATAATTGCCCAGCCTGAGGCCGTCTTTCATTATAATCGTCATCGCCTGCTTAAGCCGTTAATAACACATCATTTTTGTGACACGAGCAACGTGGCCTAGTATCACGTTACCAAGTCGCGTGGCGCAACCGCAGGAGCAGCAATTATGGCCACTTAATCCGCAACCGCAGCAGGAACACAAACTACAAATTGGTTTAGGTATTCGGATTCCTTGGTTATTCACCGCTCAAGTGGCCAGCATTTGCCATTTAAATCGGATGGGTTTTCCCGCACGCACACTTCACCCCTAAAAACAATCCGTGAGGTTGTTTTTTCCCAGGGAAGGTGGAAAACGACACGCAACACACTTCAATGATCCCACTTTTTTCTTATATGCCCAAAAGTATGCCTTTCGAAATAAGTTGATATTAATGTAAAATTAAATATCACGTAAAAATATTTCTCTCTGTCGAAATCAGTAACTCAAACTAGTAAAAACCTTTCAATGAAATAAGTTAATTTGTATTAAACCTATGTTTAACCCTCCCAAAAAGATCAAATTAAAAAAATATAACTTGATTATATATTACCAAAATGCAATCTGCGCAATTCCTTGTCCTTTTCCCATTAATTTAATAAATATACAATTTTTTATTTTATCTGTTTTCAAATATATTTTTTTTTATTTTTGTTTCTTCTGTAAATCTTACATAATATTTATGCGCTTTTATTTCATTTACACATACACATAGATGTACTCATATATATAATTTTTGTTGTCTTATGAACATATTCATGAGATCAGTAATGATATTTATGTATATTAAAATATTACAGCATAATATAAAATGTACAAGTAAACAAAGAGCTTTCCGCTTCCGACATTAAACTAAAACAGAAGTGTTTTCTTTAATCGAATTGACAAAATGCTGAATCAAACTTATCATTGACGTTACGATATATGTAAATATGTATAATATGCGAAATACACGTGGTCATAGACAAAAATCTGTCACTGTTTTGGCACCAAACAAAGTTCTATACAAGTAATGGCATTTGATTCTATGATTCGAACTGCGTTATATACAAGGTCGAGTAAAGATACTTAAATTTAAAAACGGATTAAGTCGCATTGGGTCAAAAATAAAAGTTTCTTGTGTTCCATACTGATTTTTTTCCATTTGCTTCGTTTTTCTTTAACTTTTTGTTCGAGTATTTATGGCAAACCAGAAATCTTGTCGACTTCTGGGCGCGGGGCCACAAAACTTTACCGAGATCATTGTGAAAACTAATTAGCAATAAACCGGAAGGGAGTCGGGATAAAACCACGACCCACCTCCCGGTTCATTTAATGCAAAAAATTTACAAAAATAATTTTCCATTGGGCGTGGATATAGTTTTTCGGTTTTGTTGTGATTCAAATTAAGATTGATACATGTGTACAAGAAAAGGGTTCTATTGTGTTGTGTTGCCGGGAATTGTCGGGGGATTTGGATTTGATTGGGACTGTCACTTAGGCTACACAAATAATATTGCTTTATATACAATTAAACTTATGTCCGAATACAGCGCAATAAACTAATTAAACCGACTTAGACAATCTACAATATAGAACTAAAACGCTTGGCGAACTTATCCTAAACTTTTCGTTAATTTTTGTTTATGTTTCTCTGTTTCACTTTCTGCTTTTTATAACATTTCTCATTGTAAAAAACGGTTGATGTATTTGTATTGTATAAATCCATGAGATCAATGCGATTTTTGGGAATTGTTTTTTCTTTCTTTTTGATTGATTTTCTCTTATTATTTTTCAGCTATGTTTGCTTTCATGTCACGGTATTCGATTAGCATTGAAACGCCCTGGAAATTCTAAGCAAGTAGTGAAAATTGCCTATCAAATATATGTTTTCCTCATCATTTCTTTTTTACTTTGGCTAGCTGTGGAGATCAACTTTCATTAATTTCCATTGTGAGAGATCATTTAGGTGCATTCCAAAAAAGACTGTGTAAGAATGGGAAAACCATCTCTCTTCCGGCCAAGTTTCAATCATTTGCGATCAACTTCCTGGGCGTGGAGCTTAAAACTACGATATTGTGAGACCAATTTGAATATGATGATGAACAAACAATGACAAAAAATTACACATAAACATAAATCATAAGAAATTTAACTAAAATAACATGACATAAACCGTAGACACAAAACATCACAAAAATGGCATAAAAACTATATACAAAATTAATTTAATGTTTTTCATACATTTTTTTGTTGCGTTTTTTTCTCTGCTTTCGATTTAACAATTAAAGCTAGGTGTGTGTTTTTTTGTGGGCTTACGTTTAAAAAATTCTACTAGTTAAACATATTTAAAATATACTTTTGTTTTGCTTGCAATTCGGAATTACAAATGCGAAGACATTGAAATTGCTGTGTTTTTTTGTTCTACAATAGAAGTAATTTTGCTTTATGTTTAAGAAAATGCAAGTGTGGAAATGATTAAATGCAAATCAAAGTTTATCAAAAGTATCTCAAAAAGTGGCAGTTTTTTCCTTTGCTTATCTCTTTTTTTTTTGTACTTGTATAATTTGTAAATATCTCTCAAAAGCTTGTACAAAAATATGCATCAGCAAAATATAAGTGTGATTTGAGTCTCTTGCCAGTCTAAGATTTTTCGTTACTTTGAGCAGTTTAATTGGTTCACTTTGAAGAAAGTTCTGTTTCGTTTCGATTTAGACATACAAATGCAGTTACCATAGACAGATAGAATATATATTGTTCTTGTGTCCCGTCAACCTTCTTAATCTTACTTATGTTGGCTGTGCTTATATCAGCATGTGTAACAATCCGTTTACGATTTAATGACTTTCTGCTTGTGGCCTTGCAGTTCAATAAATTCGTTGCACTTATTTACGGTTCGGCTATATCTATGTGTAGATCGGCATATATCTTAAGCGCTAGCAGATTTCACTACAGATCATTCGATTGCTCGTCCACGCGGTTTCATCGGGCCGCAAAGAAGCCGCAGCCCATGGCCAAAACGAAAACGGTCACAACAGTTGGCCAAGTGAAGCTTTGTGGTTTCTGAAATTAAAAATAACAGAGATGAGTTAAAATAGTGTTAACTTTGTTGTATGAGTGTACAAGCTATTCTATATTTATTAAAAATACTGAAAATGACATCATGTTCTAATAGTCACTTAAATAACCATTTAATTCACTCACAAAAAACAAGAAATCTACTTGTTTAATTCAATATTTGAGGCCATCAAAGGTCCTCTCATCAGCTTTCCCTCCCTTCTCATTTTAACCAATAGCTCCCTTGTGTGGCATAAAATATCTAAAACCACACACGTGACCGAAACACCCCTCGGAAAACCAACGACCCCCGCCCCTGAATATCAGTTTGAACCGTAAATCAAGCGAAACTATTGACTGACCGACCGGCGGATGAACTTCATGTGGCCTGACCCAAATGGGCGGTCAACTTTTCTCCGGTCACTGGTGTAATTATTTTTCTATATAGCGCACTTGACTCTCCCCTCCCCCTTCACCATCGCAAACCCGCATCAATGGTTATATAATTTACACCATTTATTTGTCCAATAGTCCACGCTTCAATGGTCGCAGTGTGGCACGTGTGAATGATGAGGTGGTGCAACTACAACCACCAAAAGTTCAACTGACCCCCCGCATTTATTATGCAAATTTGCTTTTCTGCTGTTTTTGCCCGAATTTCGGTCTATATTTTGATAGGACTTTTGTGGCTTTGTCGCTGTGGTTAATGGTATGAAAGGCCATCGAACATGTGGCCATATTTTGATTTGATATTTGGCATGAGAAGAGAAATTATTATTTAATATGTTTGTAAATTGTGAGGGTGTACTTTTAGTAGTTACAGTTTAGAAAAGGTTTTAGCAAGTACTGCTATGATAATTTATTACCTTGAAAGCCTCTTCAAATATCAGCTTTCGTGCCTCAAATCCTTGGCTTGCAACTATATAGAATATTCCAAGCGTATGTCTGCATGCTAAAGTATGTACGTATATATGCCTGTTCATATGAGATTGTGGAATTTCTCACGCTCTCGTTTCGCAGCTGACAGAGTCTCGGATAAGGTTAGATCCCAGCGAGCCGAGTGAGCAGCCACATACACAGCTTCCCAATCGGCGCACAGCTTCCCCAAGGATTGGCCCCCACAAAGCGATGGGCGATAAGAGCACCCAGACCAGACCCAACATCAATTGCAACAAAAACAAATCAAAGTGAGTTGGAACAACAAAAAATGGGACTGCAAGCGTGGTATCAGGTCTGAGTCAATGTGTGTGTCATTCGATTGCGATTAAATTTCTTCAAGTTAGCATTTCTTTCAATTGCGCAGGCAATCGCAAGGCAAGAAACTAAAACTAAAAACGCGACGCGTAAAAAAGTGAGCTCAATGAGGAGGAGGACTGAGCCGACTCACACAAAGGCCCGACTTTGGAAGGGGGGATATATTCGTATATGGCTATATGGAGGCGCCTGCCTTGATTAACATACAGCGCGGAAAGTGACAAGAGCGACTCTTTCGCTCCGCACTGCGCAATTAATTTTTATCACACATTTCGCATGTGCAAAAGTGTGTTGTACATGCAATCCACCGAATACAGAGATACATTCGCTACACAGAGATACATTCGCCAGCGAATCTCCATCTGAACGTGCAACTCCTTGCGCGTGTGGCAATTTGTCATTCCTTGGCGCGTATTTTTAGCACTTTTCGCTAGTTGAGCCTTTGAAAAATGTTTGCCACGTGCCACGGGCTGCGAGGCAAGAGCAGCCAGCAGATGTTCTATGCCCGAGTTAATGAACTCCCCAACTTATCTCCTCTTGTTATTCTAATTGCTGGAAATGCATAAGGGGAAAGGGGAATGCCTCCAGCGATTTTAGCATAGAAGGGGCCTGTTCAAAATATTTTCTAAATATACTGACTAGATTCGGTTATGGATCTGAGGAATTGATTTGACTTTTGTGTGTTTAAAAATGATTACTCAAAATTATGAAATATACGAGCATTGGTGAATTCAAGATCATTATTAATATTACTCTCTCTTGCATAAAAAGAAACTGGTGCTATAAGATAAGTTTTAAGGTTTTGGAAACGAATCCGCTATATCTACTATATGGCATATTCAACCAAAATTAAATAAATAGTAATTAAAATATTAATCTAATTTAATTAAATGATATTTTCTTCTCTTTCAATTACTAGATCTTTAATACGCATTTTAATTTGTAAACGAATTTCTTTTAAAGTGACTTATAGCTTATTTAAATTTAAATTAACTAAGTGTTATAACAAGTTCTAACCTTCTTTTGCGGCTTCTGGCGCTCCCGCTCCACCTGTCGCTGCTGAGTGGAGGAGCCACTGTTGGTGGCACCACTCGCCGATTGGGAGGCACTGCTGGGCGGCTGGCTGTTGCACGAACTGATGGGATTACTGATGGGGTGGCTGTTCTTCTTCTTGCGGGGCGGGATCCGTCCGTTGAACTCCTGCAGGCGCTCCCGACCGGCGGTGAAGTTGTCGTAGCGATCGTCAAACTCCCAATCCCAACTGGCCTCGTGGTCGCTCTGGTACTCGCGCTCATCCTCGCCCGTCGAGGTCAGTCGCTTGCTGTGGGAAGAGACGCATAATGCCACTATAAATATCGCCGCACATACATATAGTGCATATTGTATATAGTACTCGCATAGTCGAGTGACTTGGGAACGTCACGAGCAATTATCAGTCGCTCGCTTCGGGCTTCCATAGTTTGCGCTGCGCTACTTGACTTCTGTTTCTCTGTGCGCATAATCCAGCGACAACTTTGCGATTTCATTAATTAAAAACGCGACGTTGTGTCATGGGAACTGCAAAAGGGGTCGTCGGGTGGGAGGTGCAGTGGAGGTGCAGTGATTAGGTTGACTAATCACTTGATTTTGCACATGGTTCTATACTCTGAATACATTTTATGGGCTGTGCGTAGCTAGTTCTAGTTGGTTTTTGCATAGAGTACAAGTGATAGTCGTATAAAAAGCTAAATCAAAGAAGATTTACCTAAATTTGAAGGAGCTTGATCTGAATAGAAAGCTAATAGTTATTATTGGTCATCGATAACATCATTGATTACATCGATCTAAATTAGTATTCTTACTCCTTAGGAAACGAATCTTTTTTCGCACCACAATTAAATACTAGACAAACTTGATTTAAACGAAATTCTTTAATCTTCTTATCCATCTATCTGCACTCAGCAATCTTTATCGACAACCCCAACATTATGTTACTTTAGTTTCTAGGTGTGTCTTTAATCCCCAACCCTTATCTGTTCTAAATAATTATTGAAGTGTTCCAACAGTCATCAAAACCACGTTATATTCTGTAGATTTTCCCTAAAACTTTAGCTATCTCATGGATCTTAATCAGTATCTGCACCTCCCAGGCATTGTATCTTTTTTGGCACCCTGCAACGCTGCATGCTGCATGATGGCTACTCACCGTCTGGCCGCATCCGACTGGCTGCGCTGCAGGCGCATCTTGGGCGCCAGTGGCGCCGACAGGGGCGTGGACGTCGACGAGGGGGCGGTGTGGAGGGGGCCGTGCCAGCCGAAGGCCGCCGAGGAGAAGGAGGAGGAGGAGGAGGTGCCGGCGCTGGCCGTGTTCGGAGTGGGTGGCGGCGTGTAGGCGGCGTAGTAGGGCCCGGGCCCGCCCATCCCGAAGGGGCCGCCGTGGTGGGGCATCAGGTGGGGCGACTGCTGCGGGTAGCTGTGGCTGCAGTGCATCGGCGGCGCTGACTGCGGTGGCATTGGCTGCGGTGTCGATGGCGCCGGATACGGCGGATGTGGCTGCGGCTGCTGCTGCTGCCGGAAGAAGCTGTACTCCTCGCCGGAGGAGAAGCTCACGCTGCTGCGGGGAGTGCGCGGGTGCAGATTCGGATTCGGATTCGGGTGGCCGTGGGGGAAGAACACATCGCCGCCCGTGTAATTGCAGGAGGGACTCTGCGGCGGCGGATACTGGAAGACTTGCGGGGCTGCAAAATAAGTGTAAAATGTTCATGGTTTTAATAGAGTAAATTAAGAGTTAAATATACATTATAATTAAAATAATAATAACAAAATATAACTTCAAGTATATATTACAAAAAATAATAAATTAAATGGCTTACATTTATTATATAGTCTTGAGTTTTAATCCATTTATTTAAAATACAAGAAATCCTCCTTGAACAATGATATTCGATTTTGAATTAACAAAAAGTGGTTATAAAGTTATTTGAAATCAAACAATATAAAAGCATTTCAAGCAAAATGCGATTTTATGAGATAAAGAACTTCTTTACCCTTTCTAAGAAGACTTTTAGTAGTTAAAGAAAAGTAAAACAACAATTAAAATTAGTTCACCCTTTTATCGGCGAACTGTTTACTCATTCGTGGCCGTAATAAAGATCACCCAACAATGGATGAGCCAGACAAAGGCGGCATTGACCGGGTCTGCAATCAAGTCGACTCGAGTCTTGAGTCAGTGACAATGTAGGGAAGTGTCTAAGGTCGGGGCTCTGTAAAAACGTATTGTCTTGCCAACTGCCACTTAGCCGACTGACTGTTAAACCTGCCGTAATTATGGCAAGTCCTCTCCGATCATAAAACCGCCCATAAAACGATCAGTTAGCCCCCACCAGTTGCAGGCTTCAGTGCACATAAAAATGGAATATCTTCATATGCAGGAAGCCACATAATGGTGTTTTAAGATAAATGTTCGAATAAGATGTTATATGGAACCTTTATTTCAAGTTCCCTAATTAAGAAGTACGGCGTGTTTTACGATAAAACTACTACTAAAAATTAAGTTACAAAAAGGTTTTAAAAGATATTTAAAGATGCACATCAGCTTCATCAATTTTATAACTCTCCAGATACATTTTCCCCTTAAGCTATATATCCATGAACATTGGCAAACAATATTCCACTTATTCCCTGCTTTAAGTATCTCTCAATCCGCCCGAAGATACATTTGTATCCGAGATGTTTACACGTCATTGCCGCGATTCCCGTGCTCACTTGCCCCAAAGCACTTTTTGTATCTTCGTCAAACATTGCCAAGAGCTGAGTACTTGAGTGGCCCAAGTTGAGAAGTATCTGTATCTGGCAATGAGATCTCGCAGCTTAGCATCATTTATGCATGTAACGAGAAGCGTATCTGTATCTTCTGTCTGACTGCCAGCTGGATTTGCACTTTTGTTCTCCTCTATTTCTACTTGCGATTCCATGCAAATCGACAACAAAAGCGTTGATAGGTAAATGCGCTGAGAAGCTAGCTGGCCACTTGATATGCGCATAAATTGTGAGCTCCCCATTAGTTGGGTGTACATTTTCATCTGTATGATTTCTTAATGTTTATTTACTTAAAAAGCCATTGCCCAGCGACAAATGATTGATTGTAATGCAAAATTTATACAAATCGCCAACAGCCTCCGGCAGAAGTACGATTTACCAGTACAATTACGAGTACGTGTATCTTTCCGATTACCGATAATTGACCGCAGGGAATGTCCGACTATCTAGCAGATACTTCAGCGTCCATCTGTCCGAATCTTTGTCGGTGGTCAGTGTGCAGCCAACAATAATGTCACTCACTGTCAACCTGCGGGCGACTAATTTGCAATTTGACCCAATAGCCTTGAACTCGAATCGAATCGAAACGAGCCCACAGCTGTTGCGTTTGCAGTTTGCAGTTGCAGTTGCAAGAGCGCAAAAAATCTGTATTTAATTGCGGGCCAAGCCAAGCCAAGTCGATCCGAGCCGAAGCTAAGAGCCACTCCTTTGCCGCAGCCTTAGCATGTGTATCTGTAAGATACTCTGGCAGGCATTTGAAACTAGTTTGCTGCTCTGGCTCGCCAGTCTTCTGGCCAGCAGCTGAGCCAACTCGGCTCACGTGCGCTCACCGCGCGCCATCGTCGCTTTTTAACCTTGAAAATCTGCCAGCTTTAGCTTCAGCTTCAGCTTCAGATTCAGAACCGAAGCGAAGCCAGCGGCAGGGATCATTACTGCCTGGCCAACTTATATAACCAGCCATGTCGAGCCGAAGCTGGTACACCGAGAACAAACACCTCCGAATTGGGATACCAAATTGCAATAATTTCGTGAAGTTAAAAGTTTCACAGGAACCCATTTCTTATAGCTTTTATATACCCAATAACGTAAACAGAACATTAGATATTATATTATATTATTTTAAAAAAATTTCAACACTATAAAATTTTCAAAAATATTACTTTCACGTGAGATCTTTACAAGTTACAAATAAAATTAAAGATGTTTTTCTTTGTGTACTGCTTTTATGATTAAACTGACGAGCCAAAGCCCGATAAAAATGTTATTGCTAATTGCAAATTGTGTGGAAAATTTCGTTTGCTTTCGCATTTACATATGAGATACATTTTCATTCGGTGCCTGCACAAACTTTATGCCGTCCATATAAATTATCCAAGTGGTCGGATACCGCATAAATTGCCGTGGGTTACTAAACTGTGATTTAATCTAAGATCGGGAAATACGTAAGCAAACTATCCTAAGGGTGATTTAATCTTTTATTAAGTGAGCGTGTTTTAGATTCTCTACTTAAACGGTGACGTGTATTCAGTTACTTATCTGAAATCTAAGAACATAATTGTGCAAAAGCTCATAACCCGTGATTAAGTAATTCTATATGATGTGATTTTAATATTTAAATTAACAAAACTGGTTTTTAATGGGTGATAATTAGGTGTCAGTTATTCCCTTATTTCCAATTTGTATGGGGAAATGAAGGTGTTAATTATCCAAAGTTCGTCTTTTGAATAATACATTGTAAATAAATTTATATTTTCTTCTGAGTATTTTTTATTCCAGTCATTATAATAGACGGGAGTTTGGTAATTTACAACACCTTAGCTATTTTTATGATCCCAACTCGATGCGGGCGATGAAGTCGCTTTTAATGCCGCAGTTGTTGGTGACGAAACGTGACCAATTGTTGGGAACATTGTTTTTTATTAGAACTGCTGCATTCGCCTGTATTTCCACGGGCGACAATATGTGCAAAATGTTTAATTGAATTACGAGTACCAGTCGCATCTGGACAGAACGACGGATACTGGAAAAAAAATGCAATTATGTGTATAATTCACTTTAATTCCCCATCGGTTCGGTTCTAGGCGATGTTGCAACCATTTCTAAGGCCGCTGGGCAGCAGCAGCTAGCAGCTGACAAACATCAATCAGGCAAAAGTTTAACTAAGCAGAACGCCTCAGAAAAAGCTCAAGAACAGATCGCAGGCAGCGGAAAAACGTGAAAAATGCCTCGCTTTAGTTGCCACACAAAAGAACAAATCGTCGTCGGCAACGTTGAAATGCATTTTTAGTTGTGCCTTTGCAGTTGATTGCATTTGCAGTTGCAGTTCGCAGTTTGCAGTTTTCAGTTTTCTGTTTGCTGTCGTACCCGCAGCATATGTTGCTCATTATAACCTTGAAGTGCTGGCTAAATGCAAAAAAATAAGAAAACTGCACATAAAAATATACTAGAGTCACCGCTGCACGGGCAAGTATGAATAAATACGAGTACGAGTACGAGTACGGGTTCGAGTACTCGTATCTCTGACAACCCAACTCAAACAATTGCGTCGCACTTCGGAATCGACGGCTAAACGAGTTTGCAAAGTGCGAGTTCCATAAGTTGGTCAGTGGAACGGAATGGGAAGTGCTATATAAATTGGCCAGATATCGGGGAAGGAAGCTATAGACAAGCTGGGATTTAGGAAGGAAGTTGTGGCTGGCAATGATCAGAGATTACAAAGATTTTCAGAGTTCTAATTCTGTCAAAACAAGACTTAACCCACTTGGAATTATTAACCTTATCCGTTATTATTAATTGAAAATGTTGCAACCGAAGAAGATTTAAAAAGAAATAAAATTAAAAAAAACACTGAATGGAATTATATCTCCAATCAGATATGGAAATAACATCAGCAAAACACAACTTAAAACCCAAATACCTCATGCATTTACACAGCAATCTCATGTTTCATTTCTGCCATCAAAACTCCAAGCCGTCGAATCTTTCAGCAAACTGCAATCTCTTCTGCCAAAATCTCGAGGCTCCTCGAGGCAAGCGGCAACTTCACTTGACATTGACATTTATTGATGAATATTTAATTTAAATTAAAAAAAAAAAACAGGGACGAAACAAGCTCAAGATGACAGAACAAAGGAACACTCCACGACGAACTCCGTCTTGGGGTTAAGCAAAGCTCAAGATTACAACACGAGATACACGTCGCAGACCTGAATAACTTGGCCAAAATAAAATAAAAACTCAGTTTACAGTTAACACAATACGCCCACACACGAAGAGGAAGCACAATAAGCTATAGCAACAACCAAAAACAGTAAACAGAAATCCCACAAAAATTACATTTGAAGTCGTTCATTTAAGGCGATTTGTCGGCTGTCACGATGCGAGATTACTAATTTGGTTGGTCAACTCGCATTTCAGCTGATCGTCTGTCACCTCGATTTAATTAGGCAACAGCTGCCGACGTTTCCCCACCAATTTACCGTTAAGTTGCCAAGGCAAGTGACTAATTAATGGCTCTTCAGGAAATTGGTAGAGAATTCGGGAAACAACGCCGACTCCTGATCAAGAATCTCCTCGTTCTGGCTTCTCTATATATGACAAAAGATTGTATTTTTAATGCCTTTTGGGGTTTGTGCAATTCGATCAAGTTTTTGTCTCAAGCTGAATGTCAATCAGATGTCGATCTATGTTCGAATATATCGACTTGATCTTTATGGTCATATTTCCCGTTGATAATTACCAATTTTGGTAGGCGGCTAATTAGCCATTTGTGGAATGCGAGAAGTTTTGTGAAAACCAAAAGAGAACGTTTAAAAATATGCGGAAATGGTCAACAAATTTGGGCAAGTCACATGATTCATGTGAAATGAAGGAGAAAGTTCGCCTTTGACGTCACAGGGATGATTCTTTGATGCACAGT